AATCCGTCGTAGGCTGCTCGAGTTTGGACTGTCTGAGCCAGGGCCTCCGGTGTACACCGAAGAGGAACTTCCGGATGGAAGCCTCACTAGACACTATCGTGCTGGTGTCTCTAGTGCCCTGTCCCAGATTTCTGACCCGGATCTCGATGCGGTCATCTTTTCCATCCACGAGCAATTCCCTACCTTTGGGCGACGTATGATCGATGGATACCTGTTAGTGCTCGGTCATCGGGTTCCAAGGCGTCGCCTAGAAAATTCCTATGCTCGTGTCATCGGACCGTCCATCTCTGCATTTGGACCGCGCCGTATCGAACGCCGTGAATATTCGGTTCCAGGACCTAATTCGCTATGGCATCATGACGGTCAACATGGTAAGCATGGGCTTCGATTTTAGCCCTAAATCATTGCTTATCTTTGCGATTGCAGGGCTCATTCGATGGAAGATCGTCATCCATGCGTTTGTTGATGGTTTCTCTCGGTTTGTTCTCGGGATCCTTGCCAGCAACAATAATCGTGCATCTACGGTCCTCCAGCTATTTGAAGACATAGCTGTTGAGTTCGGATACCCCAGTCGTGTAAGGGGTGATCACGGCTCGGAGAATGTCCTTGTTGCAGCACAGATGGAGGAGATCCGAGGTGTAGGACGTGGTTCCTACATATGGGGCCGGTGAGTTCCATTAAATGTTTTGATACACAGATGTGTCCTAATTCGGCTTTGCTCTGGCTAAATAGGAGCGTACATAACATTCGCATTGAACGACTGTGGGTAGACGTCACCGCAGGCTTTGGCAACAAATGGAAAGAGCTTTTCCGCTTACTGGAGGCCTTGCATGGTCTCGACGTGGACAATGATGCGCATATATGGCTTTTACAACATCTATTCCTGGTGGCTATCAATGCGGACGCGTCAAACTGGGCCGCGACATGGAATCAACACGCTGTTTCCCGGCGCGGAGAACGACACATGTCCCCCATGCAAATGTATATCCATGGGCTAGCTGAACATGGTCAACGCGGCATCTTCCCCGAACACCTGGACACCATGCCCGGTAGCTCCCCTGCTGTAAACTACGCTGACTATGGTATCGACTGGGATGCACTTGATCGTCCAGTCATACGCACACACCATGACCAGCACAACCCGCATGATGGAACAAATCCCTTCCTGATCGACAACCCCTCTGGTCTCTCACATGTGGAGGTGCCGGATCCTCGCTGCCCTTTCTCGCCTGAGCAGGTTGCTCTGTTGGACACCCATCTTCGACACCTCCCCTGCTTCGGTAGGGAAAACATGCAGGCATGCGCGGAGCTCTGGGTTGCTGCTTTACAGATAGCTCGAAACATTGTGTAGTCTGTATATATAACCTATGATACGGTGCTCCTACTTTTGTTCTGCACAGCTTGACCTGAGATTTACATCGTCAACACCTGGCAACAAGTTATGCCAAGCAGAGGCACCGACACATCCTGCCCAACCTGCTTGTTCACGGCTTTCTGGTGCACTCAGAACTTTGTAGACTGCCTTATGGTATTATATTATGAGACAGACGGACATGGATTAGCGGATCAGGTTATAGAATGCACGCTATACGAGTTGCCACCGTAAACGACCTCAGGCTGAATGAGGAGGAGGAGCCGTACACAGTACCAGTCGCCATGTCCGCCGTCGTTGATATGTCTGGAAGCAAGTCTCCCTTCTTTAGGTGATATATTTTGCTAGCCACTCCGCACAGTACTTACGTGCATTTCTGCGACACTCCGCGGCGAGCATCAGCCTTACAGATGACTCCGGCCCGACCGGAACTTTGTCCACGCCAGTAGTTTATAGCGACTTTGTTATCTTCAAGTATGTTGCAATATCATTCGCAGCCCACGTCTTGACCCTGCTCTTAATACCCGCTTGTTTTGTGCTCCATAGAGTGGGTTATATTGATATACTGGTACTATCGGTACTGGTCAGGCAGGAGGCCGGTGAACAGACGATGATCCTGCAGGAGTCAGGGCTTCGATGTACGGCGCAAGGGATGAATATCTATTTTAGCACTACATGCGAGCTTAAAGTGTTACTCCGAAGAGACACTTGAGCTAGAAAATCCAAAGACAGATCCAAAGTTTCATATCGGCGTTGGAGTGAAAGTACGAAGCTGAAGGAGGTGCATTGATTCGGAGCCGAGAGGCGCCGAATCGGAGCCCCGTTCCGAAATCGAAGTACGAACCCGAAGTCATCACCCAAAATGGAACTCCGAACCCCAACGGTTGTCCCGAAGTGGAAACAACGGTGCGGACTACTTGTTTGAACTCGAAATCACTGCGTGGACTGCTTGTTTGAACTCCAAATAACTTTTGTCCGCGGGTGCCCCTCATAATTTGCGATGTTTTTTGAGCTCATGATAGCGAGACAACAAGACATAATAACTTGAGGCTACAAGCAACTTCAAGGGCAGCCCCAGCTCGTCACCCGCTTCCTCTATCGCTTTCATCTTACCCACACTTCAGTTGATCTACAAGTTGCGGCCCCAGATCTAATTAGTCTCACAAACGGTACGCTTCGCCAGACGCTTGGCAAGTTTCCTCGTCCAGCACAAAAATAACAAGAGATTGCTGCAGCATGTAATCACCGGTGACATCGAACCCGGGGGTACTGTCTCGCGTCCGAGCCGCCACGCAAGGCACACGGCACTCCGCCTACCGCAGCTCATCTTCAGCTGAGTAACAAGCTTCACGAATCGACGCCGAGTGCGGGACACTATTTGAGCTGCGGTAACAACCATGCTTCCCCATAAAAAGCCTGCGATGCAGCTACTGGACATCAACACGCAACCGTCCCGCACGCAAGCGCACCCCTCCAAGTCCCAGCCAAACCATGACGTCTGCCACCTCCCCCATCGCCTCCGTCACGTTCGGTGCCCTCTACCGCAACCCCCGAGTGGGCGACCTCATCATCCGCACCGCCGACGAGGTCGACTTCCACGTCTACAAAGCCATCATAGCCGCCGCCTCCATCGTCTTCGCGGACATGCTTTCGATCCCGCAGCCTTCGCCCGCGACCACTGGCGACTCCGACAAGCCCGCCGTCGACGTCGCAGAGAGAAGCGTAGTCTGGGAGATCCTCATCATGCTCTGCTACGCACCGCGGCCGCCTACACCCGAGGACTTCGAGGACCTGGACGCGGTCCGTGCTATCCTGGATGCCGGTGTCAAATACCGGATGGACGTTGCGGTGGAGTACGCGCGCCTCGGACTCCTCCTGCCGAGGTTTGTCAAGGAGAAGCCGTTCGTTGTGTATGCACTGGGCTGCGCGTACAAGCTCCCGGACGTTACGCGTGCCGCCGCGCGGCACTCTCTCCGGTTCCCGATCTACTTTGAGTACTCCAAGGAGCTCGACTTGCTCTCACCCCGCGCGTTCCACCATCTATTCGAGTATCGGAGAGAATGTGGCGCAGTTGCCCAGATGATCGTGGCGAGGGTACATTCCGACTCATCTTCCCTACTACCTGCGACTCGTGCCCCGACCCGGCATCAAGCATCATACTCCCCCAAGCGTCTTCCGGATTGCGTTCCCTTCGAACACAGGGGATGCAGCGAGACGGCGTGTATTGCTCATAGCGGATCGACTACGAATGCCTTTACTGCACGTACAACTTTCAAAAAGAGAGTCCAGGCCGAGCGGTATTTTCAAGAACTCCGTACTAAACTGGAGTTCCTTCCAGACGCCAGCCTAGCACTCTCAGAACCGTTGCTACAGACGATGATCGACGTTGCGTCGGATTGCTCCAAATGTTTCAGCACGGTTCATAGTCGGGTGGCCGAGTTCTCTAAATTGTTATACGCGGTCATCGAGGACGCGATCTCCCACGTGAGTCTTCTATTTTCAAACTACTACCATTAGTCCACACGATGAACGCTCAATTTCCTTCACAGGTAGAACTAGTCGTCGACGAATAGGCCTGTTCACCTCTCAAATACACGGAGTCTGCGCATTCACAGGTATGTGTCTGCTGGCACCCCATAGCTCCTCGTCATACTGACGCACGATCTCTTTCACGTATGTGCGCAGACACGATTTACTCGATCCCTTTTGCGCCCTCCGTCTAGTAGACCGTCGCGATGTTCCGATTCCCGAATGTTATCAAATACAGTTCACGAGTCACCAGCTACTGTGCGCGGCACTACCACAGAATGCATGACACAACATCGATGATGCGCACGATCGAACTTAAGTTCTCCAAGCGTCGCGGACTCAAGGAAGAACAGCACGCCAAACCTCGTGCTCGCCGTCATCACCTTGTGCAAGCTGGACCTACCACATCGAGTGCTGAGTGTCAGCAATATGACAGTGCCGAATCACACGCTGACCATCCACCAGCATTCCTCCCTTGCTTCCTTGTTGTTTCGCCAGAGTGACGAGCAGATTCGTGCCGGGCCAGTACACCCTGGGATCGGTGAGTTCTATGAACACCTCGACATCGTAAGGGTCTGCGCTCACCGGTACCCTACCCTCCCAGTTGCATCTGTTTCGCATCGCCGGACATCCCAGGAGACCGGATATGGCTTTACGACTATAGCGGCGGCGGCCACCGCAGGACCCTCGATGGTGAGGTACAGCGGTTGTCCGTCGCCCGTCACCGTTCCGGACTGCATCGCGAATCCGGCCCCGCTGGGAATGAATGTCCACTGAGTGTGGAGGGCGCGCATCAGATAGCTGTGCTCGCAGGGCTCTGAGAACGTCGTTTCGCCGCGCACCAGCTGGGTGGGCTGCTCGTGCATTGTGTCCGCCCTTGGGTAGCACCTGCCCTGGAACGACCTGTCCTTGGTTCCAGCGCATGTGACGGCGAGGACGGTGTCTGATTTGACGTTCGCAAGCACCAACGCCCCTGGCCCAGGGGACGCTCCCCGGGCCCCGCTGTGAGGCTGAGCGTCATCCGCCGTTGCGTTCCCCCCACAGTGCTGTCACGATGAGTTGCTTCACTCTACGCTCCGTCACGACTGCGGCCTGCCGGACTTTGAGGTTCGCGACAAGAGTGGTTGCTTCGGCTCCGGCGACTTGTCCCTGTGGAGACGGCGGCATCGCCAGAGATGGGCGGTCCATGGCTCTTCAACAACTTGCCCGTACTCATCCGTCTCTGAACGCATGTCTTTATCTTCAGGGATCTTCTGCAGCGTGATCTATGAAACGTCAGATACAATCGCCATGCGCTGAATGAAGTCGAATCTAGACACCATTTCATTCTTGCCGCCCATCCCCATGAGGAGGTCGCTTTGCGGGAAGATGATCCTTCGGGAGAGAAACAAGAACGTTATGTGAGCCAAACACGTGTCAGTCCGACTGCGATTCGAGAAACTCACATAGATCCGACCCGTGTGTCGTAGACTTTCCAAGGCATGGGAAGCCCGGTGGCACTGACGATGGCGTCCTCCCGCAGAGTACTGTTCACGGTAAGGTAAAGAGACGATCCTTCCGGGGATTTAACTGCAAACTTGATTAGGAATATGTCGGCCTCTCCCGTCGGAACGAAGTTCCACTGCCACTGGCTGTCAGACGCTAGGAGACTAGATATCATGATATACGCAAAGAAGCGTGCTGCTTACCTCTTGATAAGCGTTCCCATTTTCATTCTCATTGAAAGCGGCACCCGCCACCGACGAGTGATCTCGGGCGGAAAGGGTGAAGACCGTTCCGAAGGCTGCATTAAACAGCCTGTACATGTAAGTCTTTGGGCTGGACGGCCGGCCTTTTTGACATTTTGAACTAGTCGAAAACAGGTTGGCTTCGACGTTGATATAGGCAGATGGCGGTGTGGATGGTGTCACTCGAGGATGGTATGAGGAGTTAGCGACGTTCTTGTAATATATACCGCGGAGCTGCAACAACAGCCTTCGGCGCTACCGCAGCACAAGCGTAGAAATAACCCGCGGTAGTCCTACTGTATTGTATCTGTTCTGTAAGCCATTAAAATATGGTGCGATCTCAAGAGGGTGGATACTCACACGCTAACACAAGAACACCCTTCTCGCTGCAGAAGACGGTAGTCTACATCTGCACCAAACGAGCATCCGAACGAGCATAGGCCTAAGCCTGTCCTCCAAGGCCAAACTTATTCAACCTCCTCCCCATCGGAATCTTACTCGGCCTCGGCGGCGAGGCCCCAGCCGCACTGGGCGCCCTCGCCCTCGCGCCTCCACCCGCGCCCGCCCCGACACCCTTCTGCACCCCCGGCGCCTGCCTAGGCTCCGCAGAGAACGAAAACGTCCCCGCATTCGTCGTGTCCACCAGCACCGGCCGCGAGATATTGATCGACGCCGAAAAGCGCTTGATCGCCCGCATCCCAGGCATGCGAACCGGGAGGCGCGACCGTTTCTCCGGCGTCGTGTGCGCGCTCCCCAGACCAGCACCAACTCGCGTTGGCGATGCGGGCGGACTCTGCACGGTCGCGTGGTACGACGACCCCGAGAAGTCGCTGTGCAGGACGAGCACGAGGTCGTCGTCTGGGCTACTGCTGAAGTCCAAGAGCGCTTTGGGAAGCCGAGGCGGCGAGAGCCGGTTGGGCGTCCTGGGCGAGAGGTCGTCTGAGTTTGCAGTTGTGTCGACTGAGAACTCGAATGACGGGGTGTCGTGGGATGAGGAGTCCGAGTAAGCCGCTGGCAACACCTCAGTGCTCGTAGAAGTGCTGTGCGCTGCTTCCAATTGAGCGGGCTCGGCCTGCTCCTCGTGCACGACAAGAGAGGTTGCAGAGGTCGCCGAGCGCGAGGACCCGAAGAACGACCACCGCGACGTCTTCTGCTTTATCGACGCAACCAGAGCGCCTGTGGTCGTCGTCGGAGCACAGGCCGCGACAACGGGCACGGCCACAACCTTCGTGCGGCGGTACCGAGACTTGGTTGAGTTTTGGGTGGATGCGGACACGGACGCCGAGATGTTGTTCCCCGAGTCGCGCGCGCCCAGCCCGAGGGAGGATTCGCCCGTAGGAGAGGTGACCATGTGCACGCCAAGGGCGCTGCGCCGTGAGCCCCGCGAAGAGAGGGTCTTGATCGAGTGGCTCGCCCGGAACATCTCGCTCGCGAGGGGAGGAAGGTTGCTGTGGACAGAGGACATGCGCGTGGTGGAAGTAGATTGCGCAGCGGGGAGCACCATCGAAGACGAGCTTGCAGGAAGACGGATCTCGGCGGGCGCTGTGGATTCCACTATGCTGGTGTTGGCTTCGGCCATAGCCTGGACATCGTCGGAGTGGTTCCCGGACGAGGACGACGAAGCTGCCGAAGTAGACTCCGGTACCGATACAGGCTCACCCTCAGGCACGCTCCATTCCAGCAGCACCTCGTCGATGCGGGCCACGATTGAGTCCGCCTGCGGAATCGCGGTGCGCTCGACGCAAAGAGAGTGTCCGCCGACCTTCATCTTACCAAGCATCTCGAGCACCTTCTCCTGCCGTTCCTGCGGTAGCGCATCTACCACGGCAGAGATGGCCGAAATCGACGGTGTAACGGTGTCCCCATGCCGCTCGTCCTCCTTCGCCGTTTGCTTCCAGAACTTCGCGCGTTTGCGCCAGTCCTGCGTCTGCGCCCGCGCGCTCAGCGTGCACCGAACCTGTGCGAGGTAGTCGTCCTGCGTCCGCACGCCTGTCACAGGTTCGAGGAGCTGCCGCCACACGTTCCCAGGTTGCGCGACCGCCTCTTTGATCGCCGCAACGAGCGCCGTTTCCGGATCAACGCCCTCAAGGACCTGTCCGTACGCGGACTGCACGACGGGCTTGGGCTCACCTGCCGCGAGCATAACCTCGATGAACCTCCGCAGTCGCGCGCACTCCGCCGCCAACGCCGACGGGCCCTGCCCGCCAGCCGCCGGCGCAGAGAACAGCTCACGCCGCAGCTCGAGGATCTCCGCCTGCATCGCCGCCGCACCCTCCGCAAACGCACCGTTCGCCTCCAGGGCGACCTGGTGCGCCTCGCGCTCCTCCCTTAGCGCGCCCTCGAGGTCTCGTATCCGGTGTGTGAGCACGGCCACGATGCTTCTAGGGTGGTCGTCGAGGGCCCCCGCAGACCGGCTGTAGAAGGGGGCGCTCGGCGGCCCGCTGGCGGAGAAGTGGGGCGGGGCGGGGAAGAGGAAGGGCGCGGCCGCGACTCCGTTTGTCGCGAAGAGGTCCGAGGACGTCGAGGGCGCGAGCGATTCGGTGAGGAAGGTGGTGGAGACTGGCCGCGTCGCCAGTGTCGCCATCGGCGCTGAGGCCAGGCGGTTCAGCTCGGGGTCCGACTTCGCGCGGCGGTGGAAGAGATGAGAGAGACGGGGGAATCGCATGTCGAAAGGAGCGGAGGGGATAGGAATGTGGTGGTAGTGATGTGGAGGAAGTAGAACTGCAGAGGTGAGCGTGCTGAAGCAGCATTGAAGTTCAACATGGATCGGCAGTCTCGGCAAGCGAACAAGACGATCGACTGCAGTTCGACAAAACGAACCAATAGCAGACGAGCACTCCGAGCGAACACAGAACATCACAACTCACAACAAGATTCATATTCTGTATCGTCTGCAAAACATAGACTGGATGCGATCAACGACTAGCGCACGCATGATAAAACGAGAGATACTGGTACATGTATACAAGCCGAACACCTCCACGATACTGGCAGATATCCCACACCTCACCGGATGCTGAGGATCCCGCTGTTCGTGCGCCCGAGCGAAGTTGAGTCCTTGGCGTCCTTGCCCTTCTTCACCTTCGGCGCCTCCCAAATCTTCCAGAACTTCAGGTTCTCGTCGCCTGCCGCCGTGCATACCAACTCTCCGTTAGGCGCGAGCGCGCTGAAGAGAACACGGGAGTCGTGCGCGTCCCGGATCTCGGCCACCTTCTCCATCGACGGGTAACTGTGAACCATGATCGCGTTCGTCGGATACCCGTGGGTAGTCATGAATTCCTTCCGATGAGGCGACCACTGGATGGACGAGATTTGAGCCGGAGTTACAAGGGAGTGCAGTCGCGCGCCGGTCGTCGTGTTCCAGATGTGTACCGTCGCATCCGACGTCCCGCCGCCCGACGCAAGGAGTGCCGGCTGCCATGGGCACCACGCGACGGCCTTCACCGCCGCGGTATGGTTACGCTTCGTCCACCGCGCGGCCGACCGCGCACTCGAGCTCGCGGTCCCGACGTCGCCCATTCGTCCGTCCCACACGTTGAGGACGTTGTCGTTTCCTCCACTGGCCAGCAGGTCGCCGTCCGCACGCCACTTCAGCCCGCACACCTCGCCCTGGTGTCCAAGAAGCTCCATGACCTTGTGACGCGCGACGCGCACGTCGTGATGCCAGATACTTCCGTCTTGACAGCCCGAGCTCAGGAGGTGCTCGTACCAAGACAAACAGCCGACCTGCGCGGAGTGCCCGGTCATTGTGCGTAGCTTCGATTGCGCCTCGACGTCCCACAGCTCGACCGTGCCAGATGGGTAGCCGACGCCGAGGAATTGGCCATCGTTGGAGAAGTCCAGGGATGAGATGTATGAGTCCTCGGGGCCTTCCGAGACGAGCACAACCTCGCCGGTATCCGCCTTCCAGATGTATGCGCTACTCCCGAGCGCAATGGCAACGACGTTCTGGGATCCCCAAGAGATCAGGTTCAGGTAGAAATCGTCGAGCATCCCGGGCGCGTCGAGGATCTTGTACGGGAAGGTGGAGATCTTGCGGTCCTTGCCGGTAGTCCCAGAACTACCCGCGGGTGCAGAACCCGCACGAGCATACAAAGGGCGGACGAGTTCTCGTGCCTGCGCCATGAGTGGATCGGATGACGCGGCCGGCGGTGGCTCATGGTAGGCCAGGACACGACGATTGAGTGGCACGCCCGTCGCGGCAGCAAGGCGTGCTGTGTGGCCAGGCGACGCCGACTGAGGGTTGAGTGACATGAGGTCGAGTGTAGCGGCCACTTCATCTGCGGTATCGCGAGTCGTGATGAAGCGGTCGCGAGTGTCTCTCTGTGTAGGGGATTCTGGTGAGTCCATGATGGTTTGAGGTAAGGGATGAGGGAGAAAGATTATATTAAAAGACCGCCCGCCTGTGCCACTTGTGCACCCCGAGCTGATGAGTGGCATAATGGAGCAGGCCCGGCGTCTCAGGGAATCATGTGTTTACACCGTTCGCAAAGTCATTTGTAAACTTACTGTAGGTTGTGAGCGCGAACGCTTCTCGGATTTGGGCGGCACGTAATCGCGTGTGACTACGTCCAACCTGCTCTCCACCCCGCCTCTGCGTATGACGCCCATGCTGGCTTGGCGTTGGAGAGATTCAGAGACCTGGAGAGACGACGAAGTGGCCCTCTTGATCGGGGACACGGGCCTGCTGGGAACGATGAAGGGATTGGAGGCGTCCGCGGCGGCATTGACCCCGAACATGGACGCAGTCAAGGGAGTCTTCGTCTCTGACCGAGACCGGTGTCGACTAGGAGTCTTCGGTGGAGGAGCCATAGCAAGCAACAGAATCACCAGGGGGAAGATGGAAGAGGGAGAAGGGGCGATGAGGCCTGAGGTGGTGGTCGAGGTCAGAGACGCAATATTGAATATATGTATATTTTGAAACGTTGAAGTGGCTAAGATAGGCGCCCAAACACGCGTCGAACGCGCGAACGCGTAAAAGGCCAGCTGACCGCGTTTGGTCTTTGGCTGATTATGGACATTAAACGCAGAGCGCCTAATGCGAGCGCGATGGCCGAGCGGTTTAAGGCGCCAAGACGGGGCGTCCATTCGCAAATCTGGTCCACAGGCGTGGGTTCGAATCCCGCTCTCGTCATTATTTTGCTCTCTCAGGAGTTGACTTAGTTGAGCACCATTATTTTTGAAAAGCTTGTTGGTAACAACATGCGCTGACATACTATTGAAAATGCGCCAGAATACTCAAGAGCAAGTGGTACAGACGGTCTCACATCCTCCCATCACCCCATAAGCCCATTTACCGCTCATAGACATCGTTGTAGCTCACTTGGGGCCGGTCATAATATGGGAAAGCGTACGAATCGTGGTGCACATTGCAAGACACCTTGGTCGAGACAGAGCAGATACCCGAGTACGCACGAGTCATCCAACTAAAGCGTAAGCTTCACCTGAGATGTAGTTTAGGTCAGCCTCCATAATACGTGAGAGCACTCAAGACATAGCTTACTGACCTTCGATACAGCCTTTGCAATCTCGGTTTCCATGGCTCCGGAAAACGCGACACATTTGGGATAGATAACCTTCGTGCAGTGTGCGAGATCACAGGCTCGATGAGCTCTGGGGAGCAGGCGAGGGAGGCCCGCGGCTGCTCTGCCAGCATCGCCCCGAGGGTCTCCAGGTACGTGATCCAGGACTCGCGGATCCGGACGTAGATGGTCGCTGACTTTCCCTCTCCCTCAACCACTAGCAGCGTCTTGGACTTCGCCGCGCACCCGCCAATGCAGGTCATCGACAGCAGCTTCCAGTGCGCCGGCTTCTCCGCGATCCACCCCGGGAGCACCTCCTCGACCATTCGCGGCCGCGTCACCGCGCTGGCGGCCCTCCCGCACTCCTCTCGGTACGCCAAGAGCCGGTGGTAGTCGGCCGCGGAGACGGCGTGAAGGGCATCGAAGGGGTTGAGGTGCAGCGTCGTGAGCTCCAGCGTGCGGCGGGCCGCGATCTCGGCCATGTCGTGGAGACTCCTCCTCAAGGAACGCAGGTTGGACGAGGGCGTAGCGCAGGCGGGAGGGCATCCCCGCGATGTCGTACTTGCGCCCGACCTCCAGGAGCGCGGCAATGTCGTCGAGGGTGTACGGCTCCTCGTGCACGAGGCATATGCGCAGGACCTTCTCCCATATGTCGCCGGTCTCCTGGACAGGGAAGGTTGGCTTCGGACCCCCGCGCGTGGGATGCAGGCCGGTGACCATGCCATTCGGGTCGAGACCAACGATGACCAGGTCAGATCTGCGAACATGGAGCTCCACGCCGTCGGACGTGCGTATGATGGCGTCCCCAGCAGAAGGATCTTTGTAGGGAGGAAGAGGGGCGTAGATACTGTTGATGTTCGCGTCGGCGCTCGAGTCGGTGGAAATGGCCATGTTGTTGTCTGACATCCGGGCGCGAGTGCTGTAAGTGGAGATGTTGAGTCCAGAGGAATACGTACGCTGTTATACCATGCTGCATCCCATATTACCGCAGCTCGGCCGACGGCACTGCGGCGCACGCGACTGTAAAATAATAAGGTGCCTTGCACGAGGCAACAGGAATAGCGATTAGGTTCGTACCTCTAGTGATATTCTTTGCATACCCCGGAGCTTCAGAGTCTGAAAGTGTGTACAGCGAAGAACGCAAGATGAGGTGAGGAGTCTAGGGAGCATGTTGCAACACTGGCGAAAGAGTAAGATCATTTGTGAGGTTTTTCAGTTTCCGACCCCCGATTAATCAACTTCGTCGAACGGCTCTGTGCATTAGTCCGAGCGGGAACATGTATGCGACCATGCATGTCAATTCCGAGTTCCCATATTACAAGGCGACGGTCCTACAACAATCCTTTCAGGATCAAGCTCGTTCGAACCCCGGATTACGATGTTGCGATCGTGGACCTGATAGCACTCGGCCTGTTGAAGACGTATGCAGCACTGTCAACTGCCTGAGTGTTGAAGGAAAGAACGAATGGGGTACCTTTCAAAAAGCTATGCAAGCCGCGCACCCGGTTCAAGACTCCAATACCAACTTCACCTAATATTGCGTCAGTTCTATGGTGTCGACAGGCCGTGAGCGCGGAAACACACCGTGGAGACAGCTCCTCTTATCTGTTCCTCCGCTGCCTGGGAGAACCGAGACACCTCTGCATGGATGATAAGGGAACATCCGGGGCATGAAGCCATTACGGAGGTTACGATCGGAATGAGGTGGGTGAAGCTGCATGCGACAGATTCGTGTGGGTTATGTTCGAGCTCGTTGGCGAGATGGTGCAGGTACTCCAGCCACAAGCTCCGTATATCGTATGTGACACGCGTGGACGACTTCTTCCAGGTTGACGTCTCCACGACAATCGACGTTCTTCGACAGACCCGCGTGTCGCAGGTCTTCGAGTCCGGACAGCCGTTGGACAACCACGTAAAGCTGGACGTCGCAGGAGTGGTGGGGACGACTTTGATCGCCGCGCGAGCGGCCGCTGCACACTTTTGCCGATATTCGAGAAGCCGATAGATGGCGCGGCCGGACACGTACGCGAACTCCGGGACGGTCTGAGGGTAGACGGGAAGCTTCAGCGTACGTCGAGCAGCGACGCCTGCAACGTCCTCGAAGCAGCCATAACACGCTAAAGCATAGACGGCGTATGGCGAGTCATCCAAGACGTCTGAGCGAAGGAGATGTGTGCGCATCCGATTCTTGATCCCCGTCATTTGGTACTTGTCTGAGGCCACGAGGAGGTTATAGATGTCCGCTAAGGAAAGGGTCGGCTCATCAACGTGTACGAGGGGCAGCAGCTTGCTCCAGATAGCGCTCGGTTCGGAGACGTCGACCACCTGTTTCTCGATCTTCCCATCGGCAGGGGGGCCAGGCAGGGAGAACATGTCGGAAAAGACGGGGGAGACGTCCGCGATGCGGCGCCGATGCACATGGAACTCAATTTTGTCGGAGGTCCGAATGGTGAGATCGCCGACGGATGGGTCCCGATAGGGTTCGTGCACCGATGTGGGGTTGGCCATTTCTTGGATGATGTGGATACGCAGATGTAGGAGAGGAGGTAGACCTCTGGACGCGATGACAAACGAGGGACTCTCCGCAGACGGATTGGAAGGTAATCTTGTGCTGCGGTAACGCGCTCGCAGGGTGGCACGAGGTGCCTTGAGGCGGGGCGTTCCGAGGCTTCTCAAAGACGTCGCCGGAGTTGTGGGATACTTCAAGAGTATGCGATTCTCGTGACGAATTGAGGGGTGGCATTTGGCGAAAGACGAGGGGGGCGAGTCGAGCGTTCGAGCGTTAGATCTACTCGAAAGGAACAACAGTTGTACAAGGACTCCACGCATGAATTGAACGTTTATGATCAGCATACCGCTCTCATCGTCAGACAACCTGCCAAGTAATTGGTAGGATGCGTGGAATAGACTCGTTCAAGTGTGATAGATTCGTGATCCCTGTGCATTATGTAGCGTACATCAGTCGACGACTTGGTTTGAGCCTTCCTTCCTGTGGAGAGAACCGCGAATTCTGCATTAATATTGGCGAAGGCTGTTGCTACTTCGAAGAACGGAGACGCACCTTTCCTTACTACTCCTCCCTCTCCAAGAACGCTATCCCTGTGTTCCTGACCTTTCCCATGAAGTTCTCGTACCACTTCGCGATGACGCCCATCGGGACCAAGAAGTCCGGCGACATCGCCGAGGGATTGCCCCCGACGAAGCTCGACACATAGTTGAAGAGGTGCTTGACGATACGCTCCGCCAGCCGGGTTGCGTCCGCGGTCGGGTTGTTGTTCGCCTTGACCATCGCGGAAGGGAGGCTCGATACTTCTTGCATGATTTGCGGGAGGGGCTCGATAGACAGCCCAAGGATCGCGGTGACATCTGCAGGCGATACATCTGATGCTGCGCCAGAGAACACTGCGTGCGCGTCCGTCGTCTGAGCAGAAAAAGTGCCGCGAAGTCGAAATATCGCCGATGGCTTGTCGTTGGAAAGCCTGTATGTTGGTCAATACCCGTAACGCGCGTGCAGCGCATCCGGTCAGAGCATTTATAACTCACATTCCCAAGAGTTGAAACCCTTTCCCAGGCCAAAAGAAATGTACCGTCGCGCCATATCCGTCTGGAAAGGGTGCTGTGATGCGAACACAGCTCAAACAGGCGTCCACAACTCGAAGCGACGCTGACACGTACCGGTGCCGAGCAAGAACACACAAACATGATTGATGGATCCTGCGGATGGCAACTCAAAGATCGCGTGCGTTTCGTCGACCTGCTGCAGATTGGTTTGGAGGAGCCGTCCCGCGACCAAGCATCCGAACATGGTTGGGAGAAGGAGCGTGATGACTGAGGGTACGTTGAAGTTCCAGCTAGTAGTAGTCAGAGATAATGCCCAAAGGCGTTTTAATAAGGGAGCTGGTCGTCCACAGGAAGACTGGTACTGCGAGCGAGATGCTCATCGTGGTCGAGCGCATTCGATTCGAGGACGTTCGCGCCTGTTCAGGACCCCCGCCTATGCTGCAAGAGGTCCGATCGCAAAACCTGGAGATTTTGCCCTTTTTATCAGCATACATTTTGGGCAGTTTAGTCAGCATGTTTTTCGGACATACCGAATTAGGGTAGGCGCTTATCAGCATGGACGATCGGACCTCCAGAAAATCAGAAAAAATCGCTAAAAGTCTGTAACAACTCTCAGAGGTAGCGGGACACCCGTACGACTGGTTGAGATTGTAGCGCGGTTCGTAACACATCTCTATGACAAAATAAAGGAATACAGAAAGCCCAGCTTCAACTAAGCGCCCTCCGCCTCATCACTCGAAGAACCCCCTTCCTCTTGCTCGTCTATATCGAATGTTCCCGGAGCTGGCAGGGTAGCAGACTTTTTCTTCCTCATGAGTTGTGTCAGGTGCTTGACCGCGGAGCCAACTTGAGCGTGCCGATCGCGCAAGGCGTCAAATATCGGAGCTGAGAAGTTACACAGCGTCACCATCGTCAGTGTGCCGCCGTCGGGTGTCTCAATATTGGACAGTTTGATGCTACTAGCGCACGTCGCGAATGAGAAGATGATTTGAGCGGGTGGAAAGCGAAGGTGGGTGGAGCAGCCCAGAGTTTGGCAGGCCAGAGACGAGTACGTAGAGCCGTGCGAGAACACGAAGACCTCGACGGCGACGTAGGAAGGGATACCGATGTTGTCGACCGCAGTGATGTGTTCGTGTCGGCTGCCGGGAGCATTGGATTTCGTATACATGGTGACAACTGTTGTGAATATCAGCCTCCCGAAGCACTGATGCACATGAAGGATGCACGCACCACGACCGAGGAGTACGTTGCCTGCTTTTGCGTCATACACTACCACGAAACAGCCATCAATTAGAGGATTGATTGGGCTGAGATTAGCGCGTGCGATTCCGGTGTGTATATCCTGGAGGATCAGGAATGCTTCTGCACGAAGGCGGCAATGGTTCTAGTAGAGTAACAGTTAGCACCGGTACAAATCTGCTGTAACATCAAATAAATACGTACATTAGCTGACACAGTGCGCAACGTTCGCTTCTGAGCAGCGCGAGCAGGAGAGTCAGCACTGCTTTGGAAGCTTCCAGTGTGACGAACGTGTCGGTCGACACCAGATGTAGCATTGAAGGTTTCGTTCTCCGGAACTAGACAAGCCAGTCGTTTCATGAGCTGTTGGCGGAGCGAAAGCGATCCAGAAGCGTCATCGTCATTGCCAATCGAAGATCCCCGGGGTTGCTGATACTGTCGGACAGCCTTTTGAGCAAGGGCAGTCTGGTGCCTTCGGCGTCGGGCCCCCAGTACGGCTATAGACAGCTCGCGTGTGCGCGAATCGTAGAGCGGCTCATCCATGCAAGTAACGCCACCGTTGTCTTCGGTGTGGCTGCTGCTCTCGGCGCTATCGCTGCACTCAGCATCAGCTCCGTCAGGCTGGGATGATGGGCCTGGATGGTCGTCAGTACTGTCCTACACCGCCTGAGACGTCCCAAAATGCACGTACTTTCCTGACCCTCGAGCTGCTTCTTGATTGTCAGCAGCACCGCTGGAAGCTCGGTCTTGTCGCAAGATTTTGGGAGAGCATCGCTTCGGAACCAGCCAGAGATTATTAGAATAACGCTGAATATCCTCGGGGATCAATAACTCACATTGCCAAGGTACGATCAAGACTTTCTGCAACCAGCGCAATTTCGCACGCATTGGCTTCCTTCTCCTGGACAGGGTCGAGCGCAACAGGCGCGTAGAGCGTGAGCAGCTCCGCTAATGTCTGCGGTGCTCTTGGTAGTTGCGGGGAAGCGTGGCCTGGACGGCGCGCAGGTGGCTTGGGCATAGGAGGTTTGTACAGCTTCAGGAGAGTTTCCGCATTCAACTGCAGGGATTCGAGGAGCTGCTTGGCGTCACGGAAAGCCGCCTGTGAAGCGTCCTGCATCTCCACGTCGGTAGGCCAGCTCCGCAAGTTGTCCAGGTTCATATTTGTCGTGTCGTAGTATGTGTGATAATAACCACCAGCTTTGTCGTTTCCACGGTCAAGGGGAGTTAGTCTCTCGAAGGCTGCGAGAAGGAGAGTGCGGAGTTTCGGCTCGAGGTAGAGGAGGTCCGCAAAGTTGAAATCCTTTTTCAGCTGACGCAGGATCCCGAAGATGTGTTCGCACGGCGCAGTAGAGTGAAGCCAGGGCATGAATGGGTGGTGCGGGTAGTAGTTACGGTAAGTGATGATCAAGCTGAGAAGACTATCACAGAGCACCATGAAGATCGCAAAAGACTCGCGGGATATGAACTGGACGCTAGTCGAGTAGGACGGGTGTCGATCCACGTGCGCACGCCATGCCATCAGGAAGAAGCGAGCGGTCATTACCATCCTGGCGCGCTCTAGATGGGTGATGTGACGGTTCTCCCAGGCATCAACAAGCTCCCCGAGGACGAAGAGGTAGACCGCGAGAGCACGTAGATCGCTGTGGTAACGGAGGACTACTTCCAAGCACTCCGCTGAGAACAAGCGCGCCGCCGCGCGATCGTCTTGCTTGTCGACCCTCTCAACGTCGCGTCGGAAGAGAGGCGCCAGAGGGTGCAGCGCGAGCCTGATCAACTGCGCGAAGAAAAGTGCGAGACAGCCCAAGACGAGAATGCGGGCACCAGTGAAGAGTTGGTTTCGTGCGGTCTTCAGCGCATGCTTCGGGTCCTGAACAATGACAGCGGGGCGTTTGTTGATCAGATGTATCTGGAGGTTTATGGTGCAGCCAACGTTGTCGTTGGGGATCGTGTAGGGGAGGTAGTTCTCAGCCTCGGCCAAGATGTTACGTTGTAGAGCTCGCTCGACCTCGGTGCCATCGGCCGCATATGAGACAGGGTAGATACCCGCAGCGTGGAGGTGCACGTGGAGCTCCTTGTGCAAACTCAACAGAGTGGCCGCATCCTCTGTTCCCCCGCGGGCAACAGCGGCGATGACGATAGGTGGAACCTTCGCAAGGGGGACTATAAGAACATATAGGCGAATCTGTATAATGCTCAGCCTCAATGAATGGAGAGCAGGCATAACAGATGATAGATCACCTTAGTGGCTTTCTGCTTTTGCGCCTCCTCAAAAAGTGCGTCAAACTCATCCACAGAAGGGACTTGAATCACCCCTTGTGAGCCTCCGAGAATGAAACATTCCCCAGTAGTCGCATCCTCCCAGACGGAGACCCCAGGCTCCAGCGCAGTATCATCCCAAGCCAGCACTACGGGGCCCTTATAGTCGATCTTCTCCAGGACGTCGAGCGCAAGCGTGATATTGGCAGGAGATATTCCTGGCCGGAACCGGGGAAGGCGTGCTCGGTGCTTTCTAGTAATGCTGTCAATGCCTGTGAGATCGTGTGGTCAAGCAGCTGGTACATACTGCAGAGTGCGGACGTGTGGGCCACCGAAGTGCTGACGGAATGTCTGGTAGGCTCTCGGGGAAAGTGATGCAAGGACGTTGGTGAAATCCGAGAAGATCCGCGAGTACGTCATGTTCCGCAGACTCTTCCCTTGTCCGACGCGCTCGCTCTTGATGTACATCGCTTGAATGGCGCCAAGTAGGATCTGGCAGTCCTGGAACTGGCCTGCCACGACACCTTGCGAGAATTTAAGCCAAGGCGAACGGCCGTCATCCTACGGAGCGCGTTAATATTATACGAAGCTCGCCGGAAATGAACGACTTACCTCTTCTATCAGCTGGCGCAAGCCTTTGTACTTGAGGTAGATGTCGCCTTCTTCCTTGTTCCGATAGAGAATCGGGGTGTACTTCATATCGCTCTCGTCAGGCATGGGCCTGTTAAGTTGCGTACGGAAGACTCCGACATGAAGGAGAGCGCGGCACTTCTCGCATGGCGTTGGCTGTGCCTGGACGTCTGGCACCTCGACATCGCGCTCACAGCTTGTTGAATACACAGCGCCGACCGATCGAAGATTGCGCCACTGAAAAAGCATCTGCTCCCGGCGAAGGATCATCTGACGCTCTTCGTACGTGAGAGCTGTCCATGCGCAATCGTCCTTGGGCCGCGTAGAACTTTGAAAGAGCTGTAGGGCAATCTTGGCACGAGAAGGGGCCCCGCCACCATTGGTGGAGGTGCGAGCGAGGTAGACGGCGATACGCTTGTCCTGAGCGCGTTGAAGACCAGGGCATGGGACCAGTACGTTCGCTCGCTCAGGCTGGGCAGTGGTGGAAGCGACCTTGAGCGCAGTTTTCGATGCAGGCTGCCACAACGATAAGAGAGACGTCGAGACCAGCCCTTTCCTGCGATTCTGCGTGCATTTGTCCGACTTCCGGTGTATCCTCCAGCCGGCAACCTCGTATAGCACCCTAGCGACCGTCCAAAACCCGCACGCTGAGCACCGCGCTCGAAGAGGCTTCGTGTCATCGAAGAGCGCATGGGAATCCTCTGCAAGGATTTTCTGGCGGAAGTTCGCCATCTTCTTCGCGTTGACTTCGAAGCCCGGCTCCTGAGCCCGTACCGCGAGATCCTTCTGGTACGCCCACGAATGAGATAGACTCTCCCGCTGGGCCTTGGGCGGACGGGGTGTGACGGACGTTTCCCGGGTGGTCTCAGGGGAGCAAAGGAGGCGCTTGACTGGGGGCTTTCGATGAGCGGACGAGGATGAGGAGCGTGGGGCGAAGAAGTTGGCAATCACAGATTGGCCATCAGTGGGAACTTGGGGCGGACTTGAAGACGCGAGAGTAGTAGATGAAACACTGCGGGTAGCAGCTTGCTGGAAGGTGAAGGATGTCGCAGACGGAAGAGGAGTTAGAGGGAATTGAGGTTGAGAAGGTGCCGAGAGGTCCTGACGGTCTTCAGTAGCTCCCTCGCCATCGTAAAGCTCCCAATCCATGACGTCAAGAGAGAGGGTGAATGGCGTGGCTGTTGCCTCTGTGCAGGTCTGCGCACTCGAAGTACCGCATTCTACCGAGCCTGGCAGAGTGTCCATGCTAGTAGTGTCGTCATCCTCCGCCGGGGCCGCGAACTCCCCGGGGTCAGATACAAGCTCTCCTTCGATGTCCTAGTGAAAAATTAAGTGAATAGTCATAAAGTTAGAAAGGAAACCTGCCACTAACCTCGTCGCCTTCCGTCAAACCAGCTGTGAGGCGTATGAACCACTCCAGACGATGGCGGACTGCACTGCTCTGGGACCACGAAGCGCCTCCCAGCAGGATAGCATTGATAGAGCTGAGAACGACGATTCCGCAAGAATCACCATCCTCCTGTACTGGCACTGTCCACAAAGGTTCCACCGCGCTGAGTGGGCGAGTCGCTAGATCGGGGACAAGAAGCGAGAGCCACCAGAAAAGAGTGTCCATGGCCTCTCGAGGTGGATTGGCTGACGCTTTACGAGAGTCCGCATAAGCATATGTCGCAGCCGCAATGTCGATCTTGAGCAGAGTCCAGTGGTTGCCATCGACGTGGAGTGGAATGAACAGGACGTCAACCTCCCCAGAGCAAATAGAGACGTCAAGAGCGGAGCGCCGCCGAGGATTATAAGTACCACGACGTCGCATGGCTGATAGACCAGCGAGGAGAAGGCAGTTGACAGTACGAACGCGCGCCGTCGAACGCGAGTGCTGCTGCATGATCCAGTCCATGCCCGCGTTCAGGACTTCATCGTTTAGCCATCTACAAGACAGAACATCGAGCAGGTCCTTTGAGTGTAGCGCGATGGCGGGTCCGTATCCCGGGATCTGGTCGGAGGTGGGGAGGAGCTCCAGTCGTTCCTCGCACAGGTACACCAGCGCCGGGTGCTCCGGACCAGACTGCATCAACCAATCGGCGGCGGAGAGGACCACATCTGGTAGGCTGTCTGTGTAGCCATCGGAGTCGCTGGACCCTCTAGGTTCAAGCGGCAGTTTCTAAAATATACAGGGAGTCAGCATAGTCACTAAACGTCCCGCGGGCTTGCCAGGACGCCATATTAATACTACTCACCGATGCAGAAACCGCCATTTTGAATCCAATTCTGATAGTGGGTGATCTCGCACTGTATCTCTCTGTGGCCGACGTCCTGTTAGTACTTTGCAGGGGTTAGTGGACGACAACAACAGGACGAACACTTTGCGTATGGCCGGTAGTGCGACAGGTTGATTTCTTCATCGCTCAGTACCCCGAGGTCTTATGAGGCCATGCTCACCACGGCTCCCTGGGGCCACACGTTGTGCCTTTAACCCCAATCGAATATTATCGCATAGCGCAGGTAATGAGCATTCCATGTACGAGCAACACGGGGCAGGTCCCGCTCCAACTTACCAGCGAGCAGACTTGAAGTGAGCTAGGGTCATCATACCAGCGTCCAATGTTCTATAGCGGCAAAGAAATGTTCATACAGAACAAGCGTACCGAGATGAGTATGGTCATTGCTATAGTGCCCCCGACCGCTAGCATGGAGGAGGACAGCTAGAATGGTCGCCGGAGCCAACCGAGATCGCTCGGCAGATACGGGTAGGCCGGCCGGGCAGCTGCCTCTTTTGTCAGCATGATGGATCGGACCTTCGGCGCCCTAGGGCCCATTATACCGCACATAATATCGGACATAGCCAGCCTTAAGGGCCCAATATACCGCACTATTATCGGACATAAGGCCCCTTTACTGGTCACTTTGTACAGCATTATTATCGGACCTCTTGCAGCATAGGCGGGGGTCCTGCCTGTTCGCGCGCGCGCGCGCACGCGCACAGGCGCCCGTCCGCGTCGCCGCCTGTTGCCGCGCGCGGCGAGCCGGGGTCAGCTGCGCTACTACTACTGCCAGTGCGCGGCCACTATGCTACGCCCTAGCACATACAACGAGCGTCGATCCTATTGCCGCGCGCCGTTTATCCAAAAGTATCATGGTGCGCGACCTCGTGTACTATTTGGAGACAGTAGCTGACGACTTATCGCGCTAGCGCCGCATATTTCTCCCTTACGCCAGCGAGGTTTCGATTCTAGGTCGCGAAGCATTGAATTACAGACATGTGTCACAAAACTCAGACTCCGTGCGCTGGTATGAGGCATAGGACATCGAAACATGCCGCTGCAGATACATCGAGGTGCATACATAACCACATCCGCTGCCAGAAGAGGCACATGGTGGTGCATCGTCCGGCCAACGCCGTCAACTTAAGAGGCCCTAGAAACCTGCCATTATGCCATGCAAGTGCGCGCGAGATGGGAGGAGAGACACCTCCCATGAAGCCCTTTCAATTGGTCCCGCTAGGCCGAACTGCCTCCTGTTCAACCCGCTTGGGCAGGGCCAGAATCGCGCACTCTCCCGCATGCCTAATTGCGGCTCGACCAATATGCAACTTGGCGCAGAGGTACGCGCGTACAGCCGAAGTATGAAAATACAGCCGGGCAAGCTGTATCAGTTACTGGGTAGGAGATACGAGGGGCAAGCATTGCGCCCGGGCGAACTGGCAGATCCCGGCAAGGGGGCGCACAAACGCACTGTTGTGCTGGCACTTGAAGCGGAAGAAACGGTCTTCGGCCCAGCGGTCTTCAAAAGGCACACTTTGCGGCCTTGCTTAGCTCACGGGCAAAAACCAGACACAATGGCCGTCGAAAACGAGACGTCGTCCCGGACCAAACCGCGGGAGCCTAGCCCTTCGCAGATAGGCCCCAAAAGCAATCATCCAGAATCCCTGGGCAATTGCGAAAGGCGACACGAGGCATTGGAGGTCGTAAACGGCAAGTGTTGGGGCTCTGCTTCTCGTGATGCCTTATCCTAACCTTCCTCATCGAGTAGGTCACAATGCTGCCGCGCTGCGCGCAATTGGATTGCCTGGCGATCGAGCTTTGCGTATGTTTTCCTCGCCAGCGGGGCGCGAAATTTTGCGGCTGCCCAATGGCGGCCCTGGAGACCATTGTGCTCTGGGGGTAAGCCACCAGTGACGCCCGTCGCCCTCAAAACCAACCCCCGGCGCCATTGTATCGTTCGCAGCTCCCTTGTCCTTCCCGCCCCACCCCCAGGACCCCTCTCCATTCGCCGCAGCCTGCCCACTATGTCGTACTACTATTATCCCGTCTCTTTCCCCTCCATTCCCGAAGACATGGACGCATGGTCTCGATCCTCTGATATGGCATACGGCTCTGCCCTGGCATACGATGGGGCTCACGCGCGAACAGGTATGACGGCCCCCATTTCCTTGCCTTTCTCATGGCCTCAACGGGTCGTGTTTACAGCGCCCTCCACTCCACCACCACCTCCTCCTCCTCCTCCTCCTCCTCCCCAGGTCGGCATTGCACCCTCACACAATGGGGCCACCGATGCGCTGCTGATCCAATATCCCATACCCCGGGCCCCTTACATATTCACGAGCACGCACAACGGCCCCGCGACCTACCAAACCCTGCAGGTCGCTGCCTCTATCGTCCGTCCCCCTATATTCCCATCCGCCTCCCGCCCGCCCGTCGCGCATCACCAGCCTCTTGGACCACCTCTCATGCCCCCTTTGTATCTCCCGGTCACCGAGGGCGGCGACATCTCTGACCCCTTGCTTCCTACACAACAGCTGCGGTACGATACCGCTACGTTGCCTTCCCCCGATGGCCAACACTCCACGCCATCCACTTCTTCTCTCTTCGCGGCCCTTGTACCCTCGCTTGCTTCGTCCTCCGAAACCCCCGCCCTCGAGAATCTCAAGGTCACCCACCAGCACACTAAGGCATCGCGAGTCGCTCGTTCGGACAAGCGCCCTCGCCCTTCCCCCATGGCTCTCCGAAAGCTGGCGCCCGCCGCCGCCAGCACTTCCAGCTTGGCCGGTGCGTTGGGAAACCCAGGTACAGCGCACTACGAGTACAGGGGCCACAACCGCGCTGAGTTCGTCGCAATGTACTACATCCCCATCTCACTCCTGTCTCCCCACGACCCGACCAGGACCTTCAAAGTTCCGTTGCCCCCCAACACGGATGTCTTCTTCGACCCGGTCTCCGTCGGCGGCGTGCTCGGCTTAGCCTGCTACCAGTGCCCGAGCGTCCGCAAGTCCAGGGCGAACCCGTATATCTTCGAGAACGTCGACCGCGCCAGGATGTCCCTGGATCATGCCTTTCCCGAGAAGAAGATCTGTGTGCACCGCGGAGTGGTACGTCGCCCTCGTTGTCTCGTCGATTGCAGTAACTTGACGGTTTCTCTGCAGATCGGCGCCGACGCCCACAATGTCCCCCAGATTTTCCAGAGCGAATCGGACAAGGTGCCACTGGAGGGCTTCGCGCTGGGCCACCTCCTCACGTTGATGGTCGGCAGACAGTATAAACTCTGGCATTGCGGCCGGGTTAGTGCCTCGTCTCTCCTTCATGCGCGCATGGGGCTTACTCGCTCTCCCATCCACACAGCAAGCCGAACTCAGAAGGACCACCGGCTTGAGGCATCTCATCGGTAACAGGGCCGACGTCCCGTCCCACATCCTCGACATGGAACCCTCGTGGAGGATGCTATACGTCGTCGCCATCCGGCGGTGGCTTGACAGCAATGGGAAATTCCATTACTTCCCGGAGCTGGAGGTGCGCATCTGAGGGAAGATGATGACAACGCCGACCGCTTCTTGTTTATACCATATCGTTATCTCGTTTTCAGCTAGTCTCGCCATCCAACGCTGTCTTTGTTGTATCGCTCTGAGCTTTGTAGTACCGCTATCACATGTTGTTTTACTTGTCGCGACTTGGCACCGTGCTGAACATCCTGCGCAGACATGTGGAGCTATCTGGTACGCCGTGCCATTGCTTGCGGCGTAGCTGGGCCGGCTGACCATTATGCTATCTCAGGGAGTCCGCAGCACCAAGCGTGCACGCCGCTGTACTATGCGCTTAGCCATGGGACGACAATGCGTTAATCTAGGTACGCTTTGCTCTCTCATTGACCGTGGCTACCGCAGCGGACTAGTGGCGCTACGCATAGCTTCATCTGCATTGGACAATGGCAGTCAATGCGCACGCTCGCGGCCCACAGTGCTTACTAGGTCGCGCGAGCAAATAAGTGAATGCTTACATAGAGCCCGAGCCCTTACGCCCCCTAAGTTCGCGTGAGGGTCCCATCTCAGCCATCCTCTGTGCAGCGGTTATCACCACTCTCAGAAGCTCCTGAAAGCTTTCGGTGTGCATCCGATGGCTCGTCGGGCCAGCCTTTCGAGAAAGTCTGACTGTCAGTTCGCATCAGTGTCTACCTATCGATGTGGCTAAAGCTGGGGCTAACGATGGTTTTATCCTTGCAGCCGCGCCCCCAAAGGACACAGGAGGCGAGGGCCAATCCTCCTTCGCCACAGCCGAGATCCCCATACCCCTCAGCACGACGACGACACGAGCGCACCCGCAGCTCGACGCCAACTGCGTGTGTCACGCCGCAACGCCGCTGGTGCCTATCCTCCGGCTTCCCGACGACGGGTCGATTGTCCGCTTCCCGATCCCTCTGCCTCCGGGCACGGATCCGCACTTCAAGATCGACGTGAGCGTCGACGGCGTCGTAGGGATGCAGATGTCCTGCCCGCGCCGGAGGGAACAGCTCAACGCTACCATCGCTGGGCGTGTGGACGGCGCCGCGAGACCGATGGACTGCGTGTTCGAGCCTGGGATGCACATGTTTGTTCACAGGGCTATCGTGAGTACTTAGTCGTAGAGAAGCTTTGTGACCTCAGCTGACCTTGGGCGCGATCCGGCTGCCAGTTTTCCGCCGAGATGCATAACATCTACCCGAAGTTACGAACATGGACGCACAAGAAGCCGTCGACCGGTTTCACGTTTGGGCACCTCCTCACGATCTTGGTGCAGAAGCAGTTTGTTCACTGGCTGGCATTAACTTCGGCGAGTCGCCTCATGACTGTGCCGCAAGCCAATCCTCGGAGCGTGCTGACTGGTCTTGCAGGGAGGGGCGGTCACAGGGGTGACTGAATTGCGTAGACTCGTCGGGACCGACGTTGCTGGCGAGAGCGCGGGGCTCTTGGTCGCGTTCAAGTCTGTGTACGTCGTCGCGGTTCGCTGCCACACAACGGATCAAGGACAAACCATGTGGTATTTTCCTCAACTGGAAGTGCGACTTCCGCGGGGGGCTGCCAGTGGTACGACTCTGACTCAGCACGGTACACTGTAACATATCAAGAAACTTCACTCGCCACAAAACGGCGACGCGAATGTTCAGCTTACGGTGGTTCGGCCTGCAGCCTGCAGCCTTCACTTTTGACATGGAATGGGTCGAGCTCCGCTTTGGATCCGGTTTGTTGACCTTGTGCGCGACATGAAGAGCTGGTCCAGGAGCCAGATACGATGGCCGGAGGCTCCTCAGGCTGTAGATTCCCGCAATGGCACAGTGCATGGTGTTCGTCTCGTATCAGTTCGCTCGCGCCGAAGGATCTGCGCGGTTGGTAGTGCTTCAAAGACTTCGCGCCGTGCGTTGGACACCTTAAATCAAAATGTTCCTCAGTGGGCAAATGAGCTTGGGTACGCGGCGAGATCTGGGCCGGCGGGAGAGGCAGCGGCGGCGCCCAACAGGCTGTCAACCGTGTGGCGGTGCAGCACAGGATTGTTGATTGGCTATACTCACGTGGCTTGCGTTGGACATGGAAGCGCCCGTCATATATTTCTATTTTCCTGGTACTTACTCGCACTTGCCTCAACCCACTTGCCGCGCTCGCCGCTGGTACCAGTCTCACGAGAAATACGCGATGGATATATTCCAAATGCTCGAAGACCAGATTGCCCTCAGTAATCGCCGCCAGAAGGCTTGTGATCAGCAGCTCCAGGACTCTGGCGGCCGCAACGACGGACTGGTCGTTCAAATTGTCACGGCTCGCGACGATGAGAGCACTCCGGGGTTTACCCCCAAAATCTTGCAGTCTTTAGAAAGAGTCTTACCAACCGCACTCGGTGAGTATGCCTCTACGGCCTCCGCGACCTGGCAATGCTGAAAAATGCTGGCAGGTGCGCTGCTTGTAGTTCCAGATGCCTTCTGCCAGTGCAAGCCATCACCGCCCGAGAAGTACTCTATAAGTATCCACGCAAGGTCCAGTCTCCTCGATGAATGCACTATTGGAGAGTCTTCAGATAGACGTACGCGTATGCCCGTGCGCTTTGGAGTCTTGGGCCAGGCGCTACCGCTCCCTTACGTCGACGCATAGGCCACGCATCACGCAGCCTGAGCTGCGCCGACGTACATGGTCCTCTTCGCGTCACATCTTCCCATTGCGCGTCAGCCGGAATCCCCACATGTACGTTGCGTTCAATTGAGGTTTCAATTTCTGCATCGACCTACGCTTAGCCTGGTTCTACAGTTGCACACAGGGCTATGGCCACCACGGTATCTTGGCTCTGCGGCGCATGGAATCATGCAGTGGCATGCATTGGCGCCACACCTACACCACGCGCAGTGGCCCTCACTAGGTCAAAGCGGCTCTTCCGCTCACAGTTATAAAGCCCTGGCTCTCCTCCCTTATTGCAGCAGCCGCCCCCAACATCCCGTCAGAGTCGTTCAATCGTGCACATTCGCCTCATCATGAATCCTCCCCCTGCTTCACCTCTTGATTCTGACGACGCTGTAGCTCGAACCCAGCGCCATGAGGAGCTCAAACGTAAGGGATACTTGGACCCCAAGGGCACCGGTGAGTTGTGTCTCTTGCATATCGTCCTCTACCACGACTTACCCCAACCACTCAGGCCGGCCTGAGGATTGGATGTATGTCAGTGGAACGAATGAATTGCCGCCGCCGCCTTTGCCATCTCGTGCCAACGCCGTTCGCGACACCCTGGCCGCCCCCAGACAGATAAACCAGAACACTATGATGCCCCCTTCCCACCTTGCGACAGTCCCTGAACCCCAGCAAGCCGCGCCGGCGCTCCCCTCCACTCCGACCCAGGGTCGACCCCGTCGGCCTGAAGCTCAGCTTCGCCCAACCCAGGCCCATCCTCGCCCGCCTCGCACGGTGACGCAGACGCCGACGTCCCCTACCGCTCGAGCGCGGGGATCGCATTCACGTCCCTACCCAGAGAGCCCTTCAGCAGGAACCCGTCGCAGCACGCGTTCACGTCAAGCCCCGAGTATTACCTCATCGCCCGTTGTGCTCAATGAAGGGGTATATAGGGTACCTCTCCCAAGGGACACCGACCCCGACTGGCAGTTATCCGCCCTCATCGACGAAGAACCTGGGCTTAGCCTCGTCCCTGGAGCGCCGCTTCGCGAGTTCATTGCCCAGCGGGTTCACTTGGCGTCGTATGATATAAGTCATTATATCCAGGGCTTTGTCTACGTGCAAAAAGCATACGTGAGTCGCGCGTCCCCTTGTCGCATATCGATGTCACCTAATTCTTAATCTCGTGCAGTTCGCCACAGAGGCTCACCCGCCCCCGTTTCCAGCTCGCCCCCAACCTCTCAAAGAATCCATGACGCAGGGCGGTCTCCTGGAGAAATTAGCAATCCAGCAGCTCAAATCCTGGCGGGACTCCGTGAGTTCTATTGCCGCCCTCAAAGTGCACATATCCGGTCACGCGCTGACTAGCGTATTCTTACAGGTGTCACTCGACCTACGACGCATCGTCGGCAACCACGCACCTTCAGGCGTTCAGGTGCGCGCGCCCCAGGTATATATCGTTTGCATCCGGCGGCGCCGGCTGCCGAACGACGGTCCGCCGGTGTGGTGTTACTTCCCCCAGCTGGAGGTACGCCTCTGAGGCCGCTTCGTCTTCGTCTCCAGATTCAAGAACCCATGTATGCCCGTATGCGATGTTGATAGACTATGCAATAGATACGCCACTATGCCCATTATACATGCGCCCGCCCCCGCGCGAACACAGCATCCGCCTCACCCCAGGACAATGCGCCGCCGCCGCTTTGCGCACCCCGCTTCCATTGATCGCTTAGATGGGATAGGGGCGCGCAGCGCCTCGAGGGCGGGAGCGGTATTGTCCTATTTAGCCACTGCGCTTTGACTAGCTCGGAGATGCAAAGCGGCGGCCCATTGTGCAGTAATATTTAAGGCCTCTTGGACCGAGCAAGAAAATGCACAAAGACACCCCTCTTACGAACAACAGCCATGACTGGCAGGACCTCCTCGCACTCAAAGAAACTGACCGTTGAATGGATGCCCCTCTGGCAGGGGCGGGCGGTTCATCCCGCGCCAAACTTAGCCACCCTACCTACGCCGCGCCGGGAGCCAACTCTTCAGATACTGACGTCTCGTAAGCTTGAACCATTGGTTATCAGGGAACAACTAACATATCTTGACACTCTGCAGAGGTTCAGTATCAGGGTTCACCATATACGCCCTATCCGGGTACGGCGGTTCACCATTCGCCGCATACACTCACAGGCAGACGGGCATCGCATCATTCACTTGTCCCCAACGTCCTCGGACACACCGTAGATCCCCATGACAGAACTCACGTCGCTGGATACTCTGGAGAGGTCAACTGGCAGGGTCCACAATACGCACCCTATCCTACTAGCGTTGTTCAGCACTCGCCGCCCACACCCAGACGGACATCACATCACTCTCTCACAATCGTCGTTCCCGGGCATGGTTCAGATCCGTACAGGACCGCTCAGAAGCACAACCGCACCCCAGGTAATTCGCCCCGCAAGGCCGCCTTCCCAAGTCACCGCCCCGCACCTGTAGCGGAGGAGGCGCCCGGTTTCCTTCCCAGAGCGTCCCTGTCCGGCCTGCGTCTCCAGGTCCCTCTTCCGCACGACCTTGACCCCACATGTTGTATCCCAATCACAGTATCAGGCGTTCCGGGTCTGCGCATCGTCCGCTGTGTGAATATTACGAAGGAAATGCCGAACCGGGCCATAATGCACTCGGTTGACGACGCGACACGGTGCATCGACGACCTTGTCCGGGTCCACGAGCGGCGTCTCATCGTCCATCGCGCATACGTGAGTTTCTTGCCTCACGAGACTCTATGCCGCGGCTCACAGCAGCCATGCGGTCGAAACATAAGTTTGCGAACCAGCGGGGCGCAGAGACGCCCGTGGCTACGAAGTCCCCAGTCGAGGCGGGGCTCACGGTCGCGCACCTGCTCACGCTGTTGGTCCGCAGACAGTACGACGGGTGGTTGAAGACTGTTGGTAAGATGGTGCGTAACACGGTCGAGCGCGCAGCGCAGTTGCCTGACGTTTCTTCTCGCGCGTGCAGACAAGCGCGGCGAAGGTGGAAGACGTCGTGGGTCGCGGCGAAGGGGCGCTGCCTGGGGTGGAGGTTGAGTACGGGGATCTGTACGTTGTCGCCATCCGCCGCAGCACCGGCAGAGATGGCAGATACCGCTGGTTCCCGCAGATCGAGGTACGCTTCGGGCAGTAGTGTTGTATGTCGTGGACCACACCGTAATCAACTAGTGCAACATACGGCGAGATGGCGAGAGTAGCCCCGGCGACGACGGTATATCATCGTATACGAAGAGTAGTGCAGCGAGTGACCACAAGGACCGAGACTCCTGGGGTAGCGCGAGCCCAGAGAAGCAGGAGGTCCCCTAGCTGTGTGGAAGTGCGCACTATCGCCGCGACTTGAATCCGATCTGAATCTGCGTGATACCCAGTCCATGTTCCAATTCTTGAGATGACAGAACGCAGCACGCAAGTACGAGATGCACAACACATGCCCGCAGGTCATCTATATGCACGAGTAATCAGATCAGGTATACATAGAAGAGAACATCGGATTTCATATAGAAGCAACGTCACCGCAACAAGAAGCGCAGATCATTCGTCTACTAGGAATACATCGCGTCCCGCACACCACAAGGGGTATCGTACATCATCGGACATCGTTCTTCTTCGCGCATCGCGCCTAACTGTATCGACGCGCCCCGGGCTGATGGGGGAAGCCGCTGCTATTGTGGGGTTCGAAGCCGCGCTGACTCTGGCCTCCGCCGAACTGTGGGCGCGGCGGAGACCCGACGGCACCGCCACCCGGTGGACGCGTTGAAAGGTTGCCCATTGACGTACAGCAGGACTGAACACCCGAGGAATGGCCGGAAGTGGTAGTGGGGTGTACGGGCTCAGCCGCGTCGCCGTATGGTATGGGCGACGACGAGGACGTCGAGGGGTTCGGGGAGGACTTGGAGGAAGAGAGCGAAGAGGCGCGGCTCAGGGTCTCCCTCGGAACCGTCAGCAGTTGAGGGGCCCACGGCCCGTCCGCATAACGGCCTCCGTCGGACGGGCTGCTAAGAGTCCTGGTGTTGGGGAACTGCAACTGGGGTCCGGACGCGTTGACAGGCGAACGGTTTTCGGAATGGCTCCCTCCGCCGCAACACGGGGCCCTCTCCCCGGAGGTAGCAAAGGTGAGCGTCCGCCCGGAGGAGCGGTCGTGATCGCATCCGGGACACGAGCAGCCCTGGCAGCAGCCGCAGCAGTCGGAAGGACATCTGCACATCCCTGCGGGGCACTTGCAACGCCCACCGCAGCACTCGGACTCCACCGCGGGAGGGAAGGACGACATGGCAGGTACGGCTTGGGAATCGTTCCAGGTCCTGTAGTCGTTCCCTGCGGAGGAATCGTATCGCATCTCCTGTTGACCTGGGTCGGAGGGTGAAAAGGCAAGGTCGCTGCTTCCGGAGGCGGGCGGGAACTCGGACATAGAGGACATCTGGCTGAGCCACCGATCAACATCTTGCGCCTGCGCGGGGTCGTACAACGCCGAGGTCATTTCGGATGACAGAGCGGTGAGAGCGACAATGTTGCATTCAAGGCAGGCTGAGCACGTGCTTGGGTTGACACACGAGGCAGAGGGGTCAGCGTTGGGTCCGTTGTGTTCGAGGCACCCGGGGCACGCGCATGCCGAACCACAGTTGCACAATGGGGGTGGGTCGGGGGCAGTGGGGTACGCCCTGAAAGCTTCGCTATCTTGCCACGCGCCGAATGGTGATGTGGCGTCCGTAGAGATGCTTGTGGTGGAGTCGCGCGCGCCTGGATGAGGATAGCTGGCACTCGAAGGATAAGAGGCCGACGACTGTGACGGCGGGGGGTACGGTGCCTCAGAGCCGTGGGCGTACTCATAAGCCCTGCCATAAGGGCTGTAGAAAGACTGCCCGTGACTGGGAGAGCGACCACGCAGAGGAGCCGAAGGTGGCGATATAGGCGCGTTCCTAGTCGGCGAGACAGGACGTTCAGCAGGAGGCTTAGGGAGAACCGGGCGATTGTTGCCGCTATGCGCGTGTATCACGAGCGCGGCAGGCTGTGAGATGATCTCGCCCGGCGACGTTGAAGTGGGCCGAGCTTCAGAACCGCGACGGGCGGCAGGACGAGCAGGACGCTTGGCACTGCTTCGGGGGGTCCAACAGTGACACGACGCGTCATCCTTGCATGCGCAACCGCGGGCTGACGGCAGATTGAGCAAAGGGGATGCTTGACGAAAACGACTGGTCACGTACCACCTTGGTCCGAGTCCGACCCTTCCGAGAGCGGCCGTGATGCAACCGACGCTTCCAGCAGCCCTTCGGGCAGACCGCTAGGAAACGCGGCGCGGGCCGAAACCATGGTACCACCTAAGAAGCGAGAGAGCAGACGGGCCTTATCGGTCAGACAGAATTGATATCGCCTCGCGCAATAGTTTAACACACCTTGCCCTAGTGAAGAGCTCGACACTCCGAGGTTGCTATCTTTGTTCTCGCAGACGCATTTGACGTGGATTTGGCGTGTCTTCCGAAGTTCGCGGCAGTGTTCGCATTGCGTGACGGGACGCCCTTTCTTTTTGATTTCGAAGAGGGGGCGGTCTGTGTGCTTGCAAGAGGAGGAGCGGTGCCCTTTGATGCAGGTCTCGCTGCGTGGCAGTTAGTAGCTGCAGCAAGCCGTGTAAGGTGCACGACCGTACCAAGCATATTTCTGGTCGCCGACTAGAACCTGCGAAAAGTGAATGTTAGCTCCCTAACTCCCTACGACACACAGAGCCGGCAAAAACTCGCCATTGCGATCAATATGAGGAGGGGAGGTTTGATGAGAAACGCCTCGGACGCTTTCGCTACGTCCGCGACGCTAAAGCGTGCGTTATTGTGAGACGAAAACCACCAATGGGGGCTGCTGAGCGGCGGTCACTGACATGGACAAACAATGGGGGGAAGGGGAGGAGGAGAAGAGGAAACTGGAAAAGTCGGTCTCCCGTCCACTTTTGCTTATATAGTGACTTCCGCGCCACCGCATGCAAACACACGCAAAGCGAAGGAACATCGGCGGGGCGGTCCGCGTTACGGCGTCACAGCTCAATCACAGTTCTCGCACCGTTGGGCGCTTAGCTGTGCAAGAAGGTTTGCAAGTCGCGAAATTCACGCTCGGGTCAACCTGGCGCGTGCCAGCGCGAAGCGGGCTGAACAGGCCCACCGGCCAGGAATACGGTATCGCGGTATGTGCACACATCCCGTCATCGGGCGAGAAGATCCGCTATCATCTCCGTACCGAGCACCCTGATTTCGCAACCGGTTAAGTCGCGCGGGAGCGTCATGCACAAACAGCGGTGGTTTTGCCATAGAGCGACGCCTTGAGGCGTCGCGGGCTCCCAGTAAGCCCCGGTCGTATCGGGGATGCGGGGGGTTGCTTCGTGCACCGCATAGGCGAACCCAGGCGAACTCTCCGAGCACCGACACCGAGAGAAGGCACCGTGGCCACGAGGAGGCCCCTGAGCGCCACATTCAAAGGAAGAACGAACGTGTGGCCCCGCGATCGAGTTTGCCACACGGTGCGATATCTCGAACGGCGGGGCACTGCTCCCTTCCGTCATCGAAGTCCGTGCGCAGCAGATAGACGGACCGGGTCCGTTGGTCGCAGGTAAAGCAGACATCGGAACGATCGCCATCTTCCAATAGAGTACACGGCGTTTGGAGCACCAGTTCGTGCAGATTCCACAGCACAGTTCGACCGTTGCTTTGATCCGGCGTGCAGGGTGAGTAGCTCGGGACATGCATGACGTATCGTCGATGCAGCACGAAGTCCGTGCGGTGAGATGGGCAGGGTGCCACAAATCACTCCGCCCCGAGTCCGAGTCGTTAACGGATACGCTAACTAGTGATGTGGGTGGTGACCAACCAATCTATTCCGCATATGCTTTTCAGAAGAAGGCGCTGCCGTATGGTCGCCAGCTTTCAGTGGTCTCTAGCCAGGGTCCGAACCGGGCACCTGCATCGTGATACAGTGAGTATCATAACGCAAAGAGTAGAATCTTCCTGCTTCAACCTAATTCACGTCAGTGTGATTGTCCTCGCCTTTTTTCGACATCACCCACATCATCGAGATCTAGTAGAGAGATAACTCGCTCACCGGTGCATACAAATGTCAAGACACTCGCTGCCATTGTGCGCGCGCCTGGTGCACGAGGGACATTGGAGAAGATACTTTCAGGAGAGCTTGCTTTGAGCCACAAATTAAAATCACTGGAGTTTCGTTACGATGATGTTGCTTGATCGCTCGGAGTATTCTCGTGGGCCGTGTATTGAGGTAATCACAGCAAACGGAGAACTTTTGCTAGAGGCCGCGAGGACTGTGTGCTCTGGGGTTTCTGCGTACCTATATGTCTTATTTATTAGGATAAACCAAGGGATCCGGCAGAAACATCAGTGGTAGAACGGCGGTGGTAGGAAAGAGTGAGTCTGGACGCTCAGCGCTCAACGTCCTCCTGCGCCTCTTTCACAAAGACGGCTTGTTATGATCGTATCGGAGCCTATCCATTCGGTTTTGTACTCTTTTTGCCTATGAAGCAGGTGAATTTCGAGACATCTCGCAGTGTGCATGGCTTAGAGAAGAAGAGGATAAGTCGTGGAACTTGAACAAACGACCGGGCATTTGGCGCCCGGCATTTGCCGCGCGCCAATAGAACGCTTCCCAAAGCAGACGCATCACGTGCTTCAGAAAACTTGGAGAGGAAACCCAGCCGGAGGGAGGGTGTCTTCGGCGAGTCCCACTGTCCACCCCTTCCTCCGTTTCCTTGTGGTCTTTGGCTGCTAATCTCGTCAAGCTCTAGCTGTGCACTATGCCAGACGCATTCTTTGCCTCGTCGAAAAACAGGAAACGAAAACGGCCCACAACTCGCGACGATGGACCCTCCACCTCGAAGAAGGCCGCGCGCGGCGTAAACGCAAAGGGCGGCAAGGGTCGCAAGTCGGAACCCCCAGCGAAGAAGAAACGGAGCGCAGGGGACGAGGAGCTGTCGGACGAGACGCATGACGACGCCGACCGCGAGGGCATCGACGAGATGGACCTGCGCGCGCCGGACGTCGACCCTAACGCGTACGAGAGCGGCGAGGAGGATGAAGACGAGACCCCCGCGGAGAAGCGTCTGCGGCTCGCGAGGCTGTACATAGACAGCGTGAAGCAGGGATTGTCATTAGGTGTGTTCGGTAATCGTGCGTACGAAGATGGCACCTAACACCGAGAAGCGGATGGTGAGGTCGACGCAGCGGAGATCGACCGCGAGCTCATCTCGGCGCGACTGAAGCAAGATGTAATGGAGCACTCCGGGAAGATGCATTTGTTCGTCGCGGACACAGTGAGTGTTCCTATGCACAAACAGCGGAAGTGCACGCATTAATTTCGCGCTAGTATGACCTCGCGCAACCGCCATCCCTCCGTACAAAACGCGGCCACCGGTTCTCAGTAACTTATGCCGTCGCTTCCCAAGACGGGCGCTGGCTGTACTCTTCCGGAAAAGAAGGCTCGATCATCAAGTGGGACCTGCACACCGGCCGACAAGCGCACACGTTCCACAAGTGCCGCGTCGACAAGGGCAAGGGAAAATCTCGGGAGCCCATAGACGCAAATGGGCATACGGACGAGATCTGGGCCATAGCCGTCAGCCCGGACGGCAAGTACCTCGCCAGCGGTGGCAAGGACAAGCGGGTCGGTATCTGGGACGTGGAGAAAAACGAATGGGTCAAGGGATTCAGTGGACACCGTGACTGCATATCCGTACGTCCTCCTTGCGTACAAATGGGACAGCTTTTCACAAGTTTGCAGGCCCTCGCGTTCCGCAAAGCGGCGCCATCCCTACAAACACCAACACAACTATACACCGGGTCATACGACCGCACACTGAAGCTGTTCGACCTCTCCACGATGGGCTACGTCGAGACGCTGTTCGGTCACCAGGCCCCGGTCACCGCTATAGACACGCTTCTCGCGGAGACTGCTGTCAGCGCAGGAGGCCGCGACAAGACGGTGCGGTTTTGGAAGGTACCCGAGGAGACGCAGCTGGTGCTCCGGGGCGGCGGCGGCAGCAAATGGTACGACGACCTGGACGGGATGGACGAGGACGGCGACGCAAAACGGAAGCGGGAAGGCGCGAAGGCGGAGAGCTTTGTCGAGGGAAGCATCGAGTGCGTGGCGATGATCGACGAGAGCAATTTCGTAAGCGGAGGCGATAGCGGGTACGTGTTCCGTCTGCTTTCTAGAGTGAATTAGCACTGACTCCGCTCCGGTGCAGCTCGATCAGCCTGTGGTCGACACAAAAGAAAAAGCCTGTGTACACCAAGGCTGTCGCGCACGGGATGGATTTCTCGCACGTGGAGACGGAAGACGTCGCGATGGTCCGGAAGCCGCGCTGGGTGACCGCGCTCGCGAGCCTGCGCTACTCTGACCTCTTCGCTTCCGGTGCGTGTTCTCGAAGCGCATCGCCCTCAGAACGCCCTCGCTGACAGCTGCACTCACGCTCGTAGGTTCATGGGACGGCGAAGTCCGCCTGTGGAAGCTCGACGCGAGACTCAAGTCGTTCTCGCCCATCGGGGCGATCTCCGTGCGCGGCGTCGTGAACTCGCTGCAGTTCCTGACGCCCCCGAAGGACTTCGCGAGCACCGCCCCGTGGGCAGCTGCTCCGGCGCCGGCTCCCGAGGCGGACGAGCCCGAGGCGCCGGCGCGGAAGGCGAAGCACGGCGGGGCTCCGGTCCTGCTCGTCGCGGGCGTGGGGCAGGAGACACGGCTCGGACGGTGGGTGCAGCAGAAGGGCGAGGGCCATGTGAACGGCGCGGTCGTGTTCGCGCTCCATCCTCGGACATAGTGCGTAGTGGCTGTGCTTTGTGACGCGTTGGCTACAATTTCTGCTTCGACCCAACATCATGACCACCTGCTCGACGATCTTCCATGAAGTCTCATGTGTGCTATACTCTGCTGAATGTCTTCGGGTTCGATCTGGGGCCTTTGGTTGCAGGCTAGGTATGTTATAATCCACTACTTTGCGTTTCGAAGACACTCCTCATAGTTTCCAACAACAGGCCCGGTTTGACTATTCTGTCATCGGCATTTTAAGGACAGGGGCGACGACGGTGTAACCCGTGCCGATAACCATGGGTTCTGTGTCTTCTATGGGCTTTGAGCAACACGATTCGCTGGATGTGCCACTCTCGAAATAGTCTGGCTATAACCATCTTCCAAGCTTCTTCCTCAAAAAGAGAAAAACTCGGATATACGCTGACGATCCTATGGCTCCCTCTTTAGTAATGCAAATTGTCGTCCATCGATGGGCGTCATGATGCACGACTCACAAGGCTTCTGGGGCATCCTTTGTTTGTGTGGTCGTATCATAGTGTGGCAAACTCGGTAAGTGGCCCATGCGGACTACGATGCAGTGGCCTTGCGCTAACAAGTCATATCTATCCTGAACACGTTAGGTCCTGAATGAGAATTTTGGAGGTAACAGGGCCCGCGGGTCCAAGTCATGAGCCACTCGATCGCAGTGGCTAAGCACGACGTCGGGGCCATCCCGGCGCAGCCGAAGCGTATATTCAGCCATACGTCCATTGGCTAGCGTCGCAGCTCAGCATGGGGTGGCATTGACCACAGTGGCTCTGCAAGACGTCCGCAGCTGCCAACGTATGTGGCCGCTTGGACACCATTGAACGGGCCAATGTTTCCACCACACCCGTATAAATATGCAACGGAGCGAAGTTCGGGCCTTTGAGGCATTACTATACCGACTCTCCCCTTTTGTCCTGCTCACTTGCTCGACCCGCTCCAGATCATGGCAACCGTTACACTCCCGTGGGACGCGCAGTCGATTACAATAATCAGGCACGACGACGAAAACCCCGCAAACCCTCCGGATGGCCACCTCATCCTGTACACGATCGCGCAGCCGGAACCTTTCACGAGCATCTCGTCCAACGCGGCGTCGTCCCCACCGACAAAACGCAAACCGAGACCCACATATTCCCTACCGCCGCCTCCGATCTTCGCGGCGACGCGGTTCCGGCTACCTCTTCCCAGCACCAACGATCCTGGGTTCAGGCGCGAGATCCTCGTGGGCGGAGAACGAGGGCTGCAACTGTCGAAATGCTTCTCGGTCGGCGAGGACGTCAGCATAACACACCTCCAAGGCACCATCAGAGAAATCTTGCGGCAGCAAGTGGAGGAACAAGTGAGCATTTATTGCAATGGCCCGTTCGTCAGCGTTGAGCGAGCATATGTACGTCTCCGTACCGTTTCCGTTTCGCGCACGCATGCTGATGGTCTCCGCGCAGTTCCCCAGTGAGTGGGGACAGAGACAGAAATTCGTGCGTGCGGTTCACAAACCCCTTGACCACAAGGGAAACGCCTACGTCACATACTCGTTCATCCTCGCGCACATGGTAGAGCAACAGCACAGACACTGGTGCGAACTGTCGGTGAGTGCCTCCCGCTGTCCCGTACTGGCCGCGTCGAGCTCACCGCCGTTCCGTATGTTGTAGCTATGGGACGAAGTGGATCTTGAACCACTCCTGGGCCCAGCCGCATTCTGGGCGAAAGGATCCAAAGCGAAATGGGATTCCATCTACATCGTCGCGATCAGGAAACACCGGACCTCAAAAGAAAACCATGGTGCGGCCGCTATCTGGTTCCCTGAGCTCGAAATACGCGTTACATGCTGAAAAGCATGTTCCAGAACCCCGCTAATGCTTACTATCCCCATGCTCTATGTCCATATGCTCGCTTTCATATGTAGACTTGAATAACCATACTGCCAATTCGCCGGTGAAATGATACAGTACGCCTCACTTTGAAGGCTTTGAGTTCGCCGGTTTGCAGCTCTGTACTGTACCGACCAACTTGTCAACTCTAGCTCAGGCCCATCCGCGAGGGCGCATTTTTGTTAACCGCGATAGAGCCATTGTGGCAGCAAGAACTCGAGGAAACCATCTCTCGGACAAACCCGGACTCTGGGGCTTCGTGACCCCAGCCACTCCGGGGTCTCGGGAGCGCCCATAAAACCAGATCTGCGAGCCCGATTAAGTATTTGAGTCATTTCCCCGCACCTTCGAGCTCGTCGTCGCCGACGACGACGACGACCCCAAAACGCCCTCGCTGCTCACGATAGCGATCAGCCTTGATCGCGCGCTCCCTGCGACACCCATTTCGACGATCATCCAGGCCTCGCTGCGCCATGATCAGCCCTGCGTCTCGCCGAGTACAAAACCAGGTCATGCGCCTCAACAGGCTGCCATCCTCCTCTGTCCGCTACTCCCACAACATGCGCCCCCTCACCGCCGCCGACGTCAACCCCGCGATCCTGAAGGTGCAGTACGCCGTTCGCGGCGAGCTTGCCATCAAGGCCGAGGAGCTGCGCGAGAAGCTCCAGGACGAGAAACACGACCTGCCGTTCAAGAAGGTCATCTCGTCCAACATCGGGAACCCTCAGCAGAAGGGACTCGACCAGCCGTTCTTGACGTTCACTCGCCAGGTCGCCGCGCTCATGGAGTACCCTCCGCTCGCCGAGCTCGTCAAGGACAAGTGGCCGCAGGACGTCCTTGATCGCGCGAAGGAGCTCCAGACGGACATCGGATCGATTGGTGCCTACTCGCACAGCAAGGGTGTTCCCCTCATCCGGAAACACGTTGCGAAGTTCATCCAAGGTACGCGTCCTTTACTCCCACACGCGCGCGAGAATGGGAACAAGGTCCCCATGATTTGTCTGCTTCGCGGGCTGGGCTTCTCGACGCAGCTACCCAGACTCCGCGGGGTGCCCCCGCAGTGACATCTGACATCGTTGCGCGACTTGTCCACATGCTGCCGGGAGGGACGCCCCGCGTTAGCCCACCCACGATTTATTTATGTCCCCGCGCGTTGAGGCAACCTGCGCATATGTCTAACCTACACTGTTCCAGAACGCGATGGCTACCCGAGCGACCCCGAAGACATCTTCTTGACCACCGGAGCCTCCGCAGGCGTCTCGCTCATCCTGAACGTTCTCATCACCGCGAACGTCACCGGGATCCTCATCCCCATCCCTCAGTACCCTCTCTACACGGCGACCCTCGCGCAATATTCTGGCATTCCGCTACCCTACCACCTGTCGGAGCCCGATGGCTGGTCGACATCGTTGCATGAGATCGAGGCAGCGCTGGCCAAGGCGGAGAAAGATGGCGTGGTGCCCCGCGCGCTCGTCGTGATCAACCCTGGAAACCCCACTGGCGCGATCCTCGACAAGACCACCATGCAACAGCTCGTACGACTCTGCGAGAAGTACTCGCTCGTTCTACTCGCGGACGAAGTATACCAGGCCAACCTGCATCGGCCCGATACACACCCGTTCCATTCATTCAAGCAGATCGTACGGGACCTGAACTCGCCCATCCCGCTCTTCTCGTTCCACTCCATTTCCAAGGGCGTCAAGGGCGAGTGTGGGCGTCGCGGTGGCTACTTCGAGTGCACGAACATCTCCGACGAGGTCCGCGCGCTGTTGTATAAGATGGCGAGCGTGACGCTCTGCCCACCGCTTTCGGGTCAGATCGGCGTAGACTGCCTCGTGCGCCCGCCCCGCCGGAACGACCCGTCGTACCCTCTTTGGAAGCGCGAAACCGATACCATCCACGACGCGCTCCGGCACCGTACGCAGCTCATGGCGCAACGTTTGAACTCTCTACCTGGAGTCTCATGTGTCGACTCGCCGGGAGCGCTCTACCTGTACCCGAAGCTGGAACTCCCAGACAAGGCTGTGGAGGAGGCGCAGCGCCTTGGCAAGAGTCCCGACACCCTCTACGCGCTGCAGCTGCTCGAGGCGACGGGTATATGCGTGGTACCGGGCTCAGGGTTTGGCCAGAAGGACGGCGAGCACCACTACCGGCTCACGTGTCTTTGCCCGGGTGTGGAGGAGTACGTCAGCGCGCTCGAGAACTTCCACATGGGCTTCTTGAAGAAGTACGGCGGGGTGTAGGTTGTGGGTCTTGTGCCTTGGATCTTGGTTGGGTATCAGTCGTTCTCGGGTTCGTCCGCTCGCTGTGATCGCGCTACTCGATACCTCGCATCCGTCTATCGATACTTGTTGATCGCATGTACACACATCGCTCTGCTTACTCGCTGGCCACAGAAACTACACCGCCTATTGGCTTTTCCTCGGATTCATACCGCATATGTGGGCCGGTCGTGCGCATGTTCAGGTGGCCCGAGCATACGCCTCCGAGTCTGCCCGGGCGGCGATGACCGATTCACCTTGTATGCAAGTCGCATTGTAACCAATAGTCAGTTCAAGAGTCCCTGTCGCAATGGCATATGGTCATTGAACATAGCCGGCAGCGCTAGCGGAGCACACGAAGTGTATAAATGCGCTTCTTATGGAGGTGGGAAGATGGCGACGGCGTCAACGTGTCGCGACTTCAAAAGGGCATCATACGTATATCGATGTTCCGAAGCTTGGTAGACATAAAGTACATGAGGGGCGCAAGATTCGAGTCCAAGGGAAGCAGCATAACAAGGGGGCACATGGGGTTGTGGATACACGTAGACAACGCGGAAGCCTGACTATCCCGGACGGCGTGGTGCGACACTACGCCATGGGGCAGAGCTTCAACTGAAGGAAGTAGTGCACACTCCGGTCTCTCGGACTTCTCAACGTACGCCGGATGGCGACCACGCGAACGCAGTCCTCGCGCGGGTTGAGAGCCCATGCCCTCCAGGCGCCGTCGTCGATCCCTTGAAACAACGTGGTCTCCTGTTTGTACTAGAGGAGGCCGTCAATGGTGTACAAACGCTAACATTGACAAACCCGGACTGACCATGAACTTGTACCAAGTCTTTTGCATCCCCAGCAGCTCGCGCAGGAGGTTGGTGTACGTCGGGTCGTTCGACATGTCGGTGGGTGTAGTGTAGCGGTGTTCGTTCTCGTTCGGCAGCTGCCACGCGCATGTCAGTACTGCGAGGACGATGCGCAGTCGAAGCTTGGTCGGAACTCACCACTGCTTCCATCATGTACATGTGGGTGGAGGGGAGGAGAGATAGGGGTGCCCCCTCGCGATATGCGCTCGGAAGGAGGCTGTCTACAAACTCCCTCGTCTTGTTGTTGAAGTGCTTCAAGGCTTTTTTGCGGAACCGATCCAGGGCGATACCCTGGGAATCACCCTCGGGTTCGAGGGGCACGGCCCAGTTAATGTCTGTATCGTCGGGGAGCTTTACGTAGTACTGGCTGCCGGTAGGTGTCGCTTCAGGGTTATACTTCCTAAACGCATCCACTACTTCCTTCCCGCTGTATTCGCACGTGGGCGAATAGTAGGAGGCTGTATGTACAATAAAGTATGGGTAAGTGTCGGCTGATGGTAGGCTATGGCAGACCATACCCGGATGTGTTGGAGCCGTAGCGCGGTTCTGGCGATGCTCCGACCTGGAAGGTGTGCTTGAATAGTTCATATCGTTAAGCGAGGGAGGGACAGGGATTGCGAGGCGGTAGGAAAGAGGTGAGAGGCGGTAGTCAAGAGGTGAGCAGCGAAAGGCGAGAGGAAGGAGGAACGTTGGGTACCCTGAGGATATCGCTCCCTGCGCCGCGGCATTTTATACGTCCAGCGTTGCTCTCCACAGGGGTACCGACGCGTCAGCTCTTGGTCGGGTGTGCCAGCGAGCTTTGACTCGATCTTGTTGGAGCTGAACCTTCGTGAGCGGGTGCACTGGATCCAGCGGCGCATCTAGTGCGTACACTGTGCCTAGTCCAAGCAAACGACTGAAAGGCACGCCGATATGGGCGGGATATCCTATCACAGGTGCATGGTCCCGAGTCAGAGGGATCGACACGCAGGCCGCTGCCACCGCATGTCGACCGGCCACTGGAAATTCTGGCCGTGGCGTGGTGAGATGCGTCTGACACTGCCGTCAAATTGACCTGTTCGGCACCTGCAGGGGTTTGTGATCAAGCGGTCGATGGACACGCCATGACCGGGGCAATTCTAGCGCACGGCGACGTTTATTGTGTTGTCCTCAGCATCGCTCGCTACGGCGACGCTAGGGGTAGTATGATCCGGTTGGTTTCTACTGTGAGCAGTAGGCATCAGTATGGGTATAAACTGGAGTAGCAGAGATGGGAGGTTACGCCAAACGAGGATAAAGCCTCGGGGTAGCTTGAAGGCCAAGCCCAACGCACCTTCCCGCTCGAGGGTAGTAATTCAAATGAGAGAGGTTGGCCCGCAGACTGTTTTCTCCCGCCGGGACCACAAGTAGGCCTATGCTCGCATATAAATATTGAGGCAGTTCATCGGCCCAAGCGTAACCGGACGATGAAGCCAGCGCCGGCGTTTCCGTCATGAGTGAGTGAAGTAAAGAGTACGAAGCGCCCATGTCTTGTCCGCGGTGGCTGTGCAGTTCCTTGCAGTTTGGCCCATTCGGTCACCGGTGGTTCCTGCGTTTCACGACGTTCACCCTCATCAGTGAGCATGTATTCACAAATGAGCCGTCGAAAGCATAAAGACGTACCCAAATTACCGTATACCCTGCACTAATTCTTGAAGAGTGTGAAGTTTATCAAAGCAATGAACGATGTCAACAATCATCGCAAATTTACGCTGTGAGATACTAGCACTTCAGCAGCTTCTTTGAGGGAGGAAGCTTGTCACAAACCGCAGGACATTTTTCGAGGAGCAGCAGCAGATACAGATGAGGACTGATATATGCCTCAAGATAACGCATAAGCAGCTCCGATGACCTTTTAAACCCGGATTTCGACATGTTCCACATGTCGCGGCGCACATTTATAGAAGTTCTTGGGTCAGACCTGATGCTAACGTGAATTCCCTAAGAGCTTGTTTTGCGGCTCTCTTACCTATACTACTTATCTGCAGAAGCGAAATGGTGATGCCTATTATCCTGCTCGGTTTCGTAGTTCATAGATATTCGTGCCTCCGGTGCTCGCACTAGCATATTGCCCTGAAGGAGATGGGATGCGCATTTGTGCCGGCTGAGTACTGTTCACGAATCTCGCGACAGCAGAGGAGAGCACAGGCCTTCGTCGTGAAGTAGGCGCAGCGCGCGGGGAAACGAGGATTACATACCCAAAGCATTGTCGGGCGTAGCGGAGACTCTACCGCTGGCTTTCCGTGTTCTTCCAAGAGGCCGCGCCAGGTGTGTTCCTTCAGTAAAGGGAGATACATAGCACTGATACGATAGCCATGTGGGCAACACAATTCATTTGGTCCATCGAAGTGCACTAGCGACCAGGAAGCCTGGCACAGACAATCCCGTGAGCTTTGAAGATGACGGAGCAGCACAGCGCACGTACACACCCCAACCCCCGCCATAATCCTCTTCCCTACGACTGAGCCCGGCGCGTGCGCGCGCGACTGGTTCAGCGCATATATGCCGACGCCGCCGAGCGCACCGGTCCCTATGACGCGGCACGCTAGACAATCCTTCGGATTTTGCTGCAATTCTGCTGGTACAGGTCCTTCAGAGCCGCGGGACTCTGGGGGTAGTGTTGTGGACATAGATGATGGAGGCGGAAGACAAGACTGAAAGACGCGCCTCTCGCCGAGAACGGCGCCGAGGCGCGCGTGTCCGCCGCGGCGGCTCCCCGCGGCGGCGCCATCGTCCCGCCCTTGATCATCGTTCCCATGACCGACTTCGTCGACCCCTCGGACGGACCTATATATGCGACCGGGCACGCACGCCCTATAACTTAACTCTGACCGCCATGTTCTCTGCGTCTACTCGCTCTGTGCTTCAGCGCGCTGGTCGTCTCTCGGTTCGCCCGCGCACGTACGCGACTGCTGCCGCCGTGCGCGAACGCGAACGCGTTCGCATCGTCGAAGTTGGGCCTAGGGATGGCTTGCAGAATGAGTCTGCAGTGATACCCCCTGCGATCAAGGCGGAGCTCGTGAACCGACTCACGAAAGCTGGGATGGACATTATCGAATCGGGCAGCTTCGTGAGCCCGAAGTGGGTGCCTCAGGTAAGTCATACACGCAATGTGAGACGGACGGCATGGAGGCTTCTTGGAGGTCAGACGAGGCATCCCTGTGCTGTGCGGTGACCCGGAAGGAACGGGAAGTCTTGCGATCCCACCCATGTCGACTGGTTCCCTCGCTCCTATGCATAACCATATGTACATTGACTGAACAACACGCTCACGCCGCGATAGATGGCAGGTACCGCTGAGGTTCTCAAGCTCATGAACCGACACAAAGGCCTCCACTACCCCGTGCTCGTGCCCAACATGAAAGGCTTGGAGTTGCTGCTCGATCTGCTATCGGAGCAGCCCAGGTCGGACGTACCGTACACGGATGAAATCGCGGTCTTCACCGCAGCGACGGACGCGTTTGCGAAGGCCAATACAAACTGCACGGTAGCGGAGTCTCTCGAACGGCTCTCGGTGGTAGCAAAGCGTGCAACGTTGGAAGGCCTCCGTGTCCGTGGGTGCGTCTTAGGGGTTTAGAAAACAGAGCATATACTGACCTTCGGTGAAGCTATGTGAGCGTAGTGATCGACTGCCCATATTCTGGCAAAGTCAACCCTACTGCCGTGAAGAGCGTATCACAGGCGCTGCTCGACATGGGCTGCTACGAGGTCAGCCTAGGCGATACAGTCGGAACCGGAAACCCGACGACTGTCGATCGTCTGCTCCGTACCGTGATTGAAGGTAGCGGCGGGATCCCCGGATCGAAGCTTGCCGTGCGTCGAATGAGCACCATCTACGTGACTATATGCTGACCCAACTGCATACAGGGCCACTTCCACGACACATTTGGGATGGCTGTCGCGAACATCTTTACCGCGCTCGACCACGGCGTCCGCACGTTCGATTCGGCCGTTGGCGGACTCGGTGGGTGCCCTTATTCCCCAGGCGCTACCGGGAACGTCGCGACCGAAGACGTCTTGTACGCGCTCCGTGGGAGCAAGTACGAGGCGCCCGGCGATCTCGATGCTATAGCGGAGGTAGGGACGTGGATCTCGAAAACACTCAAGCGACCGAACGCCAGTCGCGTTGGCCGTGCGCTGGAAGCTCGTCGCTCAAGAGAGAAGCTTGAGAAGGAGCGGGAGAATGACGGAGGTTCTGCGGAGAGTGTCTCTGCGAAGCTCTGAGGATTGGGACGCAAGATGTATCATCCTCAAAGGCCGCGTGGCGTGGCATGTATGATTAGCGGTGAGTGGTACAACCGTAAACTCCCGCATCAACTCACGTCTCAGGTTCATAGTGTGTACGTTACCCCTAAAGCGCACGGATCTGTATCCGGTATTCTGCCTAACGCGCGCGACGCAATAGCCATACAGGCATGCAACGGTGGGGACCAAGCGCCTTGATTGAGCTTCAGAGTATCCCATGCGACGGAAAATGTCATGCGTTGTGGCTTGGTCCCAACTGCACAGCTAGCGCTAGCACGCACGCCATGGCCCGCTCCTCACCTCCCCCGTAGTGCAAGCGTAATTCATTCAACAAGCTCGATCCTGCGGGGCCGCATTGTCTCTGGAGTGTTGTCGTAGCCACGGCTATGTGATGGGACGACCAGTTTGGTAAGTGGCGCACGCGTCCGTGTGTGCGCTTTGACGACCTTTCACCTTCCCTCCAGCACATCAATGCGCGGTGTACCTCGTAGGACGCCGACTCTTAGACGAATATGTCCTACCTCCTTAAGCCCCCCGCATAGCACACACAAGTGGCTATACACCTCGTCATGGCGCATGCGAGTCAATGCGGCTTTTCGCAACTATAAGGGCGAGCTGAACAGCACCCCAGCCCACAGACACCAGCCCATCCCTCTCCAACCTCACCTCGCCAATCCCGCATGTCATGTCTGGTTATACTGCTTCTGTACCTGCGTTACACCCAAGTGCTGGTGTTAATCAACCGCCCCCTTATCGTCCGAATGGTGAGTCCTCTAGTTCTTCTCCCGGCCGATCCACCGTTGCTCATACATTTTGGCTCCGTAGGCGCAGATGCGCCAGCCAGTGCGCAGGCACTAGCTCGCGAAGTAGCGCGAGTCAATGGCGCGCGAGGCGCTCCGCCTCCCTACAGCGCAGTCGGCCCGGTCGGTCAATATTTCGTACCCTTACCTCGCCCTCGCATCGGTACACTTTGCATACCCATCAAAAGAGCGGGTGCCGGCCCCCTGTCATTCCGGACCCCATTGTGCAATCCCGACGGGACAATCGGCTGGGCGTTGTCTTCCCTGAGCACTCCCGCAAATTCCACAGGGTATATGCATTCCGGGGCGACGGACATCATGGGTCCGGAGCCGGGCAAGCCTCTCGAGAATAAAGAATTCACGGTTACGGGCACAAGCGTAAGGTTTCAGTTGTGCGCCTGCTATGTTGAGTCTGATACTCACTTACTTCTCCTGCACCACAGATACCGCTCGCGACGTACAACGAAGTATCAGCACTCAGAGTGCTCTTCCCGACATCCGTCACTGCTCCTGCCACTACCACAAGATCAATAACGGCCGGGCCGGGCTTCACATTGGCGGATGCAGTCACTGCAGTCGCGCTGCTGCAGAAGGCGTGGTGCTTCGAAGTGGTGAGTTCCATGGCCGCTCGCGCGTCATGTTGCCGAGGGCGGCATGCTCATTTTCGTCATTCTTTTAGACCTGCGGGGACCCAGCAGTATCCAGGCCCCTCGCCCATCGTCGGTTCCAAACCTTGCAACACATGATCTACATCGTGGCTATATGTGGCGAGATGGGGGTCGACGGCAAACGCGTCATGTACCCCGAGCTCGAGCTCAGGATATCGGGGTTGCCGGTGCCGCGGTGAGGCCACGGACCGTATCTGACTCTCTGCGTATGATTGCGGCGCGGCGTATGTCTCGTCCTCTATGTATTGGTTCTTTACTCTTATGTCTTATGCCTGTATGCTTATGAATATTCACTCGACCTGAAAGCAGGAACAGCGTGCAAGGAGAATGTTCCACCCATAGATGCATGCTTACTCGACGACAGGAATTTTATGGAGCGGACGGCATCTCCGAAGATTTGGAATCGGGGATTGACGTGCTATTTCTTCGCTTACATATTTCTTATTCAGTCTCTGCAACATTCGCAAACATACCGTTGCAAAATTGCTTTCAAAGCTCCACGGTATGGTCTGTTCGTAGAGCACCTAAATTGGTGCAATGGCGTCAGTCTCGGCCCACCGAGGCATACGGTATCGTCCCAACGCCGTCAATAGAGTTCCTATGACGGCCGCTAGCTGCCCTCGTGCCCCTGGGATTCGAAGTCACCGCGATAGTGCTGCGGTAGCCGTCACTGCAACAGTATATATCAACGACCCCCAAACTACCTCGCGCGCAGCCTCACGCACATCCCAGTCTCCGCCGCGACAAACGGCCCCTCGGACTGCCAACCAATGGCAGCGCAATGGCCAGCCACTTTCAAGCCAGGAACCTACTTTCTCCGTAATGTTTGCTTCAACACTGCGGTCACCCTCTCCGCGGATGACCATCGCACTATCTCCGGCGCCACCTATAACCCGAATGGGTCGCTCTACCAAGAAGTGAGTACTGAATATTCGACTCTCGGGGTAAGCAAAACACTATGTCTCACAGATATAACAGTGGACGTTCGTTCCGACAGAGAGGCCAGGCGAGTTCCTTATCATTTTGCTCTGACTGATGTCTCCCTGTCTGTACAGAATCATGTTTCCGATGAGCCCCTACTATATGCGCCTCATCTACCCGGACAGACCGGTTCGTTGCCTAATTATATCTGTACTGGCGCGTGGTCGCTTCGGAGTCTAAGCGCAACCCCTCGCACGTAGGTCAAGTTGCACCAGACGACTCTACACGACGAAAATCAGTTCTGGGAGGATGCCGGCGGTGACGGCCTTGACGAAGACATGGACCTCTTCTATGGCGCCAGACAATGGAAATACAGTCTTTGCCATCCCGACCAGGCTCAGGCTACTTCCACCGGCAGGCCTCGAGCTGCGGGCCCAATGTCCGCGAATTCGATCGCGGTATTCCAGCCAGGGACCTATATTCTATTCAACGACTACTATGGCACGGCGCTCACACTTTCTGCGGACGACTGTCGCACGATCCGTAGTGATGACTTTGATCCAGACGGGTCGCCCTGCCAGGAGGTGAGTTTTCGACACTCCAGGTGCACATACCGTGATATCTCATGTATGTGACAGTGCATCGCCGGCACTCCAGCACAGAGAGAGTAGTAGACACACCGCTTAACGTTGATTGGGCAAGGGAGTCACATCGCATCATCACATAACTCGCAGGTCTCCGCGGAGCATACTTGTCCATCAAGCTCCCGATAGCACGAGGATCGCACGCAGCTGGGTTCGGGGGGTGAGGTCGAGACTCGAGAGAGGGTGTATGTAATGTTTGCCTGCGAGGGTGTGGCTGCCGACGCCGAGCATCGACAGCGCGATATGCGCGCCGCCGGTGAATGTGGCACAATTGCAAGGGCTGGTAGCGTTTCTTGGCTACAATGCAAAACTGTGAGCATGGTCTCGCAGTGGCGACAGATAAGACTACTCACCGAGCGAGCGTGCCGTGAATAGATTCCCGCCGATCAAACCTCTGCGACGTTCATGTATGACTTCTACAACAATGCCGTGGTGGGTGCACAGTCACGAGTAGCTACTATTGCGTCAGACTGAACAGTGAATGGCACATCCGGTGCCCGCCTATGGAACGAAAAGCCGGCGCACCCGTGGTGTAGGCCTCTGCACGTAGTAGGAAGCCGACCAGGGAATTGCATCTCGAGTGGGTATGGGCGTAAGACTCACTGGTGGGAAAGGGCGTAGACGGCCGTTGTGCTTTGCGCAGGTGGGATAAATGAGGATTACAATCGAGCCGCAATCGAGCCGCCGGAACAAACCTCTATACATTATCACCGTCATGGTCTGCTATAGTAACCACGTACATAGTATTGGTCGTCCTTCGCGAATAAGGACTATCACGTCTAACGCCTGAGCGCGCCCCCGCAGCACCCTCAGTCGCGTGCATCACGCGCAGACTGCGAGTGTCGGTGCGAGGCATGCCCAGTCGGGCTGCTCTTGCCCTCCTCGAGTTGTTCGAGAGGAACCGGCTCGTAGTGAGCTTTGCTCGGGGTCGCCGGCTGCGACTCGACGTGCTTGATCCAGGTATACCAGATCGAGCCGAGGAGGATGATGCCGATGGATGACGCACGGCCCCTGGAAGAGAGCGTCGCGAGATCAGAATGAAGAACGTAGTCGCGCGAACGGTATGCGCTTACTGAGTAACGATGTCGTGGAACAGCCATACGCCTAGGAGGGACGCCGCGACACCGCGCACGGCGGAGGAGACCATATGCGTGATGGGCGAAGTGACTTTGATTGACATCAAACTCGCGAGACTCATGAGGAAGCCGAACGCGCCCTGTAGAGACGTTGTCAGCGCGGACGCGTCGCACGGGCGGTCTCAGGATACGTGCCGTAATGAGGGAGCCCATAACAAATGTCGCGAGTGTGCTCATCTGGCCCGCGGCGTTCTCGTTCGCGCCGAACAAGAGCTTCATGACCCCGGGAAGCTCGCCGACGAGGATGATGATTGGCGCCAGGACGACGGCACTCATGAGGTTCGTGTACCAGGAGAGGTGCAGTGCGCTGCCGTGCACAACGTCCAGGCTTTTCTTGATGACGACAGAGTGGAGGGCGGTGATCATCGAGCTCAGGACGCCGAATATGATGCCGACCAGAGAGACTTCAGTGCCATCCAGGAAGACGCCGACGAAGAAGCCGATAGTGACTACGCCGCAGGCAAGGAGGATACGGAGCGACGGCCGGGCGTGCAACAGGAAGAATGAGGTGCCAACAGTGAAGGGAAGAACCATGCCGCGCGCGACTTGGTAGAACGACGCGTCGACATATTTCAGGGTATAATTGCTGAAGCTAAGTGCACGAAGATACACGGTCGGCAATGAGCGTCATGCAGTGGAGGTAATACGCACCTGAGCCCGATAACGTTAAGGCCAACCATGGGTATCAAGCCCTTGCACACTTGCGTGTCAAGTTGGAGGGGTAGTTGTAGCATACCGGCCATATGCGCCAATAGGAAGAGAATGACCGCAATTACGAGCTGTGATAGGAGGAAGAACAGGGGAGTGTCTGTTATGTTGAGGACCCATTTGTTCCTGCAAGTAGTGTCAGCGCCAGACGTCCGTTCGCGGTGACAGCGCACGCATATATGCTATCGCTCGACGTGAGCAATGTCATCTTGCTCAGACGACGGCTCGTTTCGTCGCGCGCGAACGCAGGATACGACAGATGAGACACTCACGCCATAACCATCTACTCCGTTCCCAGCGAGGTCGTCAGATAGAACTTCCCCAGCGCATATGGAAAGAACGTACCGCCAACGCAGCAACCAAGTAAAAAGACACTGTCCCGATCTATATTGACGAAGAACTTTAGCAAAACACCCGCCTGGACGCTACGACCATAGCAACTCACCACCAACGCCCTCGAGGGCGGGTGCTGGTGAGACGAAGGGGACGGCATGTTGGACTATGAAGCAGTAACACCCAGACGAATGAGGTAGGACAGTCAAGAGGGAGGTTGGCGCAGTCGTTCTCGTCGTCGGAGAGGAGAAGTAGACTGCGCTGGCGAAGAGCAAGACAGGTTTTCGCGCGGCTGATCGCGGCGTCGACTGCGCGCTGGTGGCTGGATAAGCGCCTTTCCGACGCGACGCGACGCGTCGAGCAGCGCTCTTGGCCTTCCCTTTCACCACATCCACCACCTCCACCACTATTGTCGCTGCCACCCAAGGGTTGCACGACTCAATGAGCGACCACAGCGAAGACGAACGCGAGGGTGTACCGCTCCCGACTATCCGGAATGAGTGTATGCGCTCTTTTCTTACGCCACAGGCAACCTCTGACACTCTGCAGACGCGGATGACACCGTCAAAATCCTCCTTGCGACCGACAACCATATTGGATATCTCGAGCGAGACCCTATACGTGGTCAGGATTCGATAAATGCGTTCAAAGAGGTTCTCCAGCTCGCAGTCAAGCACGATGTGAGTAAGCTCGCACCAACTCGCATATAATGTCGTTGACGCATAGCAGGTCGACTTTATCCTACTAGCGGGAGACCTTTTCCACGAGAACAGGCCGTCAAGAGACTGCCTGTATCAAGTCATGGCCCTCCTCAGAGAGTATACGCTCGGAGACCGCCCCATTCAGGTCGAACTCCTGAGCGATCCCAACGACGGGAAACCCTCGGGATACTCGTGCGTGCATATGCTACTGGCTCTGTGGGCACGCTGTCCCAATAGTGACCCTTCTAGCTTTCCAGCCATCAATTATGAAGACCCCAACCTCAATGTTTCCATCCCCGTCTTCTCCATACACGGAAATCACGACGATCCTCAAGGCGCTGGTCCCGTGAGTAGCTTGCTTTCCGTGTAAATCTGGCCATTAGGCCCAAATGCTCAGTATGAGTTCCACGGAACACATCGAGTCGGCCGGTGCTCTTGATTCGAAGTGGTGTTGGCAAATCCGACGTTGACGATACGATTTGCTACGCTGGCTTGCCTCTTCCTGCGAGCTTTGTTTACTTTCAGATACCTTCTCGGTTTTCGCGCGTTAGCAATCGTCATAATAACACTGTCCTCGATAACAGGAAGGCGCCTTGTGCGCGCTCGACGTGCTTTCCGTGTCGGGCCTGATCAACTACATGGGCAAGATCGACCTCCCGCTAGACGATGCAGAGGCGCAAAATACAGGAATCGCCATCCGACCTGTTCTTCTACGCAAAGGCAACACCCGTCTCGGTCTCTACGGCGTTGGCAACGTCAAGGACCAGCGTATGCACTTTGAGCTCCGGAGCAACCGTGTACGGATGTACATGCCGCGAGACAAGGATAGCTGGTTCAACATCCTGTTGTTGCATCAGAATCGGTGAGCGTTCTCGTACCTACGAGCATGTGTTCTGACTGAATTCCTGCCATCAGAGTCGCGCACGGTCCCCAGCAGTCGGTGCCAGAAGGAATGTTCGACGATAGCATCGACCTGGTTGTCTGGGGGCACGAGCACGACTGCCGCATCGTGCCCGAGCCGGTCGCGGGGAAGCGATACTACATTACGCAGCCCGGTTCGTCCGTCGCGACATCGCTCGCCGACGGCGAGGCCCTCGAGAAGTGAGAATCGCCCGCATATAGTCGGTGCATCAGCTGACTTTTTCGAAACCAGGCATGTAGCGTTGCTGAAGATCCAAGGCAAGGAGTTCGAGCTCACTCCGATCGCATTGCGGAGCGTGCGGCCTTTCGTAATCGACGATGTTATCCTGAGCGACGCGGCCGAGGAGGAGGGCTTCGACATCAACGACAAGATCGAGGTTACAAAATTCTTGAAGACGAAGGTGAGTGTAATCAGCCTCCTGTGAAATGAGCCGAACTCAGCTCCTTAAAGGTCAACGAGCTTATCGAGAAAGCCAATCGCGAATGGGATGAGCGAAATATACGCGCCGTCGCGGAGGGCGAGCCCGAACTACCGCGTCCGCTCCCGCTCGTGCGCCTCAAGGTGGACACGACGGGAGTGAGCGAGATGTCGAACCCGGTGCGGTTTGGGCAGGAGTTCCAGGGCCTACTCGCGAACCCGCGTGACGTGCTTACCTTCCACCGCTCCAAAAAGGGCACGACTCGCGCGAGTAAAGTGAAAGCGGACGTGCCCGAGCTGAGCATCGACGACCCGGACATGAGCATAGGCGAGAAGCTGTCGAAGGTGCGGGTGCAGACGCTGGTGCGGGAGTACCTCGCCGCGCAGGAGCTACAGCTGCTCGGCGAAGGTGGGATGTCGGAGGCGATTGAGACGTTCGTGGACAAGGACGACATCCACGCGATCCAAAAGTGAGTCGGCCGCATAGTGCTCCAGCATTGTCAAAACTAAGCATGTTCACAGTCATGTCAATACGGCGCTGCGCTCGTTGATGAAGGGTGTGCAGGCGACGGATGTGGAAATCGACGAGGACGACTTCGAGGAAGTCGTGGACAAAGTACGCGGCGACCACGAGAAGAAGCGTGCGGAGAAGCAAGAAGACAAACCGTCGAAAAACAAGGTGAGTCACTGCGATATCGCTATGTCCTGCCCAGTTTGCTCAATGCGCTGTCATAGGGCAAGGGCAAGGCGACCAACGACGACTCCGACGCTTCCATAGACTCGATGATGATGGACGTTGACGGCGGCGGATCCGATTTCGACGACCAGGCGTCAGACGAGCCACCGCCTGCGAAGACAAAGGCAGCCGCGAAGAAGGCAGCACCCGCGAAGAAGGCACCTGCACGTGGGAAGAGCAAGGCAGCTGCGAAGCCTGTATCTGATGACGACGACGAGATTGAAGATGAGGCGCCTCCGCCTCCGAAGAGGACGAATCGAGCGGCAGTTCTGAGGTAAAGAGGCGTGTTGTGTCCATTCAATGCGAATCACTGACCGCGACGCAATCTCAGCCAGTCGACCAAGAAAGCACCCGCAAAGACTCCGGCGAAGAAGGCCGCGGCGAAGTCGTCTGGTAGCAAAGCGACGCAGTCTACACTCAGCTTCGCGCCACCTGGTCGCTCCTCTACGCGTGCCGCAGCAAGTCGCGCGAAGCAGAAGGTGTCGGAGACAGTACGTTGTTATGTCACTATTCCGATGTGGACAGCCCGTTTAACTTTCGTTCTAGATAGAATTGGATAGCGACTGATCCCCACCGGGATATTCTCCTTGTTAGTCCTGTGCTTCCATCTTGTATCATAGCCCGGTATGGACATCGTTTTCTTCCCTTCACGTCGTGCGCTCGCGCGGGAGCTGTGTTACCTTGCTTGGCGTCGTGCTGACGGAAGAGTTCCAAACTCGAGTGATCGGCGCTAACAGGTAGCACGTTTCCCCCGCTTTTTCCGGAAGACGCGTACCTCCGACGACGACGCTTCGCGGCCAACTCAGGCTCTTCCTGCAACCCTCACCCTCTATGTCCCTCTCGCGCGTCCCGGTGGAGCTATTGCAGCTGATTCTGGCCTTTGCGCTGGACGGAAACTCTCAGCCATCTGATCTGCTTCGCGTAAGCAGTACCTTCCTCGAGCTTGGACAACTCATCTTGCACGCGCGGCTCCGGTTCCGATCTATTCACCAGCTTATCCTCTTCTCGGAAGGCCCATCAACGCTCGCGTGCGCCCCCAGGTCACTTTCTATCACGCTAGCAGGCGGGTCGGCCGACTTTGAGGTCTTCAAGCACCTCGCCGCCGCCCTCGAGCGCTGCAGGAACACACTGCGCTCGTTTGATAAGCTTCGCGGGAACACGTCGGGGGACGCCGAGATCACGCAAGTCCCGCTTGAACTGTTATCCCTGCGATTACACTCGCACATGAATAATCCGCACCTGGGCTATATATTCGAGGCGCTTTCGCTCGCAAAGTGAGCGACCCTGTTGAAGTTGGTGCGCGATGGCAGACTGTTTACGACCTGGGTAGTCCGAAGACATTCGTATGGATGGGCCCTGATCCCGAGCACCACTTCTCAACGGCCGTACGTCAATGTTTTCCAGCAAGCCCCCATCTCGGCCTCCGCTGACCCCCTTCCTGCCGCGTAGATCGTGCCCACGGCAACATCCCACCTCATCCGCGCACTCAGCACGTGGACCGCCGTCCAGCACATCACGCTCACGAACCTCTCCTTCCCATCGGATGCGCTTGGGCTCAACACACCCTTCGCTTACGACGCGCCGCTTCTCCCCGCACTACCCTCGCTCCGCACGCTCTACATCGGCCAGGCAACGCTCCTTCCACCCACGGCCGTCGCGGCGATGTTGGCGCGTCCAGGTCAAGACGCCCTTGCGCAAGTGCGTCTCGTAGACGCGTACCCTCTGAGCATCTGGGGCGCGCGGATTCGCCGCCGCGATGTCGAAGACGGGGTGGCCTCGCTGCCGGGCCTGACGGAGGCGCAGCGCGTAGCGGTAGCGGAACGTGTGCGGCGCATCGTTAGCTGCGAGAAGAAGACGGGGCGTCTTGCGGGTGGCGACGACGACGACGCGGAGGGCGTCCTGAACTAGCTGCGCTCGTGCGGTGTGTCGTCCCGCTCTGCATTTACGGGGCTCCGGAGAGCAAGAGTTTAGCGAACGCGTCTGCGAAGAGGGAGAAGACGCCGGTAGCTATCTTTGGCCCTTTGAGGTCCGGTGAAATTTGCCTAGTATTGAGTGGTGTTCACAGTTGAGCCGAGAAAACAATGAAGTCTCCTATTCTAGGATTGCCCCACTCTTGCTACAGCCAGACCATATTGACCATTCTGGCTAAGTCTAACCATAAACCCTCGCGTCGGGTGCATAAGAAACGGTACGTGCTATACAAGTCTCAGGCCGACTGCTGTTGACAAAGCGTCATAGGCATCGTCACTGGTCAAGGACAGGAATATCACGCGCGGTTATGGGGCTGTCAGCCAACCGCGATTGGAGATGCCACACTTTCTTCAGCAACAAGTGACGGACTGTACGACCGATCTCTGGTTCCGCGACCGACGTCGAGGGACACTCCAGGTCATATCTTGAGACGCTATACTTGTTCGCCTTGGTACGAACATCCGCATCGTCGGCTGGCACGACAGTCCTTGGACAAATTATGCAAGCGAAAGGGTGTGGAGATGCGACACAACATAAGAATGGGTCATACCCGCTAAAATACGATCGTGGCCAATCGGCCCCACATACTGACGCAAATTGATAACAGTATTTGCATACCCCCCCCTCCGCTCTGAGCCTTGGTGTGTATACGATTTAAACACGTTCGCACGAAACGAAAGCAGGATAAGGGCGGTACTTGACTCAACATATCATGGTGCGCGGCTCATTAACCTACATTCGCCAACAGGTATCGCGGGATTGCACGTCGACAACGTGGGCGCTTTCGGCGCCTTAGAGGGCTTGGATGCGAAGCGTCGAAGGCCCGGCGGGATTAAAGCGCTCCGAATCCCACAACATCCTACTCCAATTAACGTTCGCGAGCTTGTCGTCGCGCGACTGCTCCAAGGTCTCCGCACCATGGCCAAATCAGAATGCACCGACTGGCGTGATCGCGTCAGAAGCGACCAAGCATCAGGCCAGTACCGTCACGAGATGAAGACCACGGAGTCAGATATAAAACTCTCCCCCACCGCTAGCTGCCATGGTACATTCCCCTGGGATTCGAAGCCACCTCCACGATGCTGCGGTAGCTGCCGCCGCTACATCAGTACATAGTTCCCCCTCCCTTCCTCAGGCTCTCTCTTCCTTACACTCCTTCGTAACACCGTCGCGACCGCGCTCCCTGACATGACATCCATCTCGCCATCCCACCCGGCCCTGTTGAAACCTGGAACCTACATGCTCCGCAACGACTGCCACGGCACCGCGCTCACTCTCTCTGCGGAGGACCATCGTACAATCTCCGGCGCTGTTTATGATCCACGCGAGTCACCCTATCAGACTGTGAGCACCCATTTTCTTAGTGCACCGGTACACCTATGCCTGGCATCACGTCTCAGTCTCATACATCCGGCAGTGGACGTTCATAGCGAAGGAGAAGTTTAATCAATTCCTCATCCGGGCGTCTGTGTCATCCCCCGACGGGCGACCGCTCTACCTTGCGTTGGATGACCCAAATGGACTGCGGCAGGATGCCGCCATTATCGCTTCCCCGCGTCCCATGACTTGGGCCTGCTATTACACAGTCTGGGGGGGAATGATGTGCGAATTATCCAGTTTACCGTTAAGTATCCTTTGATCTTAGCTGACGTGACCCCCCTGCCTGAACAGAATCCGGTTCGCGCAGACCAATCTTCGTACAACGGACTTTTCTTTGAAGCTGTGCGGAGCAAACGACAAGGTCCATCCCTCGTTTGTTTCATTCGCATCATGCCGTCCGCGCTGACTCCATATCCCACGATAGGTCAGATTGCACTTCAACGATATGTTCGAAGGCATCCGCCACTTGAGTGTAGAGTTGACGGCGGTTCGGAGGGCCTCACAGTCGATGTCCCTTAAGTTGGATCGCCCGGTCACGCACAAACTCGACCGAGCGCCCCAGGTTTGGAGGGTTTCCAGGACGAACTGAATACGATTCTCGCTTATATTGTGGTTATCGAGCTGTGTAGATCTAAATACCTTCAAAGAACCCAAAAGGTGCCAGCCCGTCCGCGTCATGTGCCACAACGTCGCTGTGTGAACATTGGAATAGACGGGCGACTTAAACTCACCTGAGAGCGATTGGTGGTTTGTCGCAAGTGCTGTGGCACTGCCTACCTCGCACCTGCGGTAGTAGTATTGTACAGTCACTTCGGCATTCGCGAGCCCATCCAAGTTGTCGCAGAACTAATTTCCTGACCACGCGACCTACGTAGTAGAGGAGTCAGAACGGGCTATCTGGTGCAGTCGCTTCAGCCTCGAGAATCGATCTACCGTCGCAAATATGAATATAGAGTTTTCACGGCTGCCACTATTTGCCGTCGTTCTTGTGGAACTCAAAGCCACTGCGATGGTGCTGCGGTAGCCGTTGCTGCAGCAATTCATAACCTTCGCATCCTCGCACACGCAGTGACTGTCCGCGTGGTGGCCGGTGAATTTCTGACCAGGCCCGAACGGCAGCAAAACCGTCTACCCCACGGGCTCGAACCAGACGATCGAACCCATGTTATTCTTAACACCTACTGCGGCACAACACTCAGCTTGTCCGCAGTTAGCCATCGCACGATTTGCGGCGCCGACTAGGATCCAGATGGGTCGCCCTATCAGGAGGTCACCGTTCAGTATTCGCCTTTCCGAGAGATCCTATTCCACATTTCTTCGTCAAGTTGTCTGTATTATCCCCCGATGGGAAGATGCTCTACGTCATAGTCGCGGAATCTTAAAACTATGGTGGCATTTCCCTCGTCGCTGCCTTAATTACGACCTATGGTCTGGACGGTAAGATGCGTCAACCCGGCAAGGTTTTCGTGCGTCCAAATCAGAAAAGCCTGTCAATATGGCGTAAATGGACTGACCTGGCTGTCCCTGGATAGGATAGGCTTCCCGAGTCCCGACAAGGGGATTCAAGCTGAAGCTCGAGAAGATGCGCCCCTTATCTGCAGCACCGAGATGTGCACGTTACCGATGGTCGTCGCTTCGCATGTCTGGCTGCAACGCCGTTAGCGAAGACAGCTGAGAAGAGGCAACGCGCAAACGTAACGGGAGTGCGATAGAAACGCGGCCTCCCTGAGTCGTGTCTTTACAAGCCAGACGGTGGATCCAGTTAACACAAAATCTCATACCGTCCATGATCTAGGTTAGCACCCCGTATAATGAAATTGTGGCTTTCCGGAGGTGTCGAATATTGGGCTTCTGGTCCTGCGGGCCCGGGTGGCGGTAAGATGTGCCTGCCCCCACCTTCGAGTTCAGTCGTGTGAACGGTCGTAACTGCGCGGACACCAGTGGTATTCAACGCATAGGCCCGTACGGATATTTGTTCACCCTTCCTATAGCTCGCAACGAATACGCTGCGGAGTCCTGCGCGACCTCCGGCTGCCATAGAGATAGACGCAGGACGGTGTCCTGAATCCGTCGAAAAATCAGTTGGTTATTTCGCAGAATAGTTTAAGGTAATAAAATATGCACTTGCCATGTTATAGCAATTCATGATGGTGTGTGAGGTGCTACGAGTACTTGTGCGGCAGTGATGGTCGAGACCAACATGTCCTTTCTACTTGGTCTCCGGATTTAGAATAAGCGCCTAAGCGCCTCAGCGTCTCACTGCGGCTGCGACCCAAGGGGCAATCAGCCAAGGGCTGGCTGACTCCAACCTCGGAAAGTGCGGTGCAGGACCCCGGACACCAGTCGAGGGGGGGACGTACCTCAGCCGAGATAAGATTGGGACATGGTCGACTAAGTACTGTATGCATCGGTCGCGATCATGATAGATTCTCTGTCTCATTTGTGTTCGTGCAGCGCCGCGTGCTTGCCCTTGTTTTGAGAAGGTTAAGTTGCTGAATAACGAAACAGAGTGGGACGATAATACCCGGTGTTTTGATAGTTCAGCTTGAACCGCCGACACCAGCTTGCAGACAGCCCTGCATGGCTCGGCAGTGTGATTGAAGCACTGTTCTGAGGCTCTGGTCATCTTCAGAGGCCTGACAAGGAGTATTTGTTTTTCTGCCTACTCGCGAGCCGGTGGCGAAAGTCCGTGCCCACAAGCTCAGGTTTAGATCAATACTCGACAACCATTCCGCGTTTGCACCGCCGCACTGACAGGTAGCTCAACCCCCGAAGATGTTTTTATGTTCGTGATTTATGGTCTCAATCTCTCTGTGCACGAGATCGGACTGCAAGCTGCAAGAGAAACATTTGTATAACGGCGGGAGGTCGACGGGCGAACTAAGATAAGATTATATGACCCGGCCCGATATGGTAGCAAGAGTCGAGCGCCTTGCACGGGCCTCACCTCAGAAACTGTTCGTTTGAGTATTGGACTCCATACTCCAGGCAGAGACGGCCAAAAAAAGCACCCGTCAATAAAATGACATACGAAGCCGTTCATGTGCGCTTTACAGGAGATCACATAACGATTTGAGGGGCTGAGGAAGGATCCAGCTCAGATGGGCAGAAAAGTCATTTTCAGGACCCCGGGGACCGGAAAGGGGGTCGAGGACGTAGGGTTGGAGTCAGCTTGGAGTCAGCGCTCCCTTGGCTGAATGCCCCTTGCTGCGACCTCTCCTCCTCTATCTTGCTTCTTGCCACCATCGGCGCAGTCTCCAGTCTGGGGCTCAGCGAAGCTACTGCTTTGACCGTTACTGGCAATGTCGCATGCTGTGAACAAAATCGCCGCAGAACGCAACCAGCGCACGCTTCTGGAGCTCGCGAACCAACCAGGCAACGGCAAGCGATCTCGGTAATTGTTGATGATTCCCTCGGGGCTCATCTCGCTCGCCTTGTAGATGCATGCGCGGACTGCAAGTCCCGGAATCCAAGATGGGCGTCGCATAGTCTGGGCATCTTCATATGGTGAGTCTACGCCTCGTCGCGGCATCCGCATAATATCGCGCTTCCCGGGCTCTCCAGAGTCGTATGCAAAGATGCGGCATGGGGTGCATACCGTTTATTCGTACGCAACTACTGCGGTACTACCACCACTCACGTTTGCGGGGGGGCCGTCAAGCATGGCTAAACGCAAGCGCGGCGCGTTACGTCATGTCCTTCCTCATCCCGTTATGCCGCCAGTCAAGCTGGAGACGTTTGAGCATTGTCGCCCTCTGTTTCGATGCGAAAGGACACAAGAGATATTGTTTCTCACTTGCAGCAACTCAGGGAAGCTCGAGAAGCGCGGTATATTCATGCGGGGCATTCATGATCATTGCACATGGGTGGCATGCTCAAACCGGCCCTGTGGCTTTCAAGCGTGAGCTGCGCTAGCATTCACCGCAAAATGGGAACCCACATATCGAAAGTGTAAGTATGCCACTCCCTCCACGAAAACTAGCCAGCTGAACCGTCATCTTTAGGAAGAGCTTAACGCTGGACTCTTGGACGAAGGAGCAGGTCGAGGTACGTTTGCAGCAACTCGGGTTGTTCGAGCTGGCGGTTCAACCTGCACTGCATAGTTCATGAAATCGAAAGGCAACGTTAAATCAAATGCGCACTATAACCCCGACGAAGTTAAGCATCCGCCGCCGACGAACATGATCGACTCGGAGCGAGATAGCGACTTGGAGAAGTATATCAGATGTAAGCTAGCGGATGCCTTGAGTTGCTGCCCGATCGCTGATTCAATGCAGCCAAGTATGAGTATAAGTCATTCGTGTCCAAGTCGTCCCAGGTTGCCGCTCTCCTCGGCCCGTCTAGGTCCAGTGCGAGCAGATTATCGCCCGCGCCGACTCCTCCCCGCTCGCAGACGGTCCCTGCGCCGACTCCGTCAACCACCACCGCAAACAGAAGTATTGCGACTCCTTCCCTTCCTGCGTCTGCACCCGCCCCCGCCCCCGCCGCTGTCAGCAATCTCGCCAAGACACAGTCCCAGTTCCGCTCCGTCTCGCAGCCCGTCGCCCCATCGTTCCCGTCGTCATCCCAACCCTACGCACCCGTCCAATCCATCCAGACGCAGCTCGCACAGCCCAGCCAGCAGCCCCAAACATCCTCCAACCCGGTGTGGAACGACCTCGCGCAACTCCAGGCGCCCGCGATGAACTCCTCGCTCCCGCTGCAGTACGCGTCGCCCACGGGCACGCAGCCGATGGGCATCCCCAACACCTCCACCGGCCTCTCCGCGCCGAACCCGTACGGCGGGCTCTCCGTGAGCCCGAACGCGCCCTTCCCCTCCTCGTTCGGGCAGCATCCGTCCCCAGGGGGCATGTTCCCCGGCAGCCAGGCGCGGAGCATGAGCCTCAACACCGGCATGAGCATGAACATGGGCGCCGGCGGGATGGGCTACGGCGCGGGCATGCCCGGGGGCGCGTCGCCGTCGATGCTGCACCCGCAGCCGACACAGTTCAACGGGTACGCGGGGACCTCGCCCATGTCGATGCACAACTCCACGCCGAGCCCGGGCCCGGGCGCGTTCGCTCCGCAGGGGCAGCAGCCCGGGATGAACATGGGCATGGGTATGGGCATGCAGGGCTCGTTCGCGCCGTCCTCGTTCGGCGGCCAGCAGCCGGGCCAGCAGTTCCTTCAGCCGCAGCAGCAGCAGGCGATGCAGCCGCAGGGCTCGTCGATGTTCTCCTCGCAGCCGCTCCAGTATGGGCAGAGCTCGCCGATGTTACAGCCGCAGGCACTTGGCGGGCAGCACCAGCAGATGCTCGGTGGGCAGCCGCAGATGCAGGGCATGGCGTCGGGGAACCCGTACATGCAACAACCGCAACAGCAACAACAACAACAGCAGCAGCAGATGTTCGGGTCGCAGCAGCCGTCGTTCATGGGTGCGCCTGGCGGGCAGTTCGGGCAGCCTAGCGGGATGCAGCAGCAGCAGCAACAGCCGATGTACGGGCAGGGCGGCTGGCAGCAGCCACAGCAGCAGCAGTGGGGCGGAATGTGAGGCGGATCAAAGATCAAGAGGCGATTGTATTGGACGTTGGACGGGGATGTAGTTATGTAGTATGGACGCCTTCGACTCGCTATCACGATACTACTGTACACGGCGCATATTCTGTTCCGCACGCGCGGGGAGAACTTGGCAGAGAGCGACGATACGGTAGGCGCCCGTTGGTGGTCTTGCCATGATGATCGCGCGGGAGCACGCCCAAATCATGGCCAGTGAACGGCTGCTAACACATGCGGTATGTCCTTCGCGATACTTAAAATTCACTTCTCAAATTGCTTTGTACTCAATCAGATGTTGCTTTCATACCGTCTGTTGGGCAATAGCACGCGCCCCGGGCGCTCGTGTCTCTAATTTACACATCGATTCTCAGCCGAGAGCATGCGCATAACTTAAACATTCTGAGAATACGCAGCGCGTGAGCCGCAAGGTGGGTAGAAAGCTCGTTCATATGTGCAACAGGGTAAGTACTGACACATTACTAGGGTCGTTGTTGAGCTCACGCACCAGTCTTGCTGCCCGGTAATGGTAAGTGAACAAGTTCGATGCCGCGGCGAACCGTCCAGGAGCATCGAGTGCAGTCGGTGTATCTGCCACGAAACCCAAGCCTTCAACCTGCTCGCATGTGCTATTTGATATCGTAAGTGAATGTCACATACAAGCCCGGCGTACTCTGTGGCTGACCAGTGCGGTAATTACTTAGGCCGTCATCTGGCGTGCTCCCATCTCATTGAATCGGATGCGTCTCTTGGGCGGATATTCGACATATCCGACCTCGCGAGTCTTTCGTCGGACACATAGTCTTGTGCCTACTACCACAGGCCATACTCGATCCACGAGCCAGTGTATTGCATATCGGTCCTGACGACCACGTCGTTGAACTTCGTGATGCTTGCGCTCTCCATGCAAGCCTCTGCCGCCTCGCATCCATGCATGTGCTGACGATTCGGGATCCCGATAGGTCCAGAAGGCGACCATAGCGTCACCTCATTAGCCTGACAGACTGGTGCCCTCTCGCGGCGTCGTCGACACACCGCCCCGTCGCATCAAATTCCACTCACTCAAGGGGTCATGGCGGCCGGTTCACAGATCACAAAGACAAATCCATCTGACAAACCCTCAGGCGAGACCGTTCGCGTCGTTCGGTCTGGCTGACGTTGCGTGCTCCGTACGTCCTAAGTCTAGTTCACAGGGTCATCGCGCGAAGTCCCAAACACGCCATCGCCTACACACGCACGCGACGCACACGCGTGGAAGCACACCACCTGTCAATATCTGGACCGAAGGGCTGTTACTTGCGGAATTGGTATGTCGCCTCTTCGCGCGTCCCTCCATCAATCATCGTCTTACCGTTTCCTGAGCGTGGATCATGCATACAACGGACAGCGAACCTCAGGCTGCCTCATGCGACCCAGCGGCTGAATATGGGCACCACAAGCCCCCAGCAGCGGGCGCTCCGCCACCACTCACTGTGAGCACGAAACACCGCGCCAGAACCATCTTGGACATGCTTGACGTCTCGTGGACACCTCGGGCCCTCGCGCGTCCCTTCCCCACACATCCGGCATGCTCGGAACCTCAGTTCCACATACCCATACCCCCGAGCGCCCAGCGCCCGCCGAGCATTCTCCCTGCCACGGACGCCCCATCCCGCCCGCTCGGGCGGGCTTCCGCCCCCGCGTTTTCCCTTCCTCATACAGCACGCATGCGGCGGCGGATGACACAAACACACGCCAGAGGACGGCCGGGGGGCTGTGCAGGGGCGATTGTGTGATTTTGTGGACGCAAGATCCGCCCGCCGGGGGCACAGTTGTGCCGGTGCGACGCGTCTCCTCGTATCGCCGGGCCCTGCGCGGACGCCAGAAAGGCTAAAGGAGGCTAACGGAGGCCGCGATTTGGCTTTCGGGGGCGATGCGCCATGCGGCGGCGAGAAGGAACGCCGCCTGATATGTTTTGCCAGCGTTCGACGTGCGACAGGTTGCCTCCGCGGCGCGCGTGTAGATATGCGTTCCGGGGACGCGCAGCATGGTGCGGTGGAGTGGCGTCTACGCTGTAGTTGGGAGGACGATTCCTTGATGGGTGTACTTGGTGCGATTAAGCAGCAGCGTTACCGTACACGATGCATTACGGCGGCAGGCGCGTCACAAAGAAGAATGCAAGAGGGTGCCTCGGGCAGACAGGAAGCTTGTGAAAGATAAAAATGGATTGGGGTGCTTGGTATTAGGATTACATTGTGGGCGGCGTGGTCTACGTATAGGTGGCACGGGGTACTTGTCTCGGGGAGAAAGCTACGGGATACAACATGTTGCAACGGCGACAGCTATTACAGAGAAGAAGGCTTCGCGCGAACGCACAGACAGAGAATCGAGGGCGAGAGAGAGAGAGAGGCAGAGCAGCTAGTAAGCGAGGGATACAAATTAACCGCGCGCGGTCGCGCGTCGCGTCGTTGTCGTGGATCTTAACACGTCCGAGGTCCGAGAACGTTCGTCATCGTCCGGTTATTGCTGGCTCGAGGGCGGCATGTTTCCTGCGCGTCCATGCATGGTAAGCAAGAAGCGTCGCGCAAGGAATGCAGCCACGGAAAACTCACCAAACATGGAGTACTGGTCCGGCACGTACATCGACGGCGCGTCGCCCTGCTGCGCGCCCCCGTGCGGCGACACCATCTCACCCATCACCGGCACCCCATACGTCGTCTCCATCTGCCCCAGCGCCGAGTAGTCGTTCCAGTACTGCGGGTACCGCGCGCTCTGGCGCTCCGCGCTCCGTCCCAGACTGCTCCCCATGCGCTCGTCGACGAGCCCCGTGCTGTACTGCTGCGGGAGCACGCTCGTCGACAGGCTCCCGCTGAAGTTCGAGAGCGCAGACGTGTCCGCCGCCCAGCGGTCGTACGACGGCGGCATGTACGGCGACGGCCCGCCCTGCGGCAGGTCCATCGGCAGCGCGTACCCCTGGCCGGCGGGGGCGTGGCTCGCCTGGCCCTGGCTGTGGCTCTGGCCTGGGGAGGTCGCGACCGGGTAGCTCGCCGCCTGCCGGTACACGACCGAGTCCTGGGACACGGTGCTGCGCGAGCGCTCCGGCACCTCCTCGACTTCCTCCTCGATGGGTTCCTCCGCCGAACGCTTGTTCCGAGGCGAAGGAATCGGGCCGCGCGAGGGTGGGGCGTCGGCCGTCGGCCGCTCCAGCTGTGCCTTTGCACCGTGGAGAAGCTCGAGCGCGCGCCATGCGCTGGGCCAGATGACACGCATGCGCTGCAGGACCTCCATGCATTTCTGCAGGCCGAGACGCGCCTGGGGGTCGTCGGGGTACGTCCGCACTGCAGGGGCGTCTTGCGTCAATTACGGTTCGACGCGAGAAACGGGGGTGAAGACGTACGTGTCGCAACGTGCATGATCGCCGCCGTGAAGATGTAGTAACAAAGGAACACGGACGCGCGGCTGGGGCTGTAATACTCGCCGTACAAGGACACTGCCGTACTCGTTAGACATTACGGTCGCACGGAACGTTCAAACAGCACTCACCGATCAGCGTGATGTGGTTCGCCGCCTGCACGCACATGTCGTAGTGCTGGCGGGAATTTGCGCGGATCTCAGCTTCCTTCGCGGAGGAGGCACTCGGCGACATCCTGCATGCGCATACGTCAATCACCACGTTTCACGCAGAACAAAAAGCACCACTCACGGCTTGGTGGAGTCCTGGATGTGTTGGATGCTGTGTGGCGGGCGCCGTCAGTTCATGTAAGGCACACGCTCGCAGGCACAATCATCACGTACAAGGGTCTGTGGAGCAGCAGCACGGTGCACCAGTACTGCATATGGAGCGTGAGGATGTTCGGTGTGGGAGGGGGCGACTTGGGGGCGGCCGGGTCGAAGCGCAAATGCTCTGGGAGATCCAGCGACCACTTCGTCAGCATGTTGTCGAGTCGCACGAGCTCTGCCGGCCGACTGGCTGGGGGCTTGATCGCGTAGATGCTTTGGCATATCTGACTCAGAATAACGGCTGTTGCGGGGTCAGCACTGCGTCACGACAAAATAAAACAATAACGGTACGCACAAAGCTTGGCGCGCTCGTTGAAGCACGAGAGAATGCGCCCAGGGGTAGCGGGAAGCTCGTCGCGACGGCTCTCCGCCGGGTCATCGATGACCGGCGGCGCCGTGTGCGGCCGCCAGCGCTCCATCTCCTCCGACTCGTCGTCCAGCGGGAGCTCCGTGTCGAAGTCCCGCTCGCAGATCGCAACCGGTCGCCCGATGTACGTGCACACGTACTTGTCCATGATCACGCACCCGTACCAGATCCGGCGCCGCTCCTGCAGCTCCGCGCGCGAGAACAGGGCACGTCCAACGGTCGTCCACTTCTCCGCGCTCTTGTGCAGCCCGAGGTCCTGCGCCATGCGCACGGCCATTCCGACGTAGAGCCACGCCTGCGCCATCGCACCGATCCCAACCTCACGGTACCCTAGCAGGAGCAGCGCTTGGCAGGTGCTCGGCCGACTCGCCGCGTAGGTGCGGTCGAGGATGACCTTGGCGTCCTCCATGTACTCGTCACCCGCCGTCCACATCGAGCCATCCTCTGGTGGGGGTAGTTCGGCTGTGTGCGAGGAGTAACGAGCGGCAAGAGAGAACATGGCGAGCAGGAGGAGCGTAGGGACGCGTCGCTTCCGCGAGCCAAGGGGAGACGACGCGGATATAGGCGACGCAGCGTCTGAGTATCCAGACTCTCCAGAGTATGGCGAGTCAGCACACATGTTGCTGTAATAAAACAATATTCAGTATGAGCTCGTCGACGACCATAAGGAAAAAATTCTGCTCACCCGTTCCGGAAGTCGTCCAAGAAGGTCCGCTTGTGCACGATCGGCAGCGCTGGGTGCACATACGTGAAGTACAAGTCAAGCAACAACTCCTGCGTCGGCACATCCGGCAGCCTCGGCGCGAACTCGTCCGCGGCCCTCCGCTGGCTGTTGCGAACAGCAGGCGGGAGCGGCGGCCAGACACGCGCCTTCGGGAAACGCCAGATACCGCCCTCATTGCGCCCATCCTGACGTTCCTTCACCCCAAGCATATGCAGCCCACTCGCCTTCCCGTGGAAGCGCACCTGCTCGTCCTCGTTGATGCTCAACTGCCCGATCGCGACCGCGATCTCGTCCTCGCCCTCGCCGCTCTCCTCCGTCTCCTCCACACTCTCATCCGCCGCGGCCCGCCGCATCGGCGAGTGCGACGACGCGGTCGACGGCGAGCGCTGCGCGCCGTCGTGCTCGCCGAGCTCGTCCAGTCGCCGGCGCTGTCTGCGTGGCTCACCGGCTGACGTTTGGGATTGCGTCTTAGGCTCGGGCTTGCCCGAGGATGAGCCCGGAGGCGCGGTGTGCGCGGTGGACGGCCGCGAACCCTGCTGGTCCTCCGGGTATCCGAGGTCGTCGGCCCCCGGCGCATGGGCACCGGACGCGACTTGGTCCTCCGGGAGGAGCGTGTTTCGGGCTGCCGCTAGCGAGTTCAGTCGATTGATTACTTGGTCCTGCCATTCGTTCGACGGGCTACGGGTCTGATCAGCTGCGAGTCATTTTTTTCGGACCGAACGTAATCGCTTACTGAGTCGCATGCACGGAGTTGCCGTCACCGTCGCGCTGGTCCTGCGGTGGTCTCGTACGGCTCGTGGGCGCTTCGACTCCGCGACTTCGGCCCTTGAAGCCGTAGGGCGAGTTATCCACCCTGCTAATGATTTCTTTCGCGAGTGGGTCCTAAAAATAATCGCCGTGAGCATTCGCGAACTTTACCATGGCTGTATGCGCCTGAGCTTGGAGCGTGTGCCCAAAAATAGCGATTGCGCCCGTTCTCTGCTGGTAATACGCCACGAAGGGGAGTGGAATTAGGCTTACCTCCGCAAGATCGTCGAGCACGGACTTCGCCCGGCTATCTTTGCTGCTCAAGAGTATTCCAATGAGCGCTTCAGTTTGGTGTAGGCGCGCCTCGATGGCGTCGATGTAGCCCTTTGGAGGTCCTCGCTTGCGCGAAGGACCGAGGAAGGTACATTCTGTCAAAGTCGACGTCAGTGGGCTGTGGCGTGCGCGTGGGACGAATTTGAAGGGTGCAGACAAATTCGAATTCATATTGCAAGGGGACGAAAACCCGCGCGCAAGCAGGAAGCAAATACGAAGAAAAGCGACTCACGTGTGCCCAACATGACACAGTTCCTGCAGGGTTCCTGAGGGCTGCTCCGCTCGCACTTGCACTTGCTCTTCCGGCACTGGTCGCACGCCTTGCTGCTGCGCCTCCGGATCTGCTTCTCCGCGGCCGCCTTCGCGCTCAGGCTAGATCCGCCCGCGCTGTACGGCAGACCCATCCCGCCCATGGACGCCCCGGGGAGGTCCCCGAGCTCGTCCCCGCCCTCGTCGTCGTAGTCGTCCGCGAGCGAGAGCGCGTGCTGGTCGTTCTGGCCATTCACGGGCGACGGCAGGGCGTACCGGTCGACGGCCGCGGCATACTGTTGCTGCGAGTGCGGGTGTGCGTGCGCGTGGTGCTGCTGGTGCGCGTACGAGGAGGACGCGGAGCCGGAGCCGGAGGTCGGCCAGTTTTGGTGCGACATGAAGGTGAAGGGCGTAGAGGGGCTCGTGGGGGACGCGCTCGAGCCGAACTCCGTACCGAAGCGGAAGATGGGGAGAGAAGAGGACTTTACGTGGTGGTGGTCGTACCCGGTGAGCGAGGACACCGGGGGTAGGTCTGCGGACTCCTCGACCTTGATGGGGATCTGCGAGTGGTGCAGCTGGGGATGGTGCGCGTACGAAGGCTTCGGATAGTGAGTCGGGGTGTGCTGGGAGGAGTGGTGGTGGTGAGCCGCCGCCGCCGCCTGTGCGTTTGTGGGTTGCGGCTGCTGGGGCTGCCCCTGCTGCTGCTGTTGCTGCTGCTGGTTGGAGAATGCATAGCGTATGGGATAGGACGGGTAGGAGCCATGGGAGGGGGAGTATGTCATTACGGGTGGGCGGTTGGATTAGGCGGAGGAGGTATGGTAGCGCAGGAAGAGAGATGAGGAGGTACAGCAGCGGATGGGATGAGGACAAGGAGAAGAAAGATGAAGCGGGTGTGACGGAGACTCGGTCAGATTTGAGCAGGAGCGAGATCGAGGAGGTACGGACCGATTGACGTTGTGCCCCTTGTGTGGCCTGTCACAGCGTCGGGCGCAAATTTTGCGCTGCCCGGGGGTCTGGACGAGTTGGGACACGCAGCGCCCACGTTCCGCGTCGGGTCACCCTTGTCGTCCGTAACCAATTTTCGAAAAGCAAGGGCGAAAACGAACGGCGTTGTCACACCCGAGTGGTCTGCGAGCCTCGGTGCCGTCTGCAACAAATCGCGATCGCCGATCCCCTCCTCCGACTTCCCGCGCAGTCGGCTCGCCCCGGATATTCAATGCCACGCCTGTCCTCGACGAGCTGTGCTCCACTGCGCCTGTGCGGTTCTCGTCCTCCCCACTGAGGGTCCCTGCAGGCCTGAGCTGTGCGGGCGGTGGTGGTCGGGTGCAAGAGCTGGTCGGCCGTACCATGATTGTCAGCCACCGTCACCTCTTCCGCTTCGCGAAGTCACAGCCGCCGTACTTCACGTGCGCCCTCCATCCGGCCGTTTCTTCTCATCCCAGCCTCATTTTCTCGCCCTCTCCATAGCACCGGCTTTGCGCAGTCCCTACTCAATACGGGGCTGTCCACGCCTCCGAACTTTGCCCATTCCGCCCCAACCGAAATTTGTTGCTAGCGATTTTCACGCCCGCCGACTCCCTTTCTCCCGCGACCCCGAGGAAAATGTGTGACGTGCGCTCGGGCATCCCCGGGCAGATGGGCGTCTGTCTTAGCACCGATCGAAGTCGGCTAGATCAAGGATAGGCGCCATAGCCGATAACGGATGCGTGCGTCACACATGGCGGGCTCCCCGTGAAACGAAGGCGGCACCACGACGGTGGCCGCCGCCCTCCAGGCGCTCCTCGTCGGCCGACCCGCTCTTCTGCCCGTGTCAGACGTCCCCGCTGGTCATGCTCCCGCTCAGTCAGCTTCCGACCGGCGTCGAGCTGCAACCAATGCCATTCAGGGTGCATCCCGAGCCAGCGCCCTCCCGCCACCACCGCGCCACCGACGGACATCGATGGGGCACCTCCATCATCCCATCCCCATCGCGCGCACCACCGCTCTTACGCAACAGGAACAGAACGGCGCAGAGGCGACCCAGAAGCGACGACCCCATCGCTCGAGTGCCCTGACTTTCGAATCGCACCTTCGGCTCGCTCGTCCCCACATCCGCAGTTTCATGCCCCGAATGGACATACCGACGGCATCGTTCCGCCGGCGGCGAGCTCTGTCGGTCCCCGCATGCCGGATCGGTGCGTCCGTCGCCCAGACACTGGCCCAGCAACTCTCCAGCCTCCTCCAGCCCGGCTGGCAACTGGTCATCGTTGCGCTGGCGATCTCGGTCTCGCGGGCCCCCCGATCGTCTGTCAGTCCACGACTGCGCACTGCGCCCCTCCTGGGGCTGCCCGCTGCAGGCCACCCGGCCTTTCTGCGCCCGGAGAACGAGGGGCGCGGACTCACGGGACCGCACCGTCCGTGCTAGCGTGCCGCCCCCTCGTTTCGATCGAGGGCGGCGCGCCGCGCTAGCCTGTTGTGGGTGCGCTCGAGCATCGTGGCTCTCGCACGTCCGACGACGCCCCACCGTATCCTCGTGTTCGCATCGCTTGCAGTTCGCCTGTCTGTCACCATGGTTCGCCACAGCGGCGGCGCGGCACGGTGGGCCGCACCCAAGCTCTTGGCCGTCCGTCTGACCCGTCAGTCAAATTGAGACATTGCTGCCTTCCACTAGTGCGGTCATTCCCTTCCTGCTGTCTGCCCAGCCCAGGCAATCGTTTCTGGATTCGCACCTCGCAACCCCTCGACGCACATCTTACGCTACCTTACGACACTGTTGGCAGCCTCGGCGCCCGTAGCACATGTACACCACAACCCAGAGCCGCCATACAAACGCCTGCTGACCGCTCTAGCGACCGGCAAGCTAGCGGGCGGCCGTGCGGAAGGAACGCCTGCATTGCAAGTGCACATCATCTATCGATTCGACCCGATTTCTCGAATTCCACCCGTTAGCGCAGGGCCCTCGCCTTCGGATTCACGCCTTCTTCAGAAACAGAATCCCCACGTCGATGGACGAGCCAGCGTTTCCACCGGTCCCATCCCCCATCCATCATCCATGACCAACGCCAAGGGCCCCCCGCGTCAGACGTCTCACCTCCCTGGCCCGCCTCCAGGGCTCCCGCCCGCCCAATTTTCAATTTTCCAATTCTCCAGTCGTCCTGCGATTTTTTGGGGCCGAGCCCCCTGCCCCGCCGCCCCCTTCCTAACCCCGGCGGCGCCCTTGACCTCATCGCACCCCCGGCCCGAGCGTCGCGCACAGCAGGTCCGCGCCCCGGACTTTCCTCGGATTTTCTCGGTCGAGCGTGCCTCTCAATTGAGAAACGGATAGAGCGCCCGCTCAAAGCGGAATGAGGGCGCGCACGACGTCGCGGGCCCGCAGCATGCAGCGGGCTGCTGCATCCTGGGATCCTACACAGCAGCACCGCTCGCAGCACACACAACTGAACAGAGAAGCCAAATTTTGACAGCGCCGTCCGGTGCGAGCGGAATACCAAATCTTTCAGTGTGCAAGGGGCGCAGATCTACCCGTCCCGGCGAACTCCGAGCGCGCAAGGAAGACGTCGAAGCAGGCGCGCGGCGCAGCGCTGTGCAGCTGCCAGCGAAGCCGAGGCTTCCCCTCCTCCTGCCTGCCTGCAGGCCGCAGGCGCCGGAGGGCGGGCAGGGGGGCGGCGGGGTGGCCGGACGGAACGGGAAAGCGGCGGCGCGATGGGGCGCGATCGATAAGACGACTGCGCCCGATCAGGAAGTAATATACTTGCGCCACGCGCGGCGCGCTTCCATGCCCAGATGGCGATCGCGCGTCCCAGATTCGCTGCGCCTAGCGCGATCTGGTGTGTATGTGATCGGGTGCGACGCGGCTGCAGTCGCGCCTGCGCCTCCTCCTGCGCGCAAATTCTTCGAGTCGCGTCGTTGCACTCTGATCAGCAGGCGCGAGCGGGCGGGGCGGCCGACCGTGCGGCCGGGCGTGCAGCGTCGCGGCGCCCGCCCCGGCGTGAGGTCGCGCCGGGCGCACAGCGACCGGTTCGTTGGGGAGGCTGCCTGAGGCTGCGGCCTGCGTGACGGTGGAATGTTCGCCCATCGTCATCGGCGCGACTTCGCGACGGCCGTTCCGCTCGGTTTGCGAGGGTGTTCTCTGACGTGTACATTTTCCTCCGGTACGGACGGGTACGCGAAAATGAGCGGGCCTCAAGGAGGCGATATGCCGTACGCGCTCGCTAGGTTTGCACTGCATGAGCAGCTCTCTCTCGCGCCAGTCGGGCTCCCGACGACTCATCGCAGCAACGCTGCACCTCTGTCAAGCGTTGTGAGCCCCCGGGAACGTCGTGACGCAAAAAACAAATGTCACTCACTCATAAGACCGCATGCACCGCACCTCGGCGTGCGGAGAGGTATCCAGAGCGTGCCAAAAAGCCTCGTCGCGTATATAGCGGCGGCCTTGCCTCTCTATTCGCCGGAGCTTACCAAGAAAACTCTAAACGAGAGAATAGTGCACAGCAAAGCAGTGCAAATCTCCGTACCTGAGCTCCGACGTGGAGTAGGTTGTACGGCGTCCAGGTGCTCCTCGCCTGCGAAGACGCGGGCGGTCGCTGCGCCCGAGGACGCACTGAATGGAATGAGTAAGCGTCGCGGGGGCGCATGGGGCGGAGATGAGCGGGAAATAGGGCGGGCGTGCGGATGGTCCGACCGAGGTGCTTGGAATTGGTGCGGACGGACGCGCCGCGGGGACACGTACGCGCACCCCGCGGTTTCCGCAAAATTTCTATGCACCGCGAGGCAGGCGCAAATAGCTCGCGACGCGCCGACGTGTGCCTCGGGCTTCTTCTCGCTCCAATCTTCGTCGGTCGGCGTGGCTCTGCTCCGGGAGACGGGGTATATGACCACACTCGGTTTGGATGGGGAGGAGGAGGCGACGAGAAGTCCCGCCAAGGTCAGTCGGACCCTGGCCTTGAACAGCGCGAGGGGCGTCCGCCGCGAGAGCCACGCGCTCCGACAAAGACTGCCGTTAGGTCAGCGACGGGCAGTCGGAGTTGCGGCTGCGCACCAATGGCGGGCGGTGCGGGCAGCGCTTGAAGAGGCGGCCAAGGGGCGTTCTTGGCGCTGCTCGTCTTGCGGTCCCGTGGTCCCGAGGTAGGTAGATGCATAACAGTAGGCCTTCATCACTCACTCGAGGGCAAGGGTGGACTGAGAGCCTGCCGGAGATCTGTCAGAGAGCGGTATTGCGGAAGGGTGGCCGGCGCGCGCTTGATGCGCAGGCTTGTCCTGCGTCTGCGCTGGGGGCACTCAGCGTACCATTGTGGACAAAGACAACCGTCTACACTCACTTCTACGTCTGGATCCACCCTCACTGACGGACAGCTCGGCGTTCCTCGCCATCATGGGGTCGACATGCGGTTGAGTGCCTTGAAACAGGACAATAGCCAGCGTCTTGTGTGAGGACCGCGGGACGGACGTCCAAGGTGTGTAGATGACTCTGTATACCGCATCGATGTCCTGTTGTAGACAGCGGCGACACGGTGGCCATCGTACGCGCCGAACCATTTGGACGCGATGGCATGCGAGACGCGCCCCTTGTTCCGTATCCCGAGGAAAGACGCGGACCCGCGGACACGGAGCTTAAGCGAAACCGAAATAAGATAGCCGCGAGGCGACGTGTTGACGTGGTGACTTGCGTTGCGGAGCCTGTCGCAGCGGCAGTACGAGCATCCGGAAAATTTGCCAAGAAGCTCGGGAGGAGCGCCAGAGAACATAGGAGAAGCTGCCGCAGGACAATTGGGGGAAGAAACTGCGGTAGGACAAGGCAAGGGGCTTGCCTACGTCGTCGAATGACCGTCCTTCGCCTTGCGAACGGTGCTTCGGCGCGATGAGATGCTCCAGGATTGACATGGTGGACATGAAACGTGGGCTTCTCGTACAGCAGCATCTTCGCGAGCACGCGGCATGGCGCTGGACACGGTCCGTCCATATGGTGGGGCGCCGAACATCAGGGTCGAGGTGACAGCCTAGCGTTTAGAGCCGATTAGAGAAGCGGCGAGAACAAGGGAGAAGGGGCTCACGAGTAGGGGCAATATATCACTGGCGAGCGTTTTGTGCACCACACGCAGCCTGCGTGCTCGCAACCCTGAACGGCGACTCGGCTACTCCGATCATGCTCGGAGGGAAGTCGAAGTCATGACACGAGGGGGATTGCTGCCGCAGGGAGAGGGAGATGATGGCGCCAGTGCCAGTGATGAAGGACCTCGGGCACTGGGGGGGCGCATTCCTGGCAAATTAGCGGTCGGAGGGGTGTGTTAGCGTCTGAGCTATACGGGGGTGGTTGTTTGTGCGTGACATACCGCATGCATTCCGTGTCACCGAGGGCTGGGAGCAGGGGTGCGATGATGTTGTCGCCGACGCATGGTTTGCCGCTCAGTTCAAACGCCTACTATGGCCACGAATGAGCTCTCCGTGCGGTTGCAGGAGCTCGATAAACACTAACAAACAATACGAGGTAGATTAGTGCATGGTGAGAGGCATAATTACAATATGTATTTACCGAGTGAGCCCATCGCGCGTTGTATGATACATCTTGACATCTACGGCGACTACATCTGAATCTGCAGATCGTCGGGCCAAGTGTTTAGCAGACGTTAAACGCGCTCCCTACGTAGATCATTCAGTTTGAGTGCACAGCCTGAAACGACATCGATGATTAGAGGAACCTCACATCGTTCAGGCTGGATATTGGGATAATTTGGTGGTGGTGTCGATTTGACATCTGCTTCTGGCGCTGAAAACGCTGCTCTACCCTTGCATGCACGGGCAGCAGCTCGTATCAGTATTCGCGCGCCGACACGCACGCGAGCGGCTTGCGAAGGACGAGCGGAAACGCATTGTATTCCACTGGTGTCCTTTCCACGAGGACGTGGCATGGAATCAACTTGAGGATGAGGACGCGAAGCAAGCCGCGGACTTACTTATCGAACGCGACGAGTGCTCGCTTGCATACGCGCATCATTTACTGCCGGTTCAGCTCCAATCGTATTGGCAAGATAAATGTTGAGGCTTGAGGGCGTATTCCGGCCACAAATTGTTGAGGCTTAAGGTGTTCGACCCGCCAGAGGCCGCGACCACTTGTCCCGCCCGGCGCCTCCGAGTCGGAGGGCTGTTGGCGACTCCTATTCATCGAAACCGATAGCCTAGTGAGCTGCATATACGTTACATCAAGAATGAGCTTTTTGGAGGAGTAAGTGCTGGATGTATGCGTCGTCTCCCATGCCCAGTGAGAATCGACAAGATCCAGCCGGATCTGTTTGGGTCCAAATCGATCCAAAAAGGACTCCCACGAGGGATCCTTTTGGATTCGAATGGATCGTAAAAGTGTACAAGGGATCTTTTTCTGAGGATCCATTCCGAACCAAATGGGTCCTTTCGCATCCAGTCGTATCCATCATATCCAGTTCGTTTTAGTTCGTTTTAGACATATATATTGGAGCTTCTATATACGGTACAGGAATATCCGGGCCCCCAAGCTACGCAACCCCAGCACCCCCGTAACCCAACAGCCCGCCCGCCCGCCCTACATCCTCCTCTGAGCTCCCCAAGTCGTGGCCACTCCCTCCATACCCTTCTCCTGAAGAACCCCTTCGCACGCAGAGCATAGACCCACCAAGAACCTCGCTCTGGGGCCCACTCAGACTCACCTTGTGGACGCCTATGGTGCCTTCGCGTGTCGCAACAATGCGTGCTGGTCATCGAATTTTAATCCGGACTATTCGCGCCATTAGTATAGCTATACAGCCCCATCTGTGTGTGCAACTACATACCTGGGCGGGCCACACCGACAGCGCCGGGGGCAGGGGCGGAAGCGGCTGGAATGAGACGTATTTGGACAGCATGACTCTGAGACCTACTAATGGCCTTGTGCACCTGCGATGTCTTCGCGTGTCGCGTCCGTCGTGTCCATCGTGTCCGTCGTGTCCGTCGTGTCCGTCGTGTCCGTCGTGTCCGTCGTGTCAGTCGTGTCCGCTGATCTTTGATTGGTCATTGAGATGCTGCGCACCATTAGCATGGTCCTGCGTATATGCGCAGTTGCGTACCTAGGTGACGCAACACTGGCGGCGGCGGCGATGGCCCTGGATAGAGCTGATAGGACGGAGTACACGGCCGGGGGGTCCTTTCCAGGCGAACTACGGGAGAATGATCACAGTCAATCCTATGCACAGATGCCCATAGGAGGATGACAGGACAGATGTCGGATCTTTGTAGCCGCGCTTATCATGAGAATGAACTGGAGGAGGACCAAGGCAAGGAGAGCCGCCCATGTCGCTTCAGATTCGAGGCGAGATCCTTGCGCGCTAGAGTGATTATCTAAGGTCGACCAAGACCACGTGAGCATGGCGTCGCGCGAAAACGCCAAGTCCACTCCTCCTTGCAGAATTGCACCGAGTCCGACTGATTAAATCCAGCACCTCCGGATTGCGATACGAATGCTTCGCAATCTCAGGGCACGGCCGCCTCTCCTGTCAACACGTTACATCGCTATCAAACAGCGATGGATTCTGCGTTCAGACCTCCGCGCTCGACGACGTGCTGCGCGAAGTTCTGTATTGTTTGCTTGTGACCGCGGAATGGACCTCCTGCGGCTCGTATTGGTTTTGGCCGCGTCCTTTCAATATGCAAGTGCGATGGTACAAGTTTCCCGGATCGATCTCGACTTGGGTCACGGTGCCGGTGTTTTGCTGCAGATGTATTGCAGCATCGCTTATGGTATTGCGTTCCTGGTGTCTATTTCGAAAGGTATGGTTGACCCCCCTGGTATATTACATCTTTTGAGGCTGACTCGGTGGTGGCTCTATAAACAGTCTTTTCCGTCTCATTGACCTTTGAAGACCTCCCTAACAGAGGTGTTCCCCCCCAATCTGCCTGTATGCGGAGGTCCTGGAAGCATGCCGCTTCTCGAGGGCGTTTGGAACCGGTCAAAACGGCGCACTCGTTGGGTCATGCGAGCGGCGGGGATCCTCCGTCTTTGAATAGTCCGAGCCACCATGGAAAGATAGCTCTCCTCGTGACAGGTACTGCCATCCGAACCGTCATCGTGTGTAGGTGCACAAGTTGGTTTCGCTCAGATCCGGTGCTGACAGCCCCCGCAGATCCTGATTTGGCATCGGGAACTGTTCAAACAGTGCTCGATTCTCTGCGCTCTCGCCGTGTCATCCCGGATCTCCGGCGTGTCCATTACGATGTCCTCTTCCCGCCATTCTCCTTCGCTCCTCTCGACCCCTCAGCGCGATTAGCGGACATAGGCGTTCAAGAGCTATCAACGCTCTCGCTCAGGACACGAGTTTTGGGCGGTTCCTCCACGAGCACTGGTCCGGTACAACAGTGTGCGTAGACGGCGCTCATGTTGCCAACGGCGCTCATCCATATTGACTTTCATTTCAATGAGCAGCACAAATTGCGTTCACGGACTCGACCGGCTCGTTTCCGGAGGGCGCGCACCCTGAGCGTATGTATATTATACTTCCATAATTACGAACTTCGCTGACGCTGTGGTAGACTGGCGACCTATGCTTGGGGACTATAAAGGTTATTTTCAGTGTTTAATCTGCAACGACGGCAGGCCACGCTTGCTTCAGCATATCACCACCCACGAAAGGTCAAAGTTTCACCAACGGCGTCTGGAACGACATCAAGATGTAGCGCAACAGGCGACAACCTCGACGGAGATATGTCACAGTGATCCCGGGATCGCACCGCCGTCGCCGAACCTTCTTGGAAGCGATGTCCGAGAGCCGCTTCTTGACTTGCTTACTGATGTGGGCAATAGCGTATCTGAGAGTTCCTCTGGGATTGTGGACTGGGAATCCATCTCGGCTGATGTACAGCTCGAGCACCGGCCCTCATCGGAAGCAGCAGACATAGCACGGCTATCCGCTCAGTTCAAGCAATATCTGGATGACGCCGGTGCAATCGACACTGACTCCTCCGATGAGGACGCTGGGGACCGGTATGAAGACGACGACAACACTAGAGCAGCATCCAGTAATAGGTCAGCAACAACAGAGTCAGCGAATGGTAGGTTCATTGCCCGTTCTATCGCGGATTTTGCGCCCATTAACTGCCACACAGGTCCAGTAAACATTCCACAAGAGGCACCTCTGCGTCGTACTGTATCGCACGCTGATAGCCCATATTTTCCGTGGCCCGACAAGGAGGTGAGCTTATAATGAGCATGCTATCCGAAACTGCAGCGATACTGACTCATGTGATAGACTTGCATTTTGGATATCTTACGGCATATCCCCCGGTGCGCGTTTTCACGCAAGCAGAATGCGGTCATTCACTGGGCACTGCTTGCGCTCGGGGTATCCAATATTCCGTCAGAAGACACGGTGGCGCGGATTTCCGATAGCTTGCAGCAGCTTTTTGGCGTCGCAAGTATCCGGTACAAGGGTGCTTTTGGGCATGTCTACTACGTGAACGACCTAGCGGCACTGATCGCCCAGGTGTGTGCCAACGCGTCCACCGTGATTTATTCTGATATTTCATTTCTGTCAGGAAATGGCCAATCCTCGTGTACGACGGCACCTACAGTTTCTCGCAGAAGACGCGGGGCCCAAATTGAAGGAAGCATGGCAGGCCAAGAGATGGCGTGAGGAGCTCGATCCTGACTTGGCAACCCCCATGATTCGCTACAAGAATCAAGACTTCTACGTCTACGAACCTACACTGCTTACAAACGGTAAAGTCTGCATTCCGTTCGGATGGTTCCGCCGCAAGGGTGCATTATTTGGGCGCGCGTGGGCGCTTTCTCTCGAGCGGGACCGATCAGGGTGGACGGTGCTGAAGTATGAAGAGATCGACGTCCCCGAGAGCTTCCTGCTCTCAAACTTTCCCAATCTGTGCGAGTCGTTCACTTCCTATGGCATCGCGGACCCGCGCAATATCATCGGTACGTCTCTCGACGTTCCCGTAGTGGGCATACATAATAATCGCTAAGATAGGTATTCAAGAGGCCGTTGACAAGGGCTTGACTCCATGGAACTTCACCGATCCCCGCGTCGGGAATCGATGGAGACGACAAGCAAAGGGACATCATGTTCGCGCTTTCCCGATATGGTTGTACTGCGACGACACGTCCGGGAACCTTTCAAAAAAGTGGAATAAACATAATTCCTTCCTTTTCACGCCCGCCGGCCTCCCGCGTTCCCTCGTTCATCAAGAAGAGAACATACACTTCCTGTCGACCTCGAATATTGCCCCGCCTCTGGAAATGTTGGATGGCATTGTTGATCAACTACAGTACGATGCACGATCCTTCGCGACGACTGAATCTACACTAATGCTCGCTTCATGCCTTATAGACAATGTCAGGAGACGGGAATCTGGGCATGGGACTGCGAAGACAAGGAGCTTGTTCTTGTTGTCCCATCAGTGCTTGCAATGCTCGGGGACAACCCTATGCAAAGCGAGATCGCCTGCCATGTGGGGCTTGCCGGGAAGCTCTTCTGTCGAGTATGCTGGGTGTCGAAAGGAGCTGCCGCAGACAACAATGCAGAGGCAGCTCCAGAAGGTGCATGTTCCTCTTCACGTGTGCCTCGTGTTATTGACTGACTAGAATCAATTGCATGTACAGGTACCCCAGATGGTGCTTCAGATTCGCCTGCGAGTCAGCCCCGCGGCCGTCAAAATGCAGGAAAGCAGCAGGAAACGATGCAAGACATGATCGCACGTCTGAGAAACTTCATGACGGTACTATTTGGCTTATACCCGTCGCGCGTACGCAGTTCTGAACCCAGATCATCTTGTAGCTCGGCGCATCAGGGTTACGTTCGCGCGACCAGACACTTCGCTGCCTCAAGTCACAGTTCAATGAGGCGACCCGGGTGGGAGGACAGAGCGAAGTCTTCACTAAGCGAACAAACACGGGTGTGAAGGACACGTTCCAATCGTGGTTCATTGAACGCCTGTGCAAGGTGACAGTTGCGAAGGGCAAGAGCCGTGCCGATAAGACAGCGGAGGTTTCGGCGTTGCTCCAGTCGTTCCCCCCGGAGGAGCTGCTCACGAGCCCTGTCTGGCGTATCAAAGGTACGCTGTCGCAGCAGTATGTACTATGAGTGGTGGTGTCAGCTGACAGTCGCCACCGAAATAGATTTTGATCCTCATCGCGACACACCTGTTGAAGTGCTGCACGTCGTGCTACTCGGATTTGTGAAGTACTTCTGGCGTGACGCCATCGCCCGCTTGAAGGACCCAGAGAAGAAGATCCTTATCGCGCGGCTGTCGTCTTTCGACGTGTCCGGTCTCGGGTTTCCTCCGCTCTCTGGCACAACACTGGTCACATATGCACGATCACTCGTTGGACGTGATTTCCGTGCAGTCGTCCAAGCCGCGCCCTTTGTATTGCACGACTTGAAAGGTATCCCCCCTGAATCACTCGACGTGTGGGCCGCACTCAGTCGTGTGGTCACACTTGTATGGCAGCCCGAGATACACGCTTTGGACGACCACATTGTACGTGGTAGCTGATATCTCTTATAATTACACGATCTCATATCCATGTTACACAGAAAGCGCTCACCGATGCCATCAACTACTTCCTGGAGGCGACGTGTAGGCTCACCCCGCGATGGTTCAATAAACCGAAGTTCCACATACTGCTACATCTTCCAGAGCATATTCGACGCCTCGGACCTCCCATGCTCTTCGCTACCGAAGGGTTTGAATCCTTCAATGCCATCATCCGATCGTTTAGCGTGCACAGCAACCACCAAGCACCATCGCGCGATATTGCAGCCGGTATGGCGCACCACAGCCGCATTCGCCACCTCCTCAGTTGCGGGCTCTTCCACGTGCCGCGGATTGTCGGAGGCCGCATCGATGACACCTCTATTTGCGAGACTAGTACTGGCTCTCTACCTTCAACGAGCTCGTCGTCGGCGCCACGGTCTCCTTGGCTCAGCAAGATATCAGGACCGGCTATCCTGGAAAGAGGAGCTTGGCGTTCTGTAGGTCCGGGTCCGCTGTCACTGCTACATATCGCCAACTTCAGAGACGACCTCCTCCGGTTCAGCACAACAGCAACCATTGCTATTGCAGAAATAGGTACGCTAATGATTGTTCATATCTAAGGAAACTAGTTAACCCAGTACCATAACAGGACTATGTCGCAACCTCGGCCGTGAAGTACCGTGGAGTGCGACCCAAGCGAGCAGCCACGGAGTTCATCTTCAGGCGTCGCTCATGAGACAGCAGTTCCGTACTGTGCAGGAAGTGTTGCTCCAGAACGGCGAATGGTGCAACGCCAGGAAGAGAGATTGGGTGATATATCAAGAGACTACTGCCGGTGACCCGCCTGAGCGAACCCCCAAGCTCGGGAGGGTGCTCGAAGTTTTGCAGATTGTTGGATCGGCCGCCGAGTCTTCCGGCCGAGCAGACGGCGTCCTGATTCAAATCTCACAACTCGGCGCCCTCCACAATGAGTATCGCATGCCTCGTGCCGACCTCTGCGACTCATACAGGCTCCTGCCCGTCTCTGTGAGTCGGTTTCAAGTTGCTGATGCTCCCTTTACCCTGATCTCATATCCCGTCCTTGTCAATCCAAAGGCAATTCGTTGTGTAGCTAACGTTCAACACGACTGTATTGGCAGCAAGTGCAAGATCACAAACACCAAGGAGGTCATTCAAGAGCGCGAGAAAACAGCCAACCTGCACACAGATGAAGTCCGGCATTCCGACAGCGTCCACTTTGTTCTCAATGTGGGACAGATGCGCGATGCATCAGAACTACGACCTCTAGTCCTTCCCCTCCCATCACTTGGCTCTCGAGACGATATTATTCATCACGCTGCAATGCAGGAAGTCGATCGTGCTCACCGCCAGACTCAGGCAGGCGACAGTCTTTCTTCTCGTTCTCGTTCCTCATCTCGGTCCCCGGCTTCGCGCAGTCAGCGGCCCGCATCACCCTCCCGGCTACCTCATCCGACACCCACAGCAAATCCCTCCCTCTCAAGTGCCCGTCCTTCCGTGCCGACTCCGCCACTGTCCATGTCCTCGGACTTGACATCGGCACGACCCATGCGACCGAGTGTCGGACAACATACTGGCCCCCCTCACCCACCTGACTCTCTTCTCCGCAGCGCTATCATGTCATCGTACAAGCAGCCGAACATGCAGGCAGGACCTCCAACGCCTCATGACATGATCGCGAGCACCGTAGGGTCGTCGCCTGCAACTCGCATAACTCATTCCCGCCAGTACCCCCAGTTGATGGCCCGTACTCCGCCTTACGGTTTTGGTCAGGATGATGGTCATGTTACTCGTGGCTCAGATACCTCCTCCTAGTTCCATAATTCCATTTCATTGCTCAGAATATATCTTGTCTATCTTGACCGCTTCTGGCGGTCCTCCCGGGCCAATGTTCTCGTCGACGAGACGGCGAACAGACCACGCGTGACAGTAACACTTGCCCAATTTGGAACAACCTCACAGACATGAACACGTCAACAAGCTCTGCTGCACCCTCCCACCATCATCTGGGGTCGTCCTCATGCACATCGCATTCTTGCGCTTCCTCAAAGGTTTCTGATCTTGGGTTGCCTCAATGCGTCCGAAAAGCGGACGTGCTCACAAGAACTCCACAAACCTCACATCGCTTCTGCGGTTGGCGATAGCAACATGGCACGGGGACACAGCTGCAGACCGGATTCAAACAAACACGACTCCTCGCACCAGCCAAGAAACGTTCGAGGGCTGTAAATCACGCATACGAAAATAACTGACGACCGAGTTTCGGACACGTCCCACAGCCGTCTGCTGTATAAAAGGTGCGTCAAAACAACCTGAATCCTCGCCCCCTCATGCTTAGTTCCTGACATGCCTTCCACCAACGGTGCCTCGTCTATGGTTGTTGAACCTCTGCCGCACGACCATGGCTCTCTAGCAGCCATCGGTCCCCATGCGGTCGAATCTTCGACTCTCACTATGGGGGACCCAGGTGTCGCCACATTGAGTACTCGTCTTGACTCTCCTCCCGTTCTCGACCAGATTTCTCTCTCCATCGACAAGGTGGCCAACGACATGCAACTTGGCCCGCACTATCGGGCGATGTTGCATCGATTCAAGCAGGTACGCGCGACTCGCTCACTTCTCAGAACATGGTTTTGACATTCGCTTCTCGCAGGCCGTATTCCAGCTTCCACCGCAGCATCGGGACGCGTTCTTAATCCAGCAAGCGGTTGCTCTTCGTTCCATTCAGCTCCTCGAAGATCAGCGTCGGGACATCCAGGATATCATCGCATTCTCGGCGACCATACGCACTCACCTCGCAGACCGTCGAACATTGTCAGCAGACCAGCAGGTGAGTTGCTCTTAGTGCTCTCACGGTGCCGCGCTGATGACTCCATGCTTCTATCAGGCTGAGATCACCGCTCTTTGCAAGAAGATGGTGTTTGAGGCCGATCGGACGGATTACGACTTCGCCGACGAGGCTCTCGTACGTGATATCACATTGCAGCTGAATGTACACTCACCCCATGCAGGAGCGTCTCAGGCGGCTGCCTCGGCCCAACATGTTTGTTGAGGTCTTCGAATCGGTCGCATGGACCCAGACGCTCACGACGTCCATCCGGCGGCAGTCCTCGTACGCGCGGAACTCATTGCGGAAAGATGTGCGTAATCACAGGTGTGGTCTACCATTCACTAACCTGGCCCGGTATAGCTGCGGGACTCCGAATTCGATGGGAAGAAGAAGGCTGGGCTGACAAGTTGCGCTAGGAAGGGGTTGCGGAAATACGCCCCTCGGGACGGCCAAGACCTCTCTCCGGAGCTCATCTTTCATCTCGCCATCCTTGTAAGTGATTCTCTGCACGCTTCTTGAATGTGAGATGCGATCACTCTCTTCCCAGCGACGTTTCGTTCGCGAACACAGGGACCTGCTCAATCGTGATGAGTCTGTAGACGATACCGAAGATACGTCCGCGGCGATCACGGGCCCCAAGCGGAAGCGGGTGCGTTTTAGCGAGGATTCAGAGACGTTCTGGGGCGCTGTGTCGGCCTTCTTCTCTGAGAAGAATGCAGAGTGGGGCCGGAGCATCAAGCCCGGAAGCCAATGGGCCAAGTACGTCGACTCATACACACCCGTGCAGTATCTAAATTGTCCCTTTTCAGTTATATCGACGAGTGTATACTCCAAGAGCGCAGGCGATTCCCAGATGACCGCATCCTCGCCATCGCTCAGCGTCCGAGTCAGGATGATGCCGCCCGCCCGCCTTCGCTCCCGGAGTTCACTTTCACCTTCGGGCATTCCCCCAGCAGTTCACGCTCACCTGTAAGCCTTTCTAAATTACTATTGTATCTACAACCCGACTCATAAGCTTCACAGACACCCGGGGAATATCCTGCTTCTGGAGCAGGACGTCTCGATGGCAGGAGTCGGTCTGTTGTCCCAGGGTTCACATTCGGAGATCAGACAGGCACCCAGGACGTCGACATGACTGCGTCCGAGGAGCCTCAGCCTTCTGGGTCCGCTCAACCTGCACCGTCTCCCTCCCCGGCAACTCCTGCACGCTTCCACAACGCTACGCCCTCGACGCCTCTGACTCAGCAGTTCCCGGTCGCTGGAGTGCGCTCAGGCACTCCCGTTTCTCCGCCACGCCCCGCCTCCACGGTCCACCCTGCCGCTCAGTTCGGAGTCAGGAGGGTGGTGAGCGACAGCGGCCATCCTGCGCTGCCCCCGGTCAACGCTCTCGGCCTCGGTATTGAATCGCTTACCATATCACCCAACCATTCTCAACTCTCGCGCGTGGGCCTTGACCTCCCGCCACTCGCTGCGTTCGACGCGCCGCCGTCACCTGCCTATGGGCGTTATCAATACGCCGGCCCGTCATACCACCGTCACGGTTATGGCGAGGCAGAGCCGTACGCCCAGCGGTTCCCCTGAACATGGGCGACCAAGTTGGTGCAGTCGTCGCGTGCAGACGAAGTGGTGAGTATCATCTTATCATGATGTGCATGTGCTTTCTCTGACAGGCTTCTCACCGCCGCAGGGCGTTGGGCTTCACGACTTATGCGCTCTTGAGCAGTCGATCTATGGTTCTCTCGTATGCTAGACTTAGGTAGTGAAATCTTTAATACATTGCATGTTTTCTCGATACGTCGCGATGCCTGGTTCTGAGTGCAACAAGAGTATCGGAAGATTACGGAATGTATTGGGACGGTCGGGGTGGGGTGGGCGCTTGCATGCGCTCCTCGCATCACCCGAAGGACAAGACCGCGGGTCACCCACGGGCCATCACGAACTTGGACTTCCTTCGGTCTCACTTTTTGGGGAATCCAATAGGTGTCCTCAAGTTCTCCACGAAGGCTCTCTTTCTACGGGTTACCTGCAGAGCGCCCCTCGGCCGTGTAGATGGTGGTATGAGAGAGAGCAACACGATGCATGTTGACATCATCGCCAAGAGACTAAATACGCGGGACGCCCGATGCGGAGCCAGTCAGAACTCTATTTCTGGACGGGGCAAGCGCGAGAATTTGAACCGGGTGCGGGAGTGATAGAGATAGTACACAGAACTAGTCTTGTCAAAGTGCCAAACGACACCTGTGTGTCAAAAAACGCACAGAAAGCCTCTCGAACTCGAAAAAAGCGTGATCGAAGTCGGTCAAACTAGCGCTCGGCACTACCATATCCGGGTTTCATTCGACAAGGATCCTGGAGGACGCAAATGGATCGATTTGGTTCGGATTAGATCATGTCAATTCTCACTGGGTCCCATGCCTGGACGGCCTTGTTGCAGGACAAACCTGAGTTTGTCCGAGGAGCAGAGCGCGAGACGAGCGCTTCCCCACGCGCCCTGAACACGTGACCTGCGCGACCCCTTCAGGCGCCTCGCGCTTTCCCGTCCTCGCGACGAACAACCAAGGACTCGTCCACTACCACCTTGTTGCTTCTTCTCATCTAGCTCGCTTGCTCCCAAGAGACATCTTGATACAACACTGAAGGCCAAAACATGTCTCATCAAGCAAAAATGGCAGTTTCTGCAGCCTCGTCTTCGTCCAGCGCGTCCCTCCTCGACTGGTTTAAACCTCTGCGAAGCGAAGCGATTGCACGGTTGCGGACGAACACTGTAGGCCTAGTTGGCCTTGTGATACTATCCAATCTTCTCCCCGTACCGTCGCCTTGGAGAGCGTTCGATGTGGTGTGGCAGCGGAGACCGACAAGCGCGCCATATTACTACCTTTGTGCTGCAGGTACGTGCACCGCGGTTGATCATAAATGTAACGGATGATACATCTGCAATCCGTTTCGTTGTAGAAATTGCGCTCCTTGCAGTGTTGCTATTCAACGTTGTGCAAGCTTCGTATGCATTAAAATACCCCCGCGTACCGCCGCCACCCCCTCCCTCACCAGCAAGAAAGGCGAAGGACACGCCCCTCTCCCCTGCGCGTCAGTGGCGTCTCTCCAGCAGCACCACCCCGAATGTAAGATTCTGCGTCGAACGGCTTGGCTTGAACTTACCGTGGACTTCACCACAGTCCAGTCCACAAAGGCAGAAGGCCTTCTCGTCGTACGCGCCATCGCCCGTCTCGACACCTTCGCGCATAGTCAACTACACCATTCCCGGTTCGGTAGCCTCGCCTCCAGACGCGTCGTTCGCGTCGTCGATGTCGGTTCCTGGGTCTCCCGCGTCGCCACTAGCTGCATATCGTGGACGGCACAGTGCTTCCGTAGGACGTGCGTATCACTTTGAGTTCTATCTGCTCCTGAATGGTTGCTGATTCTCCGCACAGGTGCATTCGACGGGTCTTTGCTCAGCCGGCTGGCGAAGGATGATGACGAGGACGAGGACTATGCATAATCAGCTCATGAAACGTAAATATTCACGCCTATCATCATGATGTATGTGCTGCATGAGTTCACGGATATAATACCGATGCGACCCTGTGTGCTGCTAGTGTGCGTAATATCTGTCTACGTAAGTATTGTGCCACCGTATCTCGGCTCGCAGCGTTGTCTCTCAACGTTGCGATGCAGCCGCTCGTTGCTAGCCACAACTACAACGACTCTGGTTGCAACTTGCAGCGGCCGCCGTCAAGTGGTGGAAAGACATTGTCTCGGTCACATGACCGGCGACGCGGTCAATTAATGGGCGCCTCCTGCTAACGGCAGCCCCTTGTTCAACTTGTCCTCAACTCTCATCTTCCTCGCCCCCTGGCCGCCTGAATCGCGGTGACCACCAGCTCTGAGCACGAATCGAACAAGAAACAAAGGAGTACACTGCTAAAGATGGAGGCAAAGTGAGTACAGGTTGTTCTTTGTGCCATCAGATCGAGAGAGACGCGTCAGACGCGTCGCGGTGGGCAGCTTGCCACCCGGCGGCGAAGAGGGGTGTTCTGGGTAAGACTTGCATGCCGCAGCGTTGAAATACCACCGCGGCTCTCACTTTCAGTGACTCGAGCTTTCCTTTTCAGTATCCAGGCAGCACGTTGGTGTCGGCTATGGGGGCCATGCTGCTGCAGTGCCGGCATATCTCTCCATGGCCCGTCAAGCGCACGCACTATTTTACGTCTCCTCGAGTCAATGCGAGGGTGTCTTGTTTGACGCACCAGCTAATAACGCATAAATAGGAGGCGACAGCTCGCTCAGAATTCTGCTCTCTATCCGGATCTCATTCCTCTGGGCGGGCGAGCGAAACCCGCGTCCTCCACCACGACACCTACGGCTTCATCCAGCAAGTCTGGGAGCCAGCCGGCAAGAACGACCCCTGCGTTTACTCCCAGATCAGCGTTGTTGAATACGCCGCAGTCTATCATCGTGAGTTTGAACATAAGTTTGGTGCAGCGGCTGTTTACTGACAGATTGAGCAGAGTGTATCATCCTCCAACGACTCCCCCGACGCCCCGCGCAATCACCGAGCCGCGCCTATAGAGATTTCTTCCGACTCCGAAGGCGACGATATTCTGGTTGTGTAAGTAGGCTGCTACTCGGCGGCAATGATATGCTTCTAAGTAGTTCCTTCAAAGACCGCCGCTGCGTGCGCAGCCACCGAACAACGCCCGACCAATGCCCCAGCAAACAGCGCCCAAGCCATCGTTTGGCAGCAAACCTGCCATGCCGATTCATATACCCTCCAATAGGGACGTGCCTCGCCCTCCGGCGCGCCCTCCCGCATACGCCCACCTAGAGCAGGAAACGTTTGATATCGATCACATAGGCCCGGTCGACGACAGGCCGATGACTCAGGAAGAGACGGCGAAGGCTTTGCAAGACTTCGTGCACGAGGGGTACAACGACGGGGATGTCGACTTTGACCCAGAGGACACGATCGTTGAAGGGTTCCGCGATGACGTCAGGCTGCTGCCGCACCAAATCAAGAGCCGCGCATTCATGGCCGAACGCGAAACGGGGAAGAAGAACGGCGGCATACTCGCGGACGACATGGGGTAAGCATCGCTTTGACGGCGATGGTGACAATACTAACCTTTGTCGCAGACTTGGCAAGACCATCTCGACACTTACGCGTATCTTGGACGGGCGCCCTACGCAGAAGGATAAGTCCGCAGGATTCTCTGGGTCTACGTTGTAAGTTATACTTGATTTTTTTCAGCATACGTGAGTGACTGGAACTTTGCCCCAAGGGTCGTATGCCCTGTCGCGCTGGTGTCGCAATGGGAGAGCGAGGTCAAGAAATACACATCTGGCCTTCGCGTGGTCCAGCACCACGGCGCCAGCCGGACGAGCGGTAAGTGGTATGCGTCAGGCGAAGCATCGTAGAGTAACTAAGCCCCTGTGGTACAGATCCTTATGAACTTGAGCGCGCTCACATCGTGGTTACCTCGTACTCCGTGGTTACATCGGAGTATGGAGTGTATGGTGGGGGTAAAGACGAGTCTAAGGCGGACGGGAAGAAGAAGAAGAAGGGCAAAGAGTCCGACTCGGACGACTCGGACTCGGACTCGATCCAGAAGCGTCTCAAGGCCGCACCGCGGAGGGGCAAGGTCAAGGACGCGTTGTTCAGGGTCAAGTGGTGGAGGATCGTATTGGGTACGTTGCTTCGCACTACCCTCAGTCATTCGTTTGTTGATCTCCTGCAGACGAGGCGCACAACATCAAGAACCGCAACACGAAGGCAGCCATCGCATGCTGCGCTTTGGACGCGAAGTATCGTTGGTGCCTTACGGGCACACCGATGTACGTTGAGACAGCGTATCTAAAGAGTGATGGCTGAGACCGTCTACAGGCAAAACAACGTCGAGGAGATCTATTCCCTCATCAAGTTCCTGCGCATCGTTCCGCTTAACGACTGGCCCACCTTCAACTCTTCTATCGCCAAGCCTGTCAAAGCTGGCAAGCCTGTCCGCGCGCTCAAGCGCCTTCAGGTGGTCCTGCAGAAGATTATGTTGCGTCGCACGAAGACTACCGTGATCAATGGAAAGCCGATCTTGCAACTCCCCGATCGCCTGGTCAACATAGTGGATTGTGTATTCGACGATGATGAACGCGCGTTCTATCTATCTGTTGAGGAGAAGGTCCAGAACCGACTCGAGGCACTGCAGCAAGGCGACATCAACAAGGCGTACACGTCCGTGCTCGTTTTGCTTCTGCGCATGCGGCAAGGTGAGCACTCTAACTTTCACTGAGAATGCGTGCTTACGCGTCTTGCCGTAGCTTGCAACCATCCCGGCCTGATCTCGGAGGACTACAAGAAGGACGAGCAAGCCGTTGAACCGAAGAGCGCAAGTCAGAATGAGAATGACGACGGCGACGACGACGAACTGGCCAACATGCTCGCTGGGCTCGCGATCAAGCGCAAGCCGTGCCAGGTTTGCCAGAGCCCGCTCAGCGCAAGCAACACGTGGAAGGACGACGTCTGCGTGGACTGCGAGGAGGTGTACAAGGCTGCGAAGAAGAAGCTCGGGGACCCGACGGCGAACCTGCCGCCGCACTCGTCCAAGACGCGCAAGATCATGGACATCCTGCGCGACGCCGAGGACAGGGGCGAGGGCGAGAAGACGATCATCTTCTCGCAGTTCACCAGCATGCTGGACTTGATCGAGCCGTTCCTGCGCCACGAGCGCGTCAAGTTTGTTCGCTGTAAGTCTCCTACAATACCATAATAGCTACTCCGAAGGTACTGACACATGGCGCAGACGACGGCTCGATGAACAAGGTTCAGCGCGACGAGGCGCTGAGCAAGATCAGCGAGAACGCTGCGACGAAAGTCATCCTGATCTCGTTCAAGGCTGGTAGCACCGGCTTGAACTTGACGTGCTGCAACAATGTCATCCTCGTCGACCCATGGTGGAACCCTGCCCTTGAGGATCAGGCGTTCGACCGTGCGCATCGTTTCGGACAGAAGCGCACTGTGAACATCTACAAGCTCTGTGTGCCTGATACCGTTGAGCAGCGTATCCTCGAGGTGAGCGTAGTGTACACGTTTGCGCTCATATTGCAAGTCCTGACATGTCGGCGTGTTTGTAGCTGCAGGAGAAGAAGCGGGCGCTCGCGGCCGCAGCGCTGTCCGGCGACAAGTACAAGAACATGCGTCTCGGCATCGACGACCTCGTCGCCCTTTTCCGCGCCGATGGGCACGACGATGACGAGGACTAAGCACGACGCGTGCGATAGTTCTACAGTCTTTACCGCCGCTCGCGGAGAAGCTAAGGTCTTTGGATGTATTCTTGCATTTTTGCTATGTCTTGCTCATCTCGACTACCACTACCATGTATATCATCTTGTCGTGTTTGATACCGTTAGCCTACGCACACTGATACTACTGTCGTCGCCAATGTCGTTCTCTTTGTTTTATGGCTTAACAAATGCTTGCGGAGGTAACGTAACGTTCATTGCCTGCGGTAAGATAAGCGCCCCGAGGTCGACTTCGGAGGCGCTTACCCTCCTCTCTCTTGACCTCCTACCATCGACCCCAATGATGATCCTCTACGTCTCTGCCCGATGAAACATGCGTTCATCTCGCTGCCATTATGTCTGAAGAAGCTGCACACCTAGCTAGGTATGCTCAATTGCACTATTGCAACTTTGTGCGACCGTGTACTAAACGGGGTGCCTAGGGAGGCGAAGAGCTTCCAGCATACTCTAAAAGACTCACTCAAGGCCAAGGATCCATGGGATAGAGAGACGGACTTTACGCGGAAACAGTACGCCCATTATACCCTACATTGCTACTCGAAGCTTACCCTAAGGAAGGCTGCGGCGGAATTGTCTGCGGCTGCTCCTGCTACATCCGTATGCCCCGGAATCCAAGGACGCCGAGACGATGCTATGGATCCAGACGTCCTACCAGTTCATCTCCCTCTACAAGCAGCGTATAGCCGCACTCGACCGCGCCATTCACAGCAACTCTCGTCAACAGCAGCACCAGCAGCAAGCACAGGGGCAGCAGGGGCAGGGGCAGCAGGGAGGGCAGCAGCCGCCCCGCCAGCACGGCGGGCACGGCGTCGTTGAGTACCGCAAGCTCCTGCAGCGCTTCCGCCAATTTCTCGCCGACGAGGAGAAGTTCTGGATCCAGCTAATCGTGCGTATCCGGAGGATTTTCCAGCTCGAAGACACGCAGCCCGTTCTCGCCGAGCTTGGCATCCTTCCGGACGACGACGGCACGCCTGCGGACGGCGCGGCGCCCAAACGCAACCATTTCCAGTTCCCATCCGATGCAGACGTCGAGGCCGCCGCGCCGTCGCTTACGCCCACCACCCGGGAGCAGCGTGAAAGCCGGATGTCCATTCTCAGTAAGGCGCTCGTGTGTCTCGGCGACATCGAGCGCTACAAGGAGCAGTACAACGAGGCGGGTGGACGGCCGCGCGCCGGGCACGAAGACGGGCCCCCTGCGGTCAACCCGAACAACCAGAAGGGCGGACGCGGACGGAAGGGCGGGGCAGCGCCGCCGAACGGTGCGCCTCCCTTGTTGGCGCGGCTGCGCGACTACCAGAAGGCGCGCCAGTGTTACCAGCAGGCGCGCATTCTCCTACCGCAAGATGGGAACCCGGCGCACCAGATGGCCATTCTGGCATCGTACCAGAAGGATACGTTTGGCTCCCTGGTGCACTACTATCGTGCATTGTGCGTTCGAACGCCGTATGACACCGCTGCCGACAACCTCGGCACTGTGCTGACCAAGGCCCTTGACGCGTGGAGATCGCGGGGCGCAAAGAAGGAAAAGGAGCGGGAGAAGGAGCACCTTCGCGGAGAGCTGCCGTCAATGGCCCCACGGCTGCGCGTCGAGGCATTCAAGGAGAAGCTGATCGTTCTGCATGCGCTGTGGAGGCTTTCACCAGACGAGTGCGTCTCCTTGTCGTGTATAGTATGCATTCAATGCTAATCTTCGATATATCAGGGCTGACGCGATAGCGCCGAACCTGCCTCAGAAAATCGCGGAGGAGTTCAAGGCTCTGGTTTCCGACCGCGTCCTCCCCCACGATATCATCATGACGGCTATAATCCTTGCCCAGGGAGCACTGTGGAAACACCGCATGTTCCGGAATTCGTCCAGCGGCAGTCACAGGAGGAGCATACCCGCGGCGGTGTCGGCTACTGTGGAAAGCTCGATAGCTGCGCATCTCCTCACTATGCACAGGGTCCTTCTCGAGGTCGGAATTGTACAGATTGCTGAAGCCCCGCCGGAAGACGCTGCAGAGCACGACCTTGCCCAGCGGATCACCGCGGAGTTCCGGCGCACACTACCGGCTCTCAGAATCGGGAGCAAATGGCTGAGAGCGAACCTGCGCTACCTCGCCCAGGCTTGGCAGCAGCACATCGCGAACGGCGCCGCACCCGACACCCCGTCGTCTTCGAAGCCGAAGGGCCGGGACCGTAGACGAGATAGCGACAGACGCTCGAGCGGTGCGACTACCACCCCCACAATGCCTGGTCTCCCCGAATTTTGGCGATCATATGCGCAGTTCGCGACCGCGCTGTGGCGTATGTTCCCCCAGCAGAAGCTCCCGAAGCTTGTGACGACTTTGGACGAGGATGTGGAGATGGCGGGCTTCCTGCCGCTGAAGAAGTTCGTGCCGAGTGAGGTCGTCGGAGCAACCACCGCTTCCAAGGACATACCCGTTGACGATCGTAATGGCGGACCGGCGAAGGTGAAAACGCTGCAGCCAGAGCAAGTGCATCCAAACGAGGAGCAGCTCATGAGGATCGCGGATCTCCTTGCAGACGCACAAGCTCTCGCCAGGGACGAGGTATATCAGTCTCAAATGCCGAGAGAGGGGCTGCTAACAAGCCACGGTATTGTTATAGATATGTCCATTGAACGTCTTTGAAGGCAACTTCTCAGTCGAAGGAACGTATTATCCGCCCGCTGCAGATCGACGACCCCCTCAGAAGATCCGCCCGCCTCCGACCCAGTCCCAAGCACAGGCTGTCCGTGAACCCGCTCGGCAGCATGTCTCGCTAAAAGACCCTCCTCAGTTCCTTCCACATCTGACATACGAGCCCCGCGGCATGGAGCGGGATGAGGATAACATGACAGACATTACTCGCACGGAGGATGATCCTGTCGATGCCGCTTTCCGCAAAGCGTTAGGTCCCCCGACTGACGCCGGAGACGATGATGAAGAGGATGAGATTGTTTGGGAACCCCGGTCAGTCCCCCTCTCTGTAACCTGATATTTCCTCACTCAAACCCCTCGTCAGCGCGGCTCCCGTTCCACCACCTATCTCTCGGGATCCTGTCGTCGTCGCCGCGCCGAAAAGTGTGCCACCACCTGCTATCTCACCCCCAAGGCCTCACGTCTCTAGCCCGGTTGCTCCCGCTCTAAGCCCGCGCAGTCCGCCTTCTCGGTCTCCCAACTTCGCGCCGAAGCGCAGTGTGGACCTCACGCCGCCATCAGGGCTTCCCCCTAGTGTCACCACTGCCCAGGACATCCTTGCCCACGTCCTCCTCCCGCCGAAGGGTGACTTGGCTCGATCGCTGCATGCTCGTCAGGCATCGTCGCCTCCCACCCACATGCTGTTCGGCTCAAACCCTCTCGGCGGCGGTCCGTCGATATGGTCATCGAGCGAGAGCGACGGGCTCGGTTTCCAGGGCGCTGCGGGCACCACGAGCGGCCCCTCGTATCCGTCGTACCAGCTGCAGAGCCAGTCGCAGATCGCACATACGCAGTCGCCCGCGTATCCTCTACAATCTACGCTCAGTCTGGGACACGGGTCCGTGCCTCTCGGAACGAGTCGCTCCTACAACGGGTTGCCGCCGGTCGGGCACAGCCATCAACGGGTCCAGTCGCTGTCGCTGGGGCGTTCGCCGATGTTCCCGCTAAGCCAGGGCCAGGAGTTGTACTCGTCCAGCCGGAGTCAGAACCAAAGCCAAAGTCAGAGTCAACCGCTGCCGGACGGGTTCGGCTCGTACCCTGCGCTCACTGAGCACTCAGCCGTCGCGTATAGCACCGGCGTACCCGCTGCATACGCCGATCCCGTGTACTCCCGCAAGATGGACGCCGGCTTCCTTCACCAAGGGACGATGGGATACGCCGACCGCTCCCTCCCCTACCACGTCGACGCGAGGACGAACGGCACCCAGCCCGGGCCGTACCCCGCGCTGTCTTCGATGGCCCAGCTGTGGAACAATGGCGGCTGAACGGCTTCGCTGCCGTGTACCGGAACTATAACTCTAGACTATCCCTCCGCGAACGGCTGCGGCACTTGCTGCGTCGCGTGGATCGCCAAGGCCTCCTGTACGAGGGAGCCCGAGACTCGCCCGTAGAAGCTAGCACACCCCTGGGAGGGCAGGAAACCGCGACATCTCGGCGCCGTAAGACCCCGGGTCGCGGTCAGCTCGTCGCAACGCCCTCTGTCGAAATTCCTCCCGCGGGCCCCCCGAACGGCGCTCGTCTCAGCGCAACACTTTCCGCCCGGACTTCTGTGTCGCCTATGTGTCTATTCTTCGCTGCAGTGTGTTGTATTGCCCTGGTTCAATGCTCCCCGATCTCGTTTCTATGCTATCGTGATGTGCCTCCTTCCATGCTCCAAGTTCGCTCACATATATCTCCCTTGTGCCGGGGCCTGTGAGCTTGTACTATAGATTCCGTGGATCCGCTCGGCCGTTCCCATTTCGTGGTGCGGTACTATGTATCAGGTTTGAGTCGGCGTCGATGTCCGGGCGCGCGCGCCTGTGTGCCGTGTGCCGTGGCCGAGTACTTGTACGCGTATGATATGTTTCCGCTGACTCTCCGTGTAGAAACCGTGCCGTAGACGTCCTCAGTCTTGCTATGTCATCTCATTGAGAGCGCTGCATATAGTCAATGTGCGATCGGGGAGTAGTCTAGCGGTATATACGCCGAATACACGCTGTCCGAACTACGCCGTGTTCTTCAGATCAAGATTCCGATGTGTTTGGTCGTTTGCGCTCTGCTGCGTTACCCACACATATATCGACTGACATGGGACAAACAGGGGACGCACAGCGAGGAACGCATAGGGAATACAGGACAAGGATGGCATTGACGGTCTACAACGCTGTGCCAACTCTATGCTCCAGACACGGGACAAGACAGGCTTCGCGTCCCGGCGCGAGAGTGCGCTGCGCACTGGTGGCATTTAGGGTTTCGGTACACCATAGTCGACCGTGTATAGTCTTGACCAAGGCCGCGGCTGGACATCTGGGAGTCGTCACGCGACTCAGAGCGACGGGATGCGGATAGGGTGCTCGCGACGTCGCGCCATGGTCCTGCAAGCGTGTCGGCAGGTTCGAAGCGCGTCGCTCGGGGCGCGGACAGACGGGAACGCCGGAGGCATACGGTGCCTTTGCACGATCTGCGCCAAGGAGACAGCGAGACGTGTGTCGACGTGGGACCAGGTGCTGATGCTGCATGCGTGCAGCAATCCTTTGCGACACAAGAACGGACGCGGCGTCGACGTAGTGGTTTGGCAGTCTCCAACCCGGAGCGGGAGCGTGTGATGAGTTTGTGATCTGCACTCAAGCGAGGGAGGTAAGCTTACCGTGCCACCTCTGGACGACGTGAATGGCGAGCGAAGTCCTACGAATTTGGCAGCATATGTTGGACGAGGTCGAGGATCGTTTCCAAGACTTGTTAGAAGGAAAGAATGTACGGGCGTACCCGCTGGCGGGGATACCATGCGCAAGCTGCTGTCAGTAAATTTTGTAGGCAGCCACCAGTTGCTGGTCTGCGCGTCCTACACGGTCATCATGGTAGGACGAAGGACGTCAATGGGCGCCTATGTAATGCGAACCTCTCTGCACTCCTCTCTTCCCTTGTCTCTCTGCTCTCCGCTCGTGCATTCTAGTACTTGGCTCACCTCCTACCATGCTCTGCTAGATCTCTCGTTGTCTCGTCTACAACCTCTTCCGAGCTTGCTAGGTATCAGGAACGCTAGGCAGTTCGACGCCAAAATTCTCTCCGATAATGAAACCGCAGACGGACATGCTCGCCCCGGTGCGACAGGAGAAGGTACTCGCGCACATGTGGATATCTGAGAATGTGGTGCGTAAGTGTATGCGTATATGTTGCTATGCAGCCTCCTGGAAGAGGAGGTGACCGCATGTCGCTCTGCCTCCGCCGCCCTCCCTCTTCCCGTCCCAGCTCGAGCGTGCTATGCGGCTCGTGCGTGCAACAAGTCATGCATAGCCATTGCGAGGTCGTTGGTGCGCACGCCAGCACGTTCCAGTCGTCGGGTTGGGTAGCCATGCACATATATTTTGCAGCTTTCAGCGATCTCCCGCGCAGTGTCCGCTCCCCTTGAGCAACGGTCGATGCTATCCCCGGCACCCGCATTGGCTGATACTCCTTTTCCTCTCATCTAGAGGGCTGTTTTCGACACCTTATGTCTATTTCGTCGCTATACAAATGGTCCTCCACACAGAACGGGATGGAGTCTCACTTACGATTCGACACGCTCGCGGTGCAGGATGCTGTGGGTACGATCGTCGTCGCCCATCCTCTAGTCGACGCCGGTCGACCATCACCCTCAGGTACGCATAACTCGCCCCTGGTCGTACCCTCTCCCGCCGTCGCCGCCCATCGGCGCCGTGTACATATCGTACCGATCTCTCGTCCGCTGTATCGGCGCTATCAATTAAGTTTGTCCCCATCATGTTCCCCGTCCGTTCCACGCCTTCGACCGGTCCTCGATCCGCGCAACACCGAGCGGATCCTTGCATCCCTTACTGGCCAGGCCTTTCCGCCCAACGCGCTGCGCTCCCGCCTGTGCCGTCGGCGTCTCGCGCCCGAGGACGCTCGCGCTGCAGACGACGCGCGCTCTAGAGAAGCATGTATCGCTTCGCTTCTACTTCTCGCGCGGACAGCGTGCACGGCTCCTCAACGCCGTCGCACCGCACTCCCTCCCCTGCGCTGACGCCGTCGCAGGTCGGTCGGTCGCCCGCGCTGTATCGCGCAGTGCACACGCCTCGCCGTAGGCCGTGCCGTCGTCGTGGGATGCGCCACTAAGTACCCTCTCTGCGGGCAGCGTGCGAACGCTCACGCACGAGGCCGTCGTATAAGGTTTTATAGATGCCGCGATGCGGCGCGTGGTTGCGACTCGCCGGGGCTACAAGTACAAGGCTTGGTCTGCCGGTGCTCGCGTCCGACTCCCTCCTCTCGCAACCTCGCTGCTGCCTCCGCTCACGCTCACCGTCTTGCCCGCCCTCACGCCAGACCATGGAGAACTCGCGCCTCCCGATCGAGGTCTGCGAACGTGTCATCGATGAGTGTTTCGATTTCGATTGGAAAGACCGCCGTGAGACTCTGAGAGCCTGTGCGTTGACATGCTCTCAGTGGCTTCCTCGGAGCCGGTATAACCTCTACCATGAGCTGAGGCTAAATGACAGTAAAAGAGCTGGCTCAATTGTGGACACATTCACAGCCAGACCTGAGCTTGCTGAGCATGTGAGAGTGATTAACATACGGCCTGGTGGCCACTATGTACCCTTGACTCAGCTGTTGAGCCTTCCCTCACTAAGGAAGTGTCAGAGGCTTGAAATGAAAATAGGATCTCTGAAGGGTTTTCCCCCAAGATATGTGCAGAATTGCCTGGCCCCATTGCTGACCAATTTTGCAAGTGTGGTCAAATTAAACGTTGCAGTCTGGTCTGCTGCATCAGCCATAGATTTCTTCCACATCATCTGGGCAATGCCCCAGCTACTATGGTGTAGGTTTTATGATGTAGACACTTTCACACTAGCTGCATCATCATTGGACCACCTGAGGAAGACAGCTTCGAAGATCAAGCCCAGGCTGCACCTAAACACATTGGTACTTGACGCTAGGGTGAGCTCACAACATGAACATCCCAACTTGATTGCATTTTGTAAGTTGTAAACCACTCTTCAGCTCAGCAAGTTGGCACAAATCCAGGGCTATCCCCCGCAAGGAGCATTTGGGTCACTTGTGAATCTCACCAGGTTTGAGTTTGGATTCACAACTGCTGCTGCAGTGTCAGGTGAGTATGACTTTGTGCTATGCCTCTCTTCTCTCACATGAGCAATCTGCTAGACAGTTTCCTTCAATTTCTGGGCGAGATGGTGTCCCTGGAAAAACTCAAGATTACAATCTGGTTTGTAGAGTATAAACCAGGAGGAGCTGACCCTCTCACACAGGTGTTAAGATATATGCAGTCATCACATCTCAAGAAATGTGACATTTTCTTTTTGCCAAACAACCGGTATAGGTGCAAACGGGGTGATCTCCTTGAAGTCATCAGCGGTAAAGCAATGCAGCAGTGGTTACAACATTTGCCCTCCATTCCAGAGTTCATCATCAGAGTAAGGGAGAATGATGCAGCTTTCAACAAGGATTGGTGGACCACCAAGATCACAAAGAACCTGCCTGCCTTGAAGGACACCCTAACAGCGCATGCTTATTATCGTATGTCAGATGCATTTTTTCATTGAGCGCCAGTGCACTGAACATATTTCAAATGGGAAAGTAGGACAGAACAATTTATGGATGGAAGACTTGCCAGCAGAAGCTGCCCCATCTATGTGAGTGAAAATATTGCACTGACACATTTTGTGCTTACATTATTGACATGGTCTATGCAGTAATACTGAGAACAACATGCACATCAACTCTGACCTTGATGAACTCTCAGGTTTATCTAAAGACCCATACCCTGGGATTGATGGGAGCAACCTTGAAGAAAACACAGTCGCTGAGGCAGTTGGTGCTTTTCAAGTAAGTCCTGAATCTCCCGTGCATTCATATCCAAACTCAATTGAGGATGCAGGTCATCGAATAAATACCACCATATGCATACCACCGGTCACCTCTTCCCATAGATACAGACTCTGAAATGATCTCCATATGTTTTTTCCTCTTCCTCTTCTTTTTCCCATTCTCTGCATCTCCACCCTGTACCCCACCCAACGGCCCCCTGGCAGACCGGCAACAGCACAAAGACGGTAGGGCACCAATGGGCAGCAGCGCGACCTCCCGCTGTCGAGCGGGGGCGACGTGCGGACGCAAATAGGAGGCGTGCTGCACACGCCCATTTGTGCCCGAGTCATTCCTTTGTGCCTGCGCTGGCGAGCGGGTGGTCTGCGGGTGGGGCTTCTTGGTTCCTGTGACGGTCTCTGGATTCGGTTATGTACGAGCGAGCACGTGCGATGTATGCGATGCCTGCGACAATTAGATGTGTATTTATCGAACTTGCGGGATACAGGATGCGTGACTCTGTGTTACGGGGCCAGGATGGCGCAGACATGGAAGAGCCTCAATGGCACTCGCTAGCCCGCGCCGGTGCAAGCAACCTGCACCGCCGGTGTTCCAGTCGGGGGAACTCAGACGTACCGTGCGCCCGCATTGCCCATCGAGACCTTCATATACGACGCGGCATGACGAGCTACCCGTTGTTGGTTGTGCGAAGATGTCGAGGTCGCGGCGTGGTCCCGCAAGTCTTTAAGGGCTCGATGGTCGTGTCCAGGTGGAGTCCGCGAGCACGACCTAGAGGGAGCGGCCAGAGTTTCATGACGCGTGGGTCGACGCTGATTGGGCGAGGGAGTTTCATCGTGTCATCATGTCGCTCGCAGGTCTCCGCCGAACAGACTTGTCCGTCGGGCCTCCGATAGCGCGAGGATGGCGCGCGGTAGGGCTCGGGGGTAAGGTCCAGAGCTGGAGAGCGCGTGGTGTGTTCGCCTTCGAGGGTGCTGCTACCAACGCCGAGCATCGACAGCGCGAGATTAACGTGGACGGCGGTAAAGTCGCGGTGCGAGCGCTGATTGCGCGTCGAGGCCGTGAGCACAATCTCGCGGTAACAGAAAGGACGACTCACCAAGCGAGCGTGCCATGCGTGCATTCCCGCCAATCCTGTGCCTCCAACGTCGATGTACGACTCCTGCGTCGACGGCGCAATGTGCGTGCAGTCACGAGTAGTCACTACTGCGCCCTGAGCGGTGAGCGGCATGACCGGTGCCTGCCCATGGAGCCAAGTGCTGGCGCGCTATGCGGCGTGGACTTCTGCACATAGCAGGCCGACCGGGGCCAGACAACTCGGGTAGATATGGGTGTAAGACTCACTGGTGAGAAAGGGCGCAGACGGCCGCTGTGCTTCGTGCACGTGGGGTTGATGCACTCACAGTGGAGGTCGAGAGAAGCTCAGTAATCTGCTTAGCACCGAGCCATGCTGTTGAGAGCGGTTGGGAGATCCGCCTGGGGGATGGCGGAATATTAGAAGCGGCGGCAGCGGGCGACGTACTGGTAATATGGCTGGCTGAGGGCTACCCATGTTCGCAAGCGAAAAGGTCTGCATATGCCTCCTCCCTGCATTTGAAGCTTAGCATACGACTTGCGAGCATACCGAGGGCGAGCGCCGCGCAGGTTTGGAACTCGGGGGCAACTTAAGCGGCATGCGCCAAGTCGATCGCGGCCAGTAAAGAGGTTTGCCGCCGATGGGCATCGTTCAAATCAGACCGTGAGCACGTGAGCAGCATACGACCTCGAGATTGCGCCGCCAGAGAAAGCCAGAGAGCAGCGAGGAAAGACTCGATGTGTAGACGTCCGCGTCCGAGTGAGTGAGAGTGAGCGTGAAGCCGCCCGCCAGATGCCTGGGACCATCTGACGTCATCCCCTGGACGCTCTAGGCGCTCGTACCTGCCTTGCATCCCATCCGCGACTACCGCGACTCTACCTTGCTGTCTACTCTATAACTACTCGTCACGCCTGCTTTAGAGAACGCTGGTCTCCCTGCTCGCGCTGGTTGGCGTTGCAGTTAGTGGAGCAAGATATTGCAGGTCGCGCTTGCTGAGACAATCCACGAAGCCCCCTCGCAGACCCTCTCCGCGTTAGCTCTCAATCTCTACACAAGACGCCTTCCCTACACCTCCCCAAGCCTCGACCGAGAACTGCTGTGTCTCTGCCACCCAGAATTTGGCGATCCACGGCTCTCGACTTGGCGCTAAGACGGTCCCCTCGCAGTACGCGCACCACGTCGGCATCATGCGTCGGAGCTCCGTGTCGCAGTACGTGGTACTACGTAAGACGGCGTAAGATGAAGGTGGTACCACCCCCTCATCCGCCTGCAGATTATTCGGAATCCATACGTTCAGTTTGTAGTTAGTAAGTCAACGCTCCTTCTCTGCCGCTTTGTCGTGACTCACAGTTGCTCAAGAATCGGAAACGCCTGAAGCGAGCGCAGCCCGCCCTACCATGGTCCTCAACATCTCAATATCACCTATAATATCGCTCGCTTAAGGACACCAGCGAAGGCGTATACCATACACGACGCGCCATCCGTCCTGCGTACACTGTCGGAGGACCCGGACGAATGGACGTGAGAGCACTGCGTGGAGAACGCTTTCCCGCTTGTGCGAGTTCGGAGGTGAGTGACCGTGAGTCCTTCCTAGGTTCTCACCCAGATCGATGATCATCTCCAGTTCTCCCCATCTCGATAGGTAACTCTGTATCGTCCTAGGAATATGTCAGCGCTGCCCGTAGGCCATCCCTCTCACTAGCGACAAATCGAGTTGCTCTAGGGTGCTTGTAGTCGCATGCTGCACCAAGCACGCCCGTGCCCCAGTTCCAAACCAACAGAAGCTAAGCCGTGCACGCGCGAGGATCTCAATGCCGCCGTGGACTGTGCTCGAGCGTAGGCTCAAAATTGCGCTGTGCGTCCATGTGCTCATCATCCATCAATACGTCAAATAGCTGAGCATGTGCGCAGTGTTCACGGAAGCAAGAGGGCACCGTGCTCTGACGCCTCCGCGCCAGCCGGTCGCGGAACATTGCCTCCAAGCGCGCGGCTCGAGACAGGCATTCCCCGAAGACACCATCACGCTAGGCGACTCTCTCCTCGCCCGCGATCAGCTCTGCCTCGCCGTCGCCGTGGACTCATCACTACGCCGCACGCACCTATCACGAGACACCCTTCGTCGCTCTCTTCACGCGCCAGTACGATATCCCGGAGGCCCTCAAGCATGCTTTCTGCGAGCTTCTCACGAGCATCGAGTCTGCGCCGCGCTGTCCACGAGCTCCGGGATAACTGAGGAGAGCTCTACGACGTAGACGATGAACTTCAGCAGAGCCAGCGCGGGGCGGCTCTGGTCCCGCCGCCCGCGAAGACAGGATGTCCGCGCTCCGGCGCGATCACTCACTCCGTATGCACAACGATTCCCGTCACGCAAGGGCGACGGCTCATCGTGTGCGCTCCCCGCTGCGGCGTCCCGATGGCGTTAGGCGGTGGAACACGCACGCTTCGATTCGCGCGTACGGACGTGGGATCTGGTGCCGCCGTTGTCGCTCTCGCCCGCCGGGAGCTCGTGCTTGACGTACGTGTCCCGCAGCGCTACCGTTCGCGCCGCAACGCGCCTCACATTGACGATTTCCGTTATAGGTAAGCGTCGCTTTTGCCGTGTTTCCTCTAGCGAGATCGTGACAGCTCTGTCTGCAGTAGCGTACACGCCGTCTCTCCATCCTCTGGATGATCCAGATGCTCAGACATCGGGTTACTCTTTGCGTCGTCCCCCCTGACCTGCCGGAGCAGCCCGCGATGCTCTCTCCTTCCCCACATTGCTCATCACGCTCGCACACCGTCAAGCTGCTGTCATCCCAGGCCGACTCGATATGAACATCAATTATCTTCGTCGACTGCACGTATGCTGCCAGTTGGCCGAGTACCTGAAAAGCACCGCTCCTACTCGGGGCCCTTGAGGTTAGGACCGGCGCAGGATCCCAACTTGCACGAAAGTGACGAACAGTAGATGTCCGCCGGGAGGTACCTGGTTTTGGTTCCCGGGAACTTCTGAAGCGGCCGTCGCTCTTGTGCGGATGCATGATCATGTACGTCTACGGACGCTCGTCACGATCTGCGAACACGGCTTCGACACGGAGCCCATGCGGGACGACTCATCGGAGGAGATGGAGCACTATCCGCTCATCTAAGACCTGGCGGAGAGCTGCCGCGATGAGCTTCCGCCTACCCCTGCGCGGATTGTCTAGCGCTTCAACGAGCTTGCTAAACTCTGTACGTTCAGTCCTTCGTAACAGGCTACTTCGCAGTGCTGATGCTTCCGCGGCTGTGATATTAGAGCATTCACAGCGACGTATCTTCAGCAAGTCAGCGCACAGAGATCGTACAGCTCGAAGATATGACGACGAAGGGTTTGGACCGGCCGGAGCGCCTCGTGTTTGACTCTGGTCGTATCAAAGTCGCCGCTGTTCACGCCGAACGTGCACGTACTGCACCGTGTTGCTGCTACGTGCCCTAGTGCTTACGTCGTTGTGCCCGCCGCTGCACGCTCAACTGGCCTCACCCCGCTCGTATCCCAGCATCTAAACTATCCGGGACACCGCCAACACGCACGTGCCTCTCAGTTCGCGGTGGTGCGCCAGAGCTTTTCGGTGCGAACAAGCAGCTAGAGAGGCTACGCCCTACCTGCGCACACCCAGTACGCCGCCGCGGTATACGCGCGCGGTCGAAGTCGCGGTCGAGGAGCGCTTGCGCAACGTCGTCTTTCGATGTACCACAAGCTGGCGAGCTTCCCGATCGCGACCACGCTGGCCCAGATCTAGGTGACAGACATATCTGCAAGATATGGTTACACGCTGCAGCCAGACACCACCGCAAGGCAGGCCGCCGTCGTGCATGCCCTCGTCTGCAGAATTTTGGGCGACAGACACCTTCGCGCTCTCAAGCCCCAGCGGGACCTACAGACATGTGCATTACCGCAACGGTACAACACGGGACCCGTTGGCGAATGGACTGGAACTGAACGACCGTGACTCGGGGTGGCCACCGTGGGCCAGATGGAGGTGACACACGGGCTCAGGGTGCTAATCGCAGGTGAGATGGTATCGCCGGACGCCGAGAGCGTGGGGCGGGTCAATCCGCCATAGATGCACGTCTAGGACTAGAACTAGAACTATTACGAGTACTGATATTTGGTAGGTCCCGAGCACCCGAGCTTTTTACGGACATGTGCGCTAACTACGAATGGACACGCAGGAAACATCCCAGCTATACGCACTCTACTAGGGCGAGTGCCGCGGCAGCTGCACGGTGACAAAAGTTCCCGGACCTCGGACATGACAAGATCAATGACGACGACGTGCGACCCCGCCGGGATTAGTTGGTATCCTCCACGCAGGAAGAGAAGGTGTCGGCGATCCGACGCGATTCCTCACGTAAGATTTACGACCATCCCGCCGCGAACTTCCTCATACACCTCCAACAGGCTGTGCGCTCCACGACGCGAACTGTGCCCTCTCAAAAGCGGCGTCGGGGCGGGCTGTATGATTGAACGGGACGCTTCAGCTCAAGCAGGTGGACGCGAGATCGTGCAGCGGCTGTTCCCACCCGCTAGACCAAGAAGCCATTCACCGACGACTAGGAAGATCGGTGCGCAAAGGTCGACGGCTGCCCCATATATCACATCCCTGCCGATCTGGACTCGGGCGACTTTGAGAACCTGTTGGCCGCGTAGAGACGCCGCTGTACGTCTCCACTTCTAGGATGCTTCATTGCATCGAGTAGCTAAACCCACTGCAGCATATATACAGATGCGCCGCCGACGCAGAGCGTCGCGCTGTCCCTAGTTCGCGCCGCCCACAACCTATCGTGCGACGTCGTACTGAGACTCGCGAGGAAGCGCCTCTGTGCAATCTGGGATGCCGAGCACCCCCCGAAGGCGCCGCCTCACCCCGCAACCCTAGGCGCCCCATCCCAGATGAGCCCCGCCTCTTCGTCCGTGGTGGTCGATACCAACTACGACACTCTGCACACGTACCACGACGCGGTGTTCATCATCCTCTCCGCACGCTAATACGGGCTTCCAAAGCTCCTCCAACGCGCATTCTACGAACTCCTCGTGAGCGCCGACTTCTGGACCGCGCTCACCGCCAACCGCAAGCAGATCAGGCTCACCGAGGCAGACCTGCTGCGCCTGTACCATGCGCGGCACGTCCTCCAGCAGCACTGGCGCGAGGTGCTCGTGGTCGCGCCATACGTGGACGAGACGGGCGCGTCGACGCGCCGGGGGAACGGGTCCGCGTGCTCAACATACAACCACCGCTATCCGAGCAGGTCGTAGCACTGGCGCAAGATGATGCTGCAGAGCGAGGTGGTCGAGGCGGGGATGGGTGACCCGTTGCGGTACGATGCGTCGAGCGGGCTGACGAAGGAGCAGAAGGAGGCGTGGTGTCGGGGGTGCCGCACGGGCTGGACGGACATGCTCGCGGGGAAACGGGGGAGTGGTGGGCGAGCTTTGGAGGCTTGATGCAGCTTGCGTGAGTGGGTATGAGCCGCCAACATCGTCGATGGGGTCTTTGATATGATTTACGAGATAGAGGAATGTACATTACATGTTCGACGAATGCAATGGAGAATGTTCACAGTTCGATGTTTGCCGAACTCCGTAGATCTCAACGGGCAAGGAGGTCCCTACGGCCCTCGCGTGCGTCAGACGCTGTACCAAGACATTCCAGTCAGTATGGCAGAAGCTCCCGGACACCGTGGTGTACTGGTTCGTTCTCGAGCGCCGGTCCAGGGTTCGTGCGCGGCGCAGCCGCACTCCTACGATCACTCGGGGTTTGGCACCTAGTCTTCATTATCGCCACCAGGCGACTCCTTATCGACGGGGACCGGCCTGGAGGGATTGCGGTCCCGTTCAAAGCTTAAGGTCGTCGATGTCTACACTTCCAGAGACGTCGCCTGACAGCTACAGGTTCCAGTCGGCATTGCCTCTGCCCACGCATACGAAATTCGAGCCTGACCCGCAGCGCCCTCGAGGTTTACGGCCGCGCATCCGACAAAAGTCAGCCTCTGTGATGACGCGCTCCGGCGCCTCTGATGGTGAGGCACAGCGCGTGCGAGCCTGTGCTGTGGTCCGCGCAAGCGCGGGGCAGTCTTCGGGCGAGCGAGTAGGATGCGAGCACTCGCCGTGTTGTGGCTGCACGTACCAAAGCTGGTATCGAGAACCCCGCCGGGTGCGGACGCGAGCGCGTCACCCACGGAGGTCTTCGCGCGCGCGATATGAAACGACGCGCTTCCTGAGGATGGTCGTCTGAAGGCGTCGCCTCGCGTCGTGGTCTGCCGGGTCTCCCCGGGCTTGGTGATCGCGCGGATGGAAATCGCAGGCGCGCCCTAGAGGGCCTGAGCAATCGGAGCCGCATGATGTGCAGTTTGGCGCTTGCGCATGCAAAGGAGTCGTGTCGTGACGCTGCTGGCAGGTCTTCGTCGAGCAGATTTGGCCGCCATGCTTCCACACGCGTGAGGGCAGCGCATTGTTGAAGCTTGAGGACGCGGCGAGGAGAGCGGCGGGAGAGTCCGCCCGGGACGGTGCCGTAGAGCACTGCTAGCGTAACATACGCGCGATACCTGAACGTTGCAGTGCGCGGCTACGCGCGTTGACGGCGGTGTGCTGCTACGATGAGAAGGTGTGACCATTGCAATCCTGGACAGTACGCAGAGACGACTTACCGCGTTAGCGTGCCGAACTAGTTCCTCCGGTCTTGTTGACGCGAGATGCGTGGGGATGCAGAGCTGTCGCGTGCTGGACCGCGTGCGACATGCCCAGCGTGTCTGGTACAAGCTTCGAGTACGAAGAGTCTGCGTGCAACAGTGGGCTCTTGCGCATGTTGAGCCGCGCGGGGAGAGGGTCGGCCTGAGTCTCACCGGGGGCAACCACAGAGACGATGCCCTGCCCGCCGCGCCGCCGTGGTCAACGATTCGGCTGCCAGGACAACTTCTGGATAGAAATCGTCACGCGTGCGAGAGCCCGTCTTGTCGACCTCGAACGAGTGGTGCGATCCAGAGAACTTGTGTGCAATGGACACGGGTCGCGATTGACGCAGAACGGTCCGGCAGCGAGCGATGTACTGACGGTATGGCTGAGACACGCCCGAGATGCGCAGTTCAGCATGATGCTGTACTCACTCACTCGGTATGCGGTATGTGACTAGCGCGGCCAGTGAGCTCAGTGCTTATGTCGAGCTTGGGGCTCAGCGGTATCCAGCGAGCGTCTTACTGCCAGGTCGTTGTTGAAGCTTTGAAGTCCATAGTGTAGAGCAGACGTCGAGCAGCATATGACCCTTGGATAGCGTGGATAGAGTAATCGAGAGGGCAGCGAGGACAGACTCGGTGTGCAGCCGTCCAAGTGAGTGAGAGAGTCCGGGTGAGGGGCGTGAAGTCGCGCGCACCCCTGGGATCGTCTGACGTCATCGCCCAGGACGCGTGTAGGCGCTCGTACTTGCCTTGCATCCCGCCCGCGACTACCGCGCGACTGTGCCTTGCTGCTCAAGCGCTCACCGCACTCGTCGAGCCTACGTCTTAGAGACTTCTAGTCCCCCTCATGTTCCCTTTGCGGAGAATGGTGCAAGAGGCCAGAGGCCGCGCCTGGTGACCCACTGAATGGAGCTCCCTCGTAGGTCCTCCCCGCATCCTCTGTCGATTCCTACACAAGCCTCTCCTCCCATACACCTTCCAAAGCCTCAGGAAAGACCTATTATGTCTCTGCGGGAACAAACCACCCTGGATCTGACAATCCGCGATGCTCAACGTTGCGACCAGACAGTTTCCGCGCGGTACGCGCGCTGCGCAAGCCATTGCTAAGGCTGGACGCCTCGTGTCGCAGTACGCGGCACTACGGGATGAGACGGCGCAGGACGAACCTCTTCCTATGACAACTTCGCAGAGTCCACGCAACTAGCCGATAAGTCAGGGCTGCCTCTCTGCTTCGATCGTGTGCCGCACGCTCCTTCAGGGCCTTACGGTGCACACGCTTCCAGACCTCGACCTTTCAATCTCTCCCACAACATCACTTGAACATGGAAACGCCGTCGAGTAACAGGGCGTTATCGTGTGCGGCGGGCGGCATGTCCTACTTTCGCTGTCGGAGGGCCCGTGCGAGCCCAAGGGTGAGTCCTTTGTACGTTCTCTCCTATGTCAACATTCGTTCGCTCCGGCCGTCTCTCTCCAAGCCTTCTGCAGCGAACACACCCGCGTGCTATGGCCACGCGGACGAAAGTCCTCGGATCCGCGCACCCGCGAAGGCAGGACTACCGCAGGCCGTAGGACGCGGTCGAACGTCTTCATAATGCGGCGCCTCATGATCGTGCTGTACGTGCGTGCTCTTCCCTTCAATCCCGGCGCACGGCGGTTCACTCAGAGACACACCGCAGGTTCTCTGTACCGCGATCACAGTACTCGCGGCCGCGCGTCCGTATCACTCTGCCGTTACATCTTCGCGGCGGCGACGTCGTACATCGCGACAAGTACCTGTAACACGCATGGGCCTCTCGGGCCATGGTGGTGCGCCCGAGCCTGTCCTGAGTGCGAAAACGCAGCTGGCGAGGCTGACGCCCTACCTGCACAAGGACTAATACCCTCGCCGCGGACGTCGAGGAGGTCAAGGAGCATTCGCGCAACGCCGCGTATCGCGATTCAGCATATCGCAAGACCGCGAGCTGGCCGGCTCGCGACCCAACCAGGCCAAAATACACATCCTACGAGACGCGGCTACGCGCTGCAGCCGGGCCCGCGCCGTCGCGCATGCCTCCATCGGCTGATCAGTAGGTGGACACGTCCGCGCACTCTCTATTCTCGGCGAGGCCTACAGACACGCGCATTGCCGCAGGAGTCCAGCGCCATGGAGGCCGGTGGCGAGCGGATCGAGACCAATGCAGGGCGGCGAAGCGCGCGGCGCGCACACCCCTGGAAATGCTACTCCGAGTCGGCGCTGGGTCATGTAGAGACGGCGCGTACGGAGATGCCAATCGCGGGTGAGATGGTGTCGCTGCGCGCAGCAGGGTACTTCACCGCTAATGTGAGTCTAGGATCCGGATTAGAGCAATAGCGTTCAGCGTATTTTGAACGTGTGCGCTGACCACAGTCGGACGAGCAGCAAACATGCCGCCCTCGAGCGAGCTATCCCCACTGTACTAGGGCGAATGCCACGGCAGCGGCATGGTCATGATAGTATTCAGACTTCGGACGCGTCAAGATCGTCGACTCTCGGACGACGACGCGCAATCCCGCGCGCGGTGGCGTTGTATCTGAGTCATAAGTACTGGCTAGCTGGCGCTTCTTCATCCTATTCACGTCTGTTTGTGCGGCGTCTCCCGGCCTCGTAGCATGCATAGCGCTCTCCCTGGGACTCTGTTACTTACACATAGACTGCGGGTGGCTCGCTCACCATGCGGTGATCCTCATACTACACACCTTGCTCACCTTGAGCTCCCCGAGTACTCGTTCGCGTCGCTCGGGTGTACCGGACCTTTGGTGATGAACAATGCATGAGTAAGTTATACTATTGCGTATCACGAATCCAACGTATGTACACGCAACCTCCCTCGTGAGTTCATGTTCAGGTGTCCTCCAGCGGGCGTTGGTAATAGGTATCATATCAAACAATATTCTTCCTGGCCTGCGGACGATGCACGTCGCGCCTCAAGAGTCAAATCGAGGCCCCCATCAGCCCCCGGTGAGCCGACCAAGCAGGGCGTGACGGCGCGAGCCACGCCGCACCGCCGCGACTATACCTGACTATACCCACGGCGGACGAATCATGGCTGTACGAATGCCCTTGTGAGCGCGTAGGCGTCCGCAAACATCCGCGGGGCTGATGCCGGCGCGCGTCGCGCGGGGACTGGAGTCGGGGCTGTAGATCGGCGCGGTCATGACACAGATAATACTCTGCGTCCAAGTGCGTCGGATGTTGAGTCTTCTGCACGAGGATAACGACGTCCCGAGTACATGCAGGGCGCGCGCTGGACAAACGCTGAAGCAGCCGGGTGTCCACGAGATGTTGCCGCGTTTATCGACGGCGCATTTGGTGCGGTGTTTCGTACTCACAGCGATCGGTGGGTTATCGTAGCCCAAGGTCGCGTGAGACCGCACGGCAAGCGTATGTCGTGCAATTGCACGAGCTGCGCTGACACGACGGCGAGAAAAGCGTCGATGGTCGACGAGATGGAGGGAATTCGAAGGGCCGTACCAACTCCGCTTGCAGCAGCCTATGATGGCCCGAATATTCATGGCTCGTAAGTGCGCGACTTATCAGTTTCGAGGAGCGACAAGGCGCCGGCATTTCCGAGCGATGGCCCGCCATGAAAGCCGGGATACGCTGAGGATCTGGGCGAGAGTGACGAACTGGCCGCCTGAGTTTCCATCCAGCGAACTACCTCTTCGGGGTTTGTATCGACCGCGAAGAGGCCCGTCGAATGGCCGGCGCTGTAGGGATGCAGCGGCGTGGTGATGAGATCGACGACGGTGACGGCGACCGAGAGCAGCGGAATATCGCAACATCGTCAGCGCAGATTGGACAGGTCGACTTGCAGGACCTGGCTTGAAGGCGCCAGAGTATTATGCGCGCGAGACGGCTGAGACACCTAAGAAGCCGTGATGTCATGTAAGCAGTCACTACAGTGCTTCAGCGGAGGAGGCAGTTCCTGACATTCCTTCGCGTCGTGGTCCGCCAGGTCTCCCAGGCGCGCGGATCGCGCGCGGACGAGGCTCGCGGGCGTGACCTGGAGACTCGAAGGGACGGCGGAAGCCGCACGACGCGCCGCTTGACGGTGATCCAGCGAAGGTGCCAAATGCTGCTCGCAGATCTTCGCCGAACGCACTTGCCATTCATACTTCGGAGCGTGTGGCGGTTGCGTGCCGTCGAAGCTCGAGGGCGTGATGTAGAGAGAACGGTCCATTGGCAAGTACTTACCTGAGTGTGTGCCGCAGCGGCCGCCGAGCATTGGTACGCGTCGTGTGGGCTGCCGACGCTGGCGGTGGTACACTGCTGTGATCCAAATGTGTGAGCACTCTGATACTGAGCGGTAGGCAAAAACGACTCACCGGGACTGCGTAACAAATTCCGAACCAGCTCCTCCTGCCGCATTGGCGCGTGGTCCGTGAAATTATTACGGAGTTTTGCGCGCTGGGCTTCGTGCGACATGTTCAGCGTGACTGGCACCGGATTCTAGAACGAGGACGAGGAACTGATAGGTACCTGCGCTTGATAGTTCGAGCGGGGAGAAAGAGATCCAGCAGATTTCGCCTGAAACTCACCGAGGGCAATAATGAAGACATCTCGTTCGTCGCGCAGCCGTGCTCGGGAACGTCATGACCAGGGAATGTCCCGTGTTGGCGTCTTCAAGTTTGAAAGAGCCCATGTTGTCGACGGCTTGAAATCGTGTTGTGCAGGGAGATCGCGATGGACGGTTTGCAGGGGATACGAGTCGCGAGCACGCCGACGGGTCGGGCAGCTAGCGAGGTACTGAAAGTATGGCTGAGGGTTGCGAGAGGTTTTCAGTTCGAAAAGATCTCTATCCACTTTCTGAGTGCACTCACTCGCCCAAGATAGGAGTCGCGAGGCTATTGAGTACTGTGTACATCTCGAGCAGGACGGTTGACGGTGTCCAGCGAGCGTTTGGCTGCCAGGTCGTCGTCGAAGTCCATCACTCAGATCAGACGTTGAGCACCGCTGAGCAGCATACGAGCTCTTGATTGTTCCGGCAGAGGTATGAAAGCGAGAGGGCGAGGAGGATGGCAGACTCGACGTGTTGGCGTAGCGTCCGCGTGAGGTGAGAGGCGCAGTAGAGGCGCGAGTCGAGCGCTTGTTATGACGTCATCGCCCAGAACGCAAGGCGGGTGGGCGCTCGTTCCTGCCTCCTCCCTCGCCTTTCCACACTCTCAGGCTGTCCTGCTGTCCTGCTGTCCTGCTGTCCTGGGCTCATACTTACGTGTCCCTTGCCATCCGCTGCTCGATTTCTTGTCTTACTGCGCTTTCTCAAACTCTCTGGGTACCTCGATCGCGTGGCAGTTTGACGTCTAAACCGCCCTTGATGTAATCGCAGGCAGACAACTCGCCCCGTGAAAGGAGAAGGCCAGAAGGCCCTCGCTCGCGCATGCGAATGTCCGGGTACTGGGAAAGCGGTGCGTACCGTGCGTCCATGCCTATCCGATGTTGCGCAACCTCCCGGACGAGGAGAGGACTGCATGTCGATATCGCTGTGCCCCCGCCGTATCCGCCGCCGCCGGTCTTCCTGCCACAGCTGGGGTATAATGTACGGCTGGTACTTGCTACTAGACTTGCATATCCATTGCTAGGCTGTTGTCGTGCCCTCAAGCCCGCTCCAGCCGTCGGATTTCAGAAGTCAGGCGCATATATCGTGAGTTTTCAGCCATCCCCCGTGCACAGGCCCCGCCTCGCTTGGGCAACGGTCGCTGCTATCCTTGCATCGGCTGATCCCTGTTTCCTCCCATATAGACGACTGTCCTTGACATGTCTATCTCGCCGCATAAACCGTCTTTCACATGGCCTGGGTCGGAATCTCGCCCGCTGTCCGACATGCTCGCGACGCAATGTTCCACGACCGCCCTCGCCCCGTCTCCCGTCTACACCGTTCCACCACGACTTTCAGGTGCGCACATCTTATTCCTCGTCGTGTTCTCCTCCGCCTCCGCCGTCCACCGGCGCTTTGTACATACTGCTTCGGTCTGTCGTCCGCCTTATCGGCGCTATCAATTTGATCGCTCCTCGTCTTCCGTCTCGTCCGTCCAGCAGCCACAACCTTCGACGTGTCGACCTCCTGGCGGATGGAACCCTGCGTCCCTCATAGACGCACTGCTGCCCAACGTACCACGATGCACTTGCGCTGTCAGCGTCTTGCACCCTAGGACGCTCGTGCTGCGGGCGACCGCGGCGCGCTCCCGAGAAGCATGCACGGCCTCGCTTCGATTTCTCGCGCGGACAGCATGCATGCCTCCCCCACGCCGTCGCGCTGCACGTTATCCCCTGCGTCGAGGCCGTCGCCGGTCGATCAGTTGCCCACGCTGTGTCGAGCGGTGCACACGCCTCGCCGTAGCCCCTGCCGTCGTCGTGGACCGTGCCACTCCCCTCTCCACGTGCAGTCAGTGAACGCTCATGAGGCTGTCATATAAGGTTTCATAGATGCCATGATGCGGTGCGTGGTGGCGGCTCGCCCGGTGCTACAAGTACAGTGCATGGTCTGACGGTGCTCGTGTCCGACTCCCTCCTCTCGCTTCCTCGCTGCTGCCTCCGCTCACGCTCACCGTCTTGCCCACCCTCGTGGACCATGGAGAACTCGCGCCTCCCGATCGAGGTCTGCGAATGTATCATCGATGAGTGTTTCTATTTCTATTGGCCAGACAACCACAAGACTCTGCGAGCCTGTGCATTGACATGCTCTCAGTGGCTTCCTCGGAGCCAGTATAACCTGTACCATGAGCTAAGGGTTCGGGATAGTGAAGCAGCTGGCTCAATTGTGGACACATTCACAGCCAGACCTGAGCTTGCTGAGCATGTGAGAGTGATTTACATACACCCTGCTAGAGGCTATGCACCCTTGACTCAGCTGTTGAGCCTTCCCTCACTGAAGAAGTGTCAGAGGCTTGGAATGAACATAGCACCTCAGGATGGTTTCCCCCCGAGATATGTGCAGAATTGCCTCTTCCCGTTGCTGATCAAATTTGAGAGTGTGGTTGAATTGGATTTCACGGTCTGGTCGACTGCTTCCGCCATAGGCATTTTCCACATCATCTGGGCAATGCCCCAGCTACTGCGGTGTAACTTACATTATGCAGACACTCTCACACTAGCTGCATCATCATTGGACAACCTGAAGAAGACAGCGTTGAAGATCAAGCCCAGGCTACACCTAAACACATTGATACTTGACTTTCAGGTGAGCTCACAACATGAACATCCCAACTTGATTGCATCTTGTAAGTTGTAACCCACTCTTCAGCTCAGCAATTTGGCACACTTCCAGGGCTATCCCCCACAAGGAGCATTTGGGTCACTTGTGAATCTCACCACATTTGAGTTTGGATTCACAACTGCTGCTGCAGTGTCAGGTGAGTATGACTTTGTGATAGGCCTCTCTTCTCTCACATGAGCAATCTGCTAGACAGTTTTCTTCAATTTCTGGGCGAGATGGTGTCCCTGGAAAAACTCACCATTACAGTCTGGTTTGAAGATTATAGACCAGGAGGAGCTGACCTTCTTGCACAGGTGTTAAGATATATGCGGTCATCACATCTCAAGAAATGTGACATTGACCTTTGGTCAGGTGACCAGTATGGGTGCAAACGGGGTGATTTCCTTGAAATGATCAGTGGTGAAGCAATGCAGCAGTGGTTACAACATTTGCCCTCCATTCCAGAGTTCATCATCACAGTAGAAGAGAATGATACAGCCTTTGACAAAGATTGGTGGACCACAGAGATCACAAAGAACCTGCCTGCCTTGAAGGACACCCTGACGATGCATGTTTATACTTCTGGTATGTCAGATGCATTTTTTCATTAAGGGCCAGTGCACTGAACATATTTCAAATGGGAAATAAGGAAACAAGAATATATGGATGGAAGATTTGCCAGCAGAGGCAGCCTCATCTACGTGAGTAAAAATATTGCACTGACACATTTTGTGCTTACATTATTGATATGTTCCATACAGTGATACTGAAAACAACATGCCCATCACCTTTGAGTTTGATACACTCTTCAGTTTATCTGAAGACCCATCCAATTAGATTGATTAGAGCAACTGTGAAGATAAGACAGTCACTGACACAGTTAGTGCTCTTCAAGTAAGTTCTGAATCTCCTGTACATTCATATCCAAACTCAATTGAGGATGCAGGTCATTGAATGAATACCACCATATGCATGCCACCGGTCACCTCTTCCCATAGATACAGATTCTGAAACAATCTCCTTACCTTTTTCCCTCTTCCTCTTCCCCTCTTATTTCCCCCCATTTTCTGCATCTCCACCCTATACCCCACCCAACGGCCCCCTGGCAGACTGGCAACAGCACAAAGACGGTAGGGCACCGACGGGCAGCAGCACGACCTCCCGCTGTCGAGCGGGGGCGATGTGCGAACACAAATAGGAGGCGTGCTGCACACACCTGTTCGTGCCCGAGTCATTCCTTTGTGCCTGTGCTGGCGAGCGGGTGGTCCGCGGGTGGTCCGCGGGTGGGGCTTCTTGGTTCCTGTGATCGCCTCTGGATTCAGTTATGTACATGCAAGCGTGTGCGATGTATGCGATGTCGGTGACAATTAGATGTGTATTTATCGAACTTGTGCGCTACAGAGCGTTCGACAAGCTACGCTGAGTCACGGGGACGCTGCAGCGTCATACGGACGGTGGCGACTATCTGAGGACGGGCTGATCCTATGCGGACGTTCCTGCATGGAGTCTCGAGTCAGCAGGAAGCGGGTGCGCACGAGATTCGAGAGGGGTAACGACGTACGCTGCTTCGTGCGGTCGTAGCCAACCCGCAATGTTGGCGCACCGGAACAGCGAGCTGAGGGTTCCGCGCACCGGCCCTGAACTGTTCATCTGCGAAGCCGCGTGATGCACTGTCTGAAGCAGGCCGAGCAAAGGTGTCGTCGTCGGAGTGCCGCGAGAAGGCACCGCGACTGCGCACGGCTGAAGCGCGCAGTCGCGGACTAGAGAGAACGGTCGAAGACTCGGAGGCGCATTGCGCGTGGCATGACGCTGGTCGAGGGGAGGGGACGTGTTGTTGTGTCGTTCGCGGATGTTCATCAGGCTTCAAGAAGCCTGCGGACGGTGCGAGAGCCGGGGTATGAAGTGCGGAGATAAGGTCGAGAGCCCAGAGGGCGGGGCACTCGTTCGAGGGACAGCTAGCGCTGCCGCCGAGCATGGGCAGCCGGAGCGATACGAGATGCTATAACGTTGCGTACGTAGCTGTGAACGCTCACAGTGATTTCCTGCTTCAATGCAAGCTGTGAACACGTTGATCTGGGAGCGATAGACGGAGACAGCTCACCGGGGCAGCGTGCCACCCATGAAAATCCGCCACTTGTGTTCCTTGTGTTTCAGTGACGCGAAATATGGGTGTAGACTCTCGCACACTTGGCGCTAAGCTGCGAACGGCCTACCCCAGCGCAGGGTTGCAGGCCAAGGGAGTGGTTCGCGGTAGCGAACTTCGCGCAGAAAGATCCAAGCCGGGCAGACGACTTGAGGCTCGAGCAGGGATAGCAGGGGGCGGTGACAGGGGGGATAGGCACAGACTCACCGATGAGGGTGAAGCGGCGCGTTGCGCGCTGTGTAGCGGTCGAGAAATTGCAGCATCTGCTTCAGCGGCCGGAAGGGATGCACACCACGGCGGGAGGCAACATACTGGCGGTATTCCGGTGGGGAAAAGCCCTCGCGAGCTCAACACGGCCTTTGATAGCCTGCTTCCTATCCTTTGAACTTGGTGTACAACTTGTGCAGCGCGCTCCATGATGCAGGTCTTGCGCTTCAGGGTGAACCGCCAGTAGAATCGGATGCAGCAGGTGTTTGTCATCTTGACTAGACGTTCAGCATGAGATAACCCATAAGATATGCCAGCAGAGATAGCCAGAGGAGTACCGAGGCCCAAGGACAACCCGAGGGAGACCAAGTTGAAGTTTCGTGAACGTCGAGAGTGTCAGCCGGGCAGGACGTGCCCTGGGATCGTCTGACGTCAGCCCCCAGGACGCGTACAGGCGCTCGTACTGGTCTGGCGATGCATCCCATCTGCGACTACCACGGCTCGGACTCGCCGCTCTACTCGTCCAGCTTCACTTCTCTGAAAAATATAGTCCCCCTCGTACTCGTATTGCAGCAAATGGTACGGGCGTCAGATGCTACAGGTCGCGCAGGTCGCGCACGGCGCGACAATACACAAAGCTCCCTCGTACGTCTTCTCCGCGCTCGCTAGATCTATCAATTAACACAAGACTGTGCTTTGCACCGACCGAAGCCTCAAGCCAGCACCGCTGTGCTCCTACCAGAATAGACTACTCAGAATTTAGCAAGCCCTGGTTGTCGACCCCGCCGCATTCACGACGAGACAGTCCCCCGCGGTACATGCACTGCGTTTATTGTGCATCGAAGCCCTGTGTCGCAATACACAGTACTGAATCAGCGGTGCAACAGGAAGGTCGCGCCACCCCCACGTCCGCCAATGTCGACTGCGCGGAGCCCATGCAGCCAGCCGGTAATGAAGGGTCGCTTCTTTACCTTTACGTCGGGGCTCACGCACCTCCAGGCCGTTGCGAAAGTCGCCTTGTACATATTCGCGTAGCATACGCCTCTGGGACCTCTCCGTCTCTATATCACCCATGAGATCAGGTGCATAAGGACATGCCAAAGAGTAAAAGGGCGGCACGGAGTGCGACGCGCCGCCTGTCCTGCCTACGCAGCTGGAGGGCCCGTGCGAGTCCACGTTCTCATCCTGGTCGATATTCGTTAGTACCACCCGTAAGTCGCCACCTCCACTTGCTCTTCTGTTGGATGAGCCGAGTTGCTAAGCGCATGCTGCAGCAAACACGTCCGCGCGCTCGTTATGCAAAGAAGGGTCCGAGTACCACAATCGGATGCGGTCGAGAGCCCTCAAGGCTCATCGTGCGTCGCCTGAAGCTTGCGTCGTACGTTCATGCGCTTTTCTCCTATAATTGCGTCAGATAACTGAACGCGTGTAGATCATACACAAACGCGCTGCAAACTCGGAGTATTTAGCTTTGCACCTCCGAACCGCGCGCTGCCTGTTGCACAACGCCGTTTTGGAGCCCGTGCAGACGCAGCTATGCCCCATCATGATCCCCGCCGACGCTCGTATCATGAGCCCCCATCCCCATTCCATGACCAGGCCTGTCCATCTACCTTCGCTACTACGGGCTAATCTCAACGCGACGTGCAGGTATCTAGATGCAGACTCCGTAGCGACGTTCTCCTCGTGCGCCATCGCTATGAGCTAGAGCCACAAGCACCGGCTGTGGGCCTACACCCTCCACAAACCGCAAGCTCGCCAATGAAAGACATCACGGCTCTCCGACGCACACGTCAAGCTTCAGCAACACTAGCACGAGACGGTCGTCTTCGCGTCGTCCACGAAGAGGAAGTGTCAGCGCTTCGGCACGATCATGCACGCAAAGTCCACTATGTTCCTCGGCGCGCGCTTCCTCGGATACCTCCAGCGGGGCGGGAGAGGTGTACGGGCGGTCGAACAGAGACACTGCAACTCGCGTGGGCGGACGCGGAATCTGGGGTAGCCGCCTCTCCAGCCTTGTTGTGCCGAACGAATTCGCGCTGCGTCTGTCAGACGTACCAGCTCGTGAGCTGGTGCACGGCCTCTATATCTCGTTTGTGCACTCAGCGCTGCCGGTCGGGTACATACGGACCTTCCTGATACATTCTCGCAACGGGTGAGCACTCCGTTTGTTGCGTTTCCAGTAGTGACATTATAACACCGGGTGTCCTGCAGTACTGTACATGCAGATTCTTCAAATAACAGAATTCCCGGATTCCGCGTCACCGATCTCGCCATCGTCACCTATACGCCCGCGAGAGCAATGTGGGCTGTTTGCAGCGTTCTCTCCCGCCTCGCCTTGCTCATTGCAAACACACATCGCCAAGCTATCGTCACCCGAGGGCGACTCGTGAATATCGCGTAACGAATACACGGATGGGGCAAAGGTCCTCGATGGACCCTCCTTGGGGACTGCAAGGTCAAGATCGGCTCAGTCCTCGGGTTATACAAGAGCGGGGAAAAGTGGACGGCTGTCCAGCGGGTGGAGTGCGGGCGGCCAGGTTGCGCTCCGCCATTCGTTGACGACCCGGCGGATAGCCACCACGACGAGGTCTCATGCACCACCGGTCGCGCTCTCGGTGTTCTACCATCACGCGTCAACGAAAGAACGAAATTCTGTACGCGTCGATCTCTTTTGACACGGCCCCCTCGCAGTACTGATCCCTCGACAGCTGTCAATCTGCGCCAGATATGCCAGAGCATATGCTCGATCATGAACGTAGCAAGTCGCCCCGCAGAATTTGGACCCCCCTGGCAACCTGCCGACGATACGTTAGTGAGCCTGCCGGAGCACTCTGCGAGGACGCTGCTTGCACGGCGCGAACTCTGGCTAGCACTATGCAGGTTCGTGCCGGCAGCGAATCGCATTGCGATTTTTGGTGAGCCTTGATCAACCCTGTCATGCGACCGTATGTTCTAACACGTACGATGGTTTCTCTGTACGGTGACCGCATTATCAGAAGCTACCTCCAAGCGTCCGCATTCCACATCTACTGGAGTTCAGACGTGTGTCCGGGATCGTTCTAGGCGCTGAGGCACAGCTGAAGGTCTTCCTTGCCCGACCGTAGAGACGCGAAGTGAATGGCAGGGCTCACCTTGTTGTACTGTACTATCTAGGGTATGCTCATGCTCGTGTCACCGCAGACATCAACGCAGCTCCTGACGCTCCAAACCCCATTGCCTCCGTCGTAGCTCGCGAGACACGAGGCCCGCTCACATCGGCTCTACGGCGAAACACGCCACTCTCACTGCGCAGTGCGGGTGCGCCTACTCCTGGAGCCTGTTCGCCGACGACGCGGATGGCTGCAACGGTCGGTGCTGAAAGATCGAGGGCTGCCCCGTGGCCCACATCTCTGTCAGGCTAGGGTTAGGCGGCTTCGGAAGTCTACTGGCCGTGCTAGAGATCCCGCTGTACGTCTCCTGTGAAGTCTCGTTGCATCGAGTAGCTAACCCCATTGCAACATATATACAGACGCGCCACCGACGCAGAGCGTCGCGCTTTCCCTCGTTCGCGCCGCCCACAGCCTATCGTGCGACGTCGTACTCAAACTCGCAAGGAGGCGCCTATGCGCCATCTGGGTTCCCCCGAAGGCCTCCACGCGCCCCGCATCCCTAGGCGCCCCATCCAAGACGAGCCCCTCCTCTTCGTCCTCCGGGGTCGATACCGACACCAAGACTGTGCACACATACCACAACGCGGTGTTCATCATCCTCTTCGCGCGCCAGTACGGCATCCCGGAGCTGCTCAAACGCGCATTCTACGGACTCCTCGCGAGCGCCGAGTTCTGGGCCGCACTCACCGCGGACCGCAAGCAGATCAGGCTCACCGAGGCAGACCTGCTGCGCCTGTACAATGCGCGGCACGTCCTCCAGCAGCGCTGGCGCGAGACGGTCGTGCTCGCACCGTACATGGACGAGAAGGGTGTGTCGACGTGCCGGGGGGATGGGTCCGCGTGCTCGATATACAACCACCGCTGATCGAGCAGGTCCCAGCACTGGCGCAAGATGATGCTGGAGAGCGAGGTGGTCGAGGCGGGGATGGGTGACCCGTTGCGGTACGATGCGTCGAGTGGGCTGACGAAGGAGCATGAGGAGACGTGGGGCCGGGGGTGCCGCAAGGGCTGGACTGACATGCTGGCGAGGAAGCGGACGGAGTGGTGGGCGAGCTTCGGCGACTTGATGCAGCTCGCGTGAGTAGTTGGGTATTCGCAGCCGACGCCGTCGGCGGCATCTTCCATATGATTGACGAGATAGACGAATGTACGTTACATGCTCGACAACCCAATCAGTAGCACCCTCAAGCCAAACACACTGGCGTCCTGGCGTGCGTCCGCGCGTATGGCGGGCTCCACGGCCGCCGCAACGCCCTCCGACGTCGTCTTCGCGAGCGCAGGGTAATGGTTTGCGACATAAGGGAGTAGGACGCGAGAATTCGTCGCGCAGCTGTGTTTGAGCGGCGGGAGGACGCGCATGTAAGTCGAGATCGAGAACCACGCCGGGTGGGGACGTGAACACGTCGCCCGCGGAGCTCTTCGTGCGCGCAATACGGAACGAAGCGCTGCCCCCAGGCTGGTACAGGAATGCGGTCGCTGCGCGTCGTCAGGAACCTGACTGTCGCGCTCGAATAAAGCCTGCAAGCGCGACGTGGACCAAGATACTCGAACGGCAGGGGCTGCAGGACGTGCAGGTTGGTGCTTGAGCAAGCGAAGGAGCCGCGTCGTTACGTATATGTTGTTAGCAGGTCTTCGTCGAGCAGAGTCGTCTCCCTGTGTGCGCGCCCGAAAGCAGACCGCAGCGCGCCGGTACAATCGAGGCCGCGGCGAGGGGAGCGCGGCTGGAGCAGTTGCGTGAGGTGCCACCGCGGCAGAGCATTGATGACGTGAGGTATGCGTCGTACTGGAACGTTGTGGTAAGGCGCTGACGGTGGTATACTGCTCCGATGCCGGGGTATGAGCACTTTAATGACGAAATTATACGCGCAAACGGCTCACCGGGCAGCACGCCGACTAGCACACTCTGTCTCGTCGACGCGAGGTGCGTGCGTTTGGAGGGCTGTAACGCGCTGGACGTGTACGACATGCTCACCGTGACTAACGTCAGCTTCAAGCATGAAGAACTGGCGCGCAGTGATAGACCCTGAGCGCGGTTAGCCGCGCGCGAGGAGGGATCTTGAGCAGAGGGTCAGCCTGAGACAGAGTCGACGTCCTGCTCTTCGCGCCTTGCTTCGCGCAGCCGTGGTGAGCGACAAGATAGTCTTGTGTTGGTGATATCGGGCTTGGAATATTCCATTTCATCGGCCGCTTACGAGCTCGGCGGCCTAGGGAGGTTACAAGAACCGCGTCTTCCGGAGGGTGCGATGGATGGGAGCCGCGACAGACGCGGATGGGGAGGCACTGGGCAGCGCACGACCTGATGACAGTATAGCTGGGAGAACGAAACCCTCAGTTCAGCATGACCTTATCCGCCTTCTTCTACCACTCACTGCGACTGGGGCGCGCCCACTGAGCTCTCTCCGAGTAGCTCCGTGTGCATATCGAGCTTGAGGCGCAACGGTATCCAGTACGTGTCTTATTGCCAAGGCATTGAGTCCATCGTTCAAAGTAGACGTCAGGCAGTATACAAGCCATAGATCACGCGTTGATAGAGTAGTAAGCGAGAGGGCGGCGAGGACAGACTCGACCTGCAGCCGTCCGAGTGAGTGAGAGAGTGTGAGTGAGAGGCGCGAGTTGCGCATGCCCTGGGATATCTGACGTCATCGCCCACGACACGTGTAGGCGCTCGTGTCTGCCTTGCATCAGGACCCAGGCCAATACACCAAGAGCTCATATGCCGGAATCCCCGAAAATGGGCCCGAAGGGCCCGGAACTCACATGAAATTTAGGTCGATTTCCCCGAAAATGAGGCCGTCAGCGGCCGGAGTTACATCCCTCCCAGCCCCGAAAACAAGCCCTTGCCGGGACAGTCATATGCTGGAACCCCGAAAGTAAGCCTCGGCCGGCTGACCGGACGGCCGGGGGTTCCCCCTGGAGACGAAATATAGCTGAAAAGCGAAGGAATCAGCCCACCGCGCTCTCTTTTCAATGTTTTCTCCTCCAACTCAGTAGGGGCCCGTCGGGCCGGAAAATCCGTTGAGCGCTAAACGGGCGCCTAAACCTATGTCACATGAAATTTACCCCCGAATCCGGCGTAGCCGGTCGCAACTTACGTGAAAATCCCCGAAAAAGAGCGGATTTTCGACCCCCGAAAACGGCCCAAATGGGCCTCCAAATAGATGTGAGCTCTTAGTGTATTGGCCTAGGTCCTCTTGCATCCCGCCCGCGACTACCGCAACGCCGACTCTGCCTTGCTGCTCACCGCACTCGTCCAGCCGACCTCTCAAAGAAATCTAGTCCGCCTCATGTTCCCTTTGCGGAGAATGGCGCAAGAGGCCAGAGGCCGCGCCTGGTGACCCACTGAATGGAGCGAGTCCCTCGTAGGTCCTCCCCGCATCCTCAGTCGATTCCTACACAAGCCTCTCCTCTCATGTACCTCCCAAAGCCTCAGGATACTGACCTACTATGTCTCCGCAGGCATTAACCACTCTGGATTGAGCAATCCGCGACTGTCAACTTTGCGACCACACAGTCTCCGTGCGGTACGCGCAATGCGCAAGCCATTGCTACTTGAAAGCCCCGTGTCGCAGTACGCGGCACTACGGGATGAGACGGCGCAGGACGAACCTGAAGGTCGCGTCGCATTTGCCTCTGCTCCCGCCAACTGCGCAGACCCCGCACAACTGACTAGTAAGTCAGGGTTGCCTCTCTACCTCGATCTCGTGCCTCACGCTCCTTCAGGACTTTACGGCGATCACGCTGTATACACTGATGACGTTGCACACGCCTCGACGTGCCAATCTCACCCATGATGTCGCTCAGACACGGACACGCCGTCGAGTAAACAGGCGTTATGGTGTGCGACGGACTGCCTGTCCTGCCTACACTGGCGGAGGGCCTGTGCGAGTCCAGTGAGGGTGAGTTCTTCCAGCGTTCTCACCCAGGTCAATATTCATTTGCTCCGGCCATCTCGCTGAATGCCCGCGTACTATGGCCGTGCAGACAGAGAATTCTCGGAGCCGCGCACCCGCCAAGTTTGAAATGCCACCGCAGGACGCGGTCGAAAGTCCTCGTCATGCGACGCCTCATGATCAGTCTGTACGTGCGTGCTCCTACCTTCGACCCAGCGCACAGCGGTATGCTCAGAGACACGGCAGGTTTCTGTACCGCGATCACAGCAGGCGCGGCCGTATTGCTCTGCTGTCACATCTTCGCGGCCGCGACGTTGTACATCGCGACACGTACCTGCAACGCACAAGCGCCTCTCGGCCCACGGTAGTGCGCCCGAGCCTCTCTTGGAGGCGAAGACGAAGCTGGCGAGGCTAACGCCCCACCTGCGCACGACCTAATACCCTCACCGCGGCACAAGTATGCGGCGGAAATCGAGGAAATCGAGGAGGTCAAGGAGCACTCGCGTGACGCTGCGTTTTAAAACTCGACGCATCGCAAGACTTTGAGTTATCCACTTGCGACCACGCCAGGTCAGAGTAAAGAGACACATCCCTGCGAGACACGACTACGCGCTACAGCTGGACCCGCGCCGTCGCGCACGCCTCCGTCGGCCGGTCACTAGGCAGCGTGCACGTCCGCGCACCCTCGATTCTCAACGAGACCTACAGCATGCGTGTCGCCGCAGAAGTGCAGTGCTGTGGAGGCTGTTGGAGAACGGATCGAGATCACAGTGGAGGACGATAAAGCGTGCGATGCGCACATCAATGGCAATGCTACTCCGAGTCGGCGCTGGATCATATGTCGCGGCGACATGGTGTCGCCGCAGGCCAGGGACGCGCAACAGGGGCGCGCAGCAGGGTACTTCACCGTCAACGTTAGTCTAGGATCAAGACTAGGGTTGCGTATCTGGTGTGTCCCCCGCGCTCGAGCTTGTGAACCTGTGCGCTGACCACAGTCGGACAAGCAGCAAACATGCCGCCCTCGAGCGAGCTGTACGCGCTCAACTAGGGCGAGTGTTACGGCGGCGGCGGAGCTACGATGGTTATCGGATCTCTGATGCGTCAAGATCGGCGACTCTCATACGACGACGCGCACTCCCGTGCGCGGTGACTTTGTAACTCATAAGTACTAGCTAGCCGGCCCCTCTTCATCCCATGTATGCCCGCCTGTGCGGCGTCCCCATAGCATGCAGAGCGCTCTACTCGAGACACGCCCCCGTGTTGCATACATGTAGACTGCGGGCGCTCGCTCACAATGTGGTGATCTTCATACTACGCACTCTAATTCACCTTCATCCTCCCGAGCACTCGGCGTTCGCGTTGGCTGGGTGTACATGTGATGAACCGCATATATGTATACTATTGTGAATCGCGAGTCTCAATGTATGTACATGCAACTTCTATTCTATGTTAGGTGTCGCTAGCACAGTATATCAAACGATATAACTTCTGGCCTACGCAATGTCCACGTCTTGCCTCCGAAGTCAACTTAGGGCCGCCATTAGGCAAGGCGTGACGGCGCTAGCTACGTCGCACCGCTAAGATGGATGCACTAACGTCCTTGCGAGCGCGTAAGCGTCCGCAAGCACCTTGGCGCAGAACGCGGGGCAGAAGACGCTCTATGACTGAGTCCGGTGGATGCTGAGTATTCCGTACGTACATTACGACGTCCCAAGGGCACCGGGGTGTAGACGAGCGTGCAAGAGGCCGGGGCGTGCACGAGACGTCAGACATGTCAAGGAGACTTTTGGCGTAGTGGTCCGTACTTGGTAGCCCGCCGACCGCTCGTCCAGCTATCGAGGCTCTGAGTCACCTGAGGCCGCATGGGGAGTGGCTATTGCGTAACCGCGCGATCTGAGCTGAAGAGACGGCGACAGGGGCGTAAATGGTAGTTGATGACCGGGAGCAGGCAACAATCGTACCGATACCGCGTGCGGCAGCCTCTTACGGCCTGAATATTGGCGTAGCTTGGAGATGCGCAGCTTGTCGGTTCCATAGACCGGGGGCGTTCCGGTGATTGCAAGCGACGGTCCTGTACCAAATAGACGGGGCATGTTGATGGCTCCGAGCTGACCGTCGACTTTCCCCATCTCCACCAGGCCGCCTCTTCGGGTTTCGTATCAACCACCCATCGAATAGCCGGCGTTGTAAGGACGCGGCGGGGTGATCATGGGATCGACGTTCATGGCGAGTCGCGAACAAGAACGTCAGGATGTCGCAACATCGTCAGCGCAAATTAGACCGGTCGACTTCCAAGACCTGAGTTGAAGGGCGCCAGAGTGTTATGCGCGCGAGAGGGCTGAGACACCTAAAAAGCTGTTATGTCATGGAAGTAGTGGCTACAGTGCTTCAGAAGAGGAGGCAGCCCCTCATATTCCTTCGCGTCGCGATCTGCCAGATCTCCAAGGGCTCGCCGATCGCGCGCGGACGAAGCTCGCGGCACGACCTGGAGACTCGAAGGAACGGCCACAGCCGCACGACGCGCCGTTGGACAGTGAGCGAGCGAAGGAGCTGTGCTCGCAGGTCTTCGCAGAACGCACTTGCCCTCCTTACATCGGAACGTATGCCGGTTGCACGCCGTTGAAGCTCGAGGGCGCGACATAGAGAGAAAAGCCCAAACATTCACCTGAGAGGGTGCCGTAACGGCCGCGGAGCGTTGATTTGCCCCCTGCCAGAGCATTATAAGCTGCGGACGCTGGCGGTGGTGCGCTGCTGCGATACCACGGTGTAAGCGCTTCAATCCCGAACGGCATGCAGAAACGACTCACCGGGGCAGCGTGCCACATTCCAATCCAGCTCCTTCTGTGTCGTCGACGTCGCGAGGTGCGTGAACTTGCCGAATTCTGGGCGATGCGCCGTGTGCGACATCTTCACCTTGAATATCGCCAGATTCTAGGACGAGGAATGGACACGCACCGGCGCGTAATGGACCGCGCGGGGAGAGGGATTTTCGGCAGAGGGCTGGCCCGAGGCTCACCGAGGGCAATAATAAAGACATCTCGTTCGTCGCGCAGCCGTGCTCAGCGGCGTCACGGCCGGGACAGGCCTTGTGTTGGTGCCGTCATGCTTGAGAAAGCCCATGTTATCGACCGCTTGAAATCGTGTTGTGCAGGGAGATCACGATGGACGGTTTGCAGGGGATACGAGTCGCGAGCACGCCGACGGGTCGGGCAGCTAGCGACGTACTGGAAGTATGGCTGAGGGTTACAAGGGGTTTTCACTTCGCAAAGATCTCTATCCACTTTCCGAGTGTACTCACTCGCTCAAGACAGGAGTCGCGAGGCTATTGAGCACTGCGTACATCTCGAGCTGGAGGGTTGGCGGTAGCCAGCAAGCTTGTCTTGTTGCCAGGTCGCCGTCGAAGTCCATCGCTCAGACCAGGCGTTGAACGCTGTTGCGCAGACACGACCTCTTGATTTCGCCAGCAGAGATATGAAAGCGAGAGGGCGACGAGGACGGCAGACTCGACGTGCAGCGAGGCGTGAGTCGAGCGCGTGCCCTGACGTCAGCGCCCAGAACGCGAGTAGGATGCGGGTAGGCGCTCGTTCTTGCCTCCTCCCTCGTCTCTCCTCTCTCGCATGCTGTCCTGCTGTCCTGGACTCATGTGTGTCTCCTGCCATCCGCTGCTCGATCTCTTGTCTCGCTACGCTTTCTCAAACTCGCTGGGCACCCTGATCGCGTGGCAGTTGGACGTCTAAACCGCCCTCAATGGAATCGCAGGCAGACAGCTCGCCCCGTGGAAGGGGAAGGCCCTCGCGCGCATGCGAATGTTTGGGTACTGGGAAAGCGGTGCGTACGTCCCTGCCTATCCGATGTTGCTCAGCCTCCCGGACGAGGAATGGACCGCATGTCGATATCGTTCTGCCCCCGCCGTATCTGCCGCCGGTCTTCCCGTCCCAGCTCGGGTATGCTGTATGGATACTGCTCGCTACACGCCGTGCATATTTGTTGCTAGTCTGTTGTCGCACCCTCGAGCACGCTCCAGCCGTCGATTTTAAAAGTCAGGCGCATATATCGTGAGTTTTCAGCCGTTCCCGCATACAGCCCGCCCCCTGCCATCCTCGTATTGGCTGATCCCCGTTTCCCTCCCATCTAGACGACTGTCCTCACGTCTTTCTCGCCGCCGCATCAATCATCTTTCACATGGCCTGGGTCGAAATCTCGCTCGCTGTCCGACGGGCTCGCGGCGCAAGACGCTGTCGGTACGATCGACCACGCCTCGACTCCCGTCTCAGGTGCGCGCATCTCATTCCTCGTCGTGTTCTCCCCCGCCTCCGCCATACACCGGCGCTTTGTACATACCGCTTCGATCTGTCGCTCGTCTTATCGGCGCTATCAATGCAGTTCCTCCCGTGTTCTGTCCCGTCTGTCCAACAGCCACACCCGGTCCCCGACGTGTTGACCACCCGGGCCCGGCGGAACTCTGCATCCCTCATTCAAGCACTGCTGCTCAACGCACCACGATGCACCCGCGCCGTCAGCGCCTCGTGCCCTAGGACGCTCGCACTGCGGGCGATGCGCGCTCCCGAGAACCACATATCGCTGCGCTTCGACTTCTCGCGCCGAGAGCGTGCATGCCTCCCCACGCCGTCGCGCCGCACGTTATCCCCTGCGTCGAGGCCGTCGGCGGGCGATCAGTTGCCCACGCTGTGTCGAGCAGCGCACACGCCTCACAGCAGGCCGTGCCGTCGTCGTGGAACGTGCCGCTCCCCTCTCCATATGCAGTGGGTGAGGCTGTCATATAAGGTTCGATAGATGCCATGATGCGGTGCGTGGTTGCGGCTCGACTGCAGCTACAAGTACGGTGCTTGGTCTGGCGGTGCTCGTGTCCGACTCCCTCCTCTCGCTTCCTCGCTGCTGCCTCCGCCCACGCTCACCGTCTTGCCCGCCCTCACGCCAGACCATGGAGAACTCGCGCCTCCCGATCGAGGTCTGCGAACGTGTCATCGATGAGTGTTCCAATTTCCATTGGATATGCCGCAATGAGACTCTGAGAGCCTGTGCACTGACATGCTCTCAGTGGCTTCATCGGAGCCGGTATAACCTGTACCATGAGCTAAGGGTTTGGGATAGTGAAGCAGCTGGCTTAATTGTGGACACACTCACAGGCAGACCTGAGCTTGCTGAGTATGTGAGAGTGATTGACATATGGCCTTATAACAACTATGTACCCTTGACTGAGGTGTTGAGCCTTCCCTCACTAAAGAAGTGTCAGAGGCTTGAAATAAGCATAGGAGATCTGAGCTGTTTTCCCCCAAGATATGTGCAGAATTGCCTGGTCCCATTGCTGACCTATTTTGAGAGTGTGGTTACATTGAATTACCAAGTCTGGTCAACTGCTGCAGCCATAGACTTTTTCCACATCATCTGGGAAATGCCCCAGCTACTACAGTGTAGCATCCACAGTGTAGCCGATTTCACACTAGCTGCATCATCATTGGACCAGCTGAAGAAGACAGCATTGAAGATCAAGCCCAGCCTGCACCTAAACACATTGCAACTTTCGGTGAGCTCACAACATGAATATCCTAACTTGATTGCATCTTGTAAGTGGTAACCCACTCTTCAGCTCAGCAATTTGCCACACATCCAGGGCTATCCCCCACAAGGAGCATTTGGGTCACTTGTGAATCTCACCAAGTTTGTATTTGCATTCAAAGCTGCTGCTGCAGTGTCAGGTGAGTATGACTTTGTGGTATGCCTCTCTTCTCTCACATGAGCAATCTGCTAGACAGTTTCCTTCAATTTCTGGGTGAGATGGTGTCCCTGGAAGAACTCATCATTGTAGTCCAGTTTGAAGATCATAGTAGACCAGGAGGAGCTGACTTTCTTGCACAGGTGTTAAGATCTATGCAGTCATCACATCGCAAGAAATGTGTCATTTACTTTCGTGCAAGTTACCAGTACCAGTGCAAACGGGGTGATTTGCTTGAAATCATCAGCGGTGAAGCAATGCAGCAGTGGTTACAAGATTTGCCCTCCATTCCAGAGTTCATCATCACAGTAGATGAGAATGATGCAGCTTTCAACAAGGATTGGTGGACCACAGAGATCACAAAGAAGCTGCCTGCCTTGGAGGACACCCTAATGGTGCATGTTGATATTGATGGTATGTCAGATGCATTTTTTCATTGAGGGCCAATGCACTGAACATGTTTCAGATGGGGTGGAATGGTACAAGAATTTATGGATAGAAGACTTGCCAGCAGAGGCTGCCTCATCTATGTGAGTGAAAATATTGCACTGACACATTTTGTACTTACATTGTTGATGTTTTATGCAGCAATACTGAGACCAACATGCACATCAACTCTGAGCTTGATGAACTCTCAGCTGTATCTGAAGACCCATACCCTGGGATTGATGGGAGCAACCATGAAGATAATACAGTCACTGAGGCAGTTAGTGCTTTTCAAGTAAGTCCTGAACCTCCCCTACATTCACATCCAAACTCAATTGAGGATGCAGGTCATTGAATGAATACTGCCATATACATGCTACTGGTCACCTCTTCCCATAGATACAGATTCTGATTTAATCTCTGTACCTTTTTCCCTCTTCCTCTTCTCCTCTTCTTTTTCCCCATTCTTTGCACCTCCACACTGTACCCCACCCAATGGCCCCCTGGCAGACTGGCAACAGCACAAAGATGGTAAGGCACCAACGGGCAGCAGTGCGACCTCCCGCTGTCGAGCGGGGGCGACGTGCGGACGCAAATAGGAGGCGTGCTGCACACGCCCGTCCGTGCCCGAGTCATTCCTTTGTGCCTGCGCTGGCGAGCGGGCGGTCCATGGGTGGGACTTCTTGGTTCCTGTGACGGTCTCTGGATTCGGTTATGTACGAGCGAGTGCGTGCGATGTATGCGATGTCGGCGACAATTAGATGTGTATTTATCGAACTTGTGCGCTACAGAGCGTTCGACAAGCTACGCTGAGTCACGGGGACGCTGCAGCGTCATACGGGCGGTGGCGACTATCTGAGGACGGGCTGATCCTATGCGGACGTTCCTGCATGGAGTCTCGAGTCAGCAGGAAGCAGGTGCGCACGAGATTTGAGAGGGGCGACGACGTACGCTGCTTCGTGCGGTGGTAGCCAACCCACAATATTGGCACACCGGAACAGCGAGCTGAGGGTTCCGCGCACCGGAAGCCGCGTGATGCACTGTCTGAAGCAGGCCGAGCAAAGGCGTCGTCGTCGGAGTGCCGCGAGAAGGCACCGCGACTGCGCACGGCTGAAGCGCGCAGTCGCGGACCAGAGAGAACGGTCGAAGACTCGAAGGCGCATTGCGCGTGGCATGACGCTGGTCGAGGGGAGGGGACGTGTCGTTGTGTCGTTTGCGGATGTTCATCAGGCTTCAAGAAGCCTGCGGACAGTGCGAGAGCCGGGGTATGAAGTGCGGAGATATGGTCGAGAGCCCAGAGGGCGGGGCACTCGTTCGAGGGACCGCTACCGCCACCGCCGAGCATTTGCAGCCAGAGCGACAAGGGATGCTTTAACGTTGTAATACGTAGCTGCGAACACTCGCGGCGATTGCCTGCTTCAATGCAAGCTATGAACATGTCGATCTAGGATCGATAGACGGTGACAACTCACCGGGGCAGCCATGAACATCCGCCACTCGTGCTTCTCGTGTTTGGGCGACGCAAAGTATACGTGTTGACTATCGCGCAAGTACTTGGCGCTAAGCTGCGAACAGCCTACCCCAGCGCAGGGTTGCAAACCAAGGGAGGGGTGCGCGGTGGCGAACTTCGCGCAGGAGGATCCAAGCCAGGCAGACAACTCGGAGTGAGAGCAGGGAGAGCAGCAGGCGAGGATAAACACAAACTCACCGATGAGGGTGAAGCGGCGCCTTGCACGCTGTGTAGCGGTCGAGGAATTGCAGCATCTACTTCAGCGGGGAGGGATGCACGCCACGGCGCGAGGCGACATACTGGCGGTGTTCCGGAGGACAAAATCGCCCGCGAGCTCAATGCGGGTTTTGATAGCCTCCTTTCTATCCTTTGAACTTGGCGAAAAACTTGTACAGCGCACTCCATGATGCGGATCTTGCGCTTGAGGGTGAACTGCCAGTAGATTCGGTTGCAGTGGGTGTTCGTCATCTTGACTAAACGTTTAGCATGAAATAGCCCATAGATTATGCCAGCAGGGATAGCCAGAGGAGCACCGAGGCCTAAGGACAAGCCGAGAGAGACGAAGTTGAAGCTTTGTGAGCGTCGAGATAGAGGGGCAGAACGTCGCCGCAGGACCCCGGCAAGCTCACCAAGAGGTCATATCCCACTTTCGGGGGTACTTATATGGTAATTTTAACTATATACGGCAATGTGCCTGGGCGCTTAGATCACGTGTACCCCCGAAAATGGCCCTTTTGGCGGTGTCTCGGGATGTGAGCTCTTGGTGAGCTTTCCGGGGTCCTGTCGCCGCCCGCATGCCCTGGGATCGTCTGACATCATCGCCCAGGACGGGTGTAGGCGCTCGTACTGGCCTGGCTCTTCATTCCATCCGCGACTACCACGACTCGAACTCGCTGCTCTACTAGCACCCCTCTGAAAGATCTAGTCCCCCTCATACTCATATTTCAGTGAATGGTGCTAGATGCTACAGGTCGCGCACAGTGCGACAATCTATAAAGCTTCCTCGTACGTCCTCTCCGCGTTCTCTATCAATCCCTACACAAGACCGTGCTTTGCACCTCCTGAAGACTCAAGCCAGAACTGCCGTGTTTCCGCCGGAATAAAATACCCAGAACTCGGCAAGCCCTGGTCATCAACTTCGCGATGAGACACTCCCCGCGCGGTACGCACACTGCGTTTACCGTGCATCAAAGCTCCGTGCCGCAGCACACGGTACTGCATGAGCGGCGCAAGACGAACTTGAAGGTCGCCCCCCTCATGTCTTAGCCCTTCCTGATCACGCAGACTCTACACAACTAGCCTGTAGTCAGAATTATTTGGCCTATATGTCGCGCCTCAGGGCTCATGCTTCTTCAGGATGTTACGGGCATCACAACGATGCATCGACGTAGCACACGCTTCTGGCACCTCGACGCTCCTGGACGTCTCAAGGTCGCCATGAGATTGCACTCCGAAGGACACGTCATCGAGTAGCGCGGCGCTATGGTGCGCGATGTCCCGCCCGTCCTGCATAGACTACCGGAGAGTCCGTGCAAGTCCGAAGGTCGGTGCTTTGCACATCTTCCCCCAGATCTCTGCTCATTTGCTCCAGCCGTCTCGGTAGACGATCTTGCAGTAGTACTACACGTAAGCCGCTACTCCCACCAGGCCTTCTGTTACGACACCCGAGCTAACCGCATGGTGCAGCGAATACGCCCGCGTGCGATGGTCATGCAAACAGAAGCTATTGGAGCTGTGCACGCGCGTATATCCGAGTGCTACCGCAGGACGTGTGCGAGTCCCCGTCGTGCGTCGTGTCAAGATCGTGTAGTACGTTCGCGCTCCTGCCTGCTGTGATTGCATTATATAGCTAAACGCGTCCAATCCAGCTATGGACGCGCCGCCGATTCAGGGCCTTCCACTCTCCCTCCTTTGCGCAGCGCGCAGCCTGTTGCACAACACAGCTTTCAAGCTTGCCAAGACACGTTTATGCGCCATATCCCCCGACGGTGCTCTCGCGTCTCTCGACCCTCTCATACACCGCAAGCACTTTTGTTTCGTCGCTGTGACCCAACTACAATGCCGTGTGCACTTACCACGATGCGGTCTTCATCAATCCTTCCGCGCGTTGGCACAGTCCCGGAGTGATTCAAGCGCGTCTTTTATGAGCTCCCCTTTGTGCCGCACTCCCCACGAAACACGAGCTCGCCGAGGATGACCTACCGTGGCTCCCAGACTCACTACGCGTCGCATTCTAGCAACACTAGCGCGGGCCGGCCCTGGTCGCGCCGTTCACGAGGACGGGGGCGTCAATAAATCGGTACGCTCATACACGCCAGCCTTTTCACGAGATACGATGATCCTCAGCGCGCCCTCCCTCATACACCTGCAGCGCAGCAGGACATCGCGTGAATTCTCGACAGCGGGGACCGAGCGGGGGACTATGAGTGAGTCCAAGAACGATCCAGTACGCGCAGGCAGCTGTAGTACCTCTTAGTACCGCCGAAACCGCCCGCTGTACGCAACAGCGAGCGGCGGTTCGGGATCGAATTCGCGCTGCGACTTCCGGATGTCCCGACACAGGAGCTCGTGTTGGGCTAGTGCTTGATGTTCGCGCACCAGGCACTGCTATTCGTTTGCAGGAGGGCTTTGGACGATACCCGCAACGGGTGAGTGGTACTCCTCCTGCGTTTTGGGTGAAAACGTAACAGCTATTCCTACAGCGGAGAATGTACTATCTCTCCATCCTCTAGGGAGTTCTGGTTAGCAGACCCCGCGTTATCCTCTGTTTTGTCACTCACTGGTCCGTGGGGATAGCTCGCGATACTCTCGCCCCCGCCCGCGTTTGTTGCACACCGCTGAGGCACCGCTATCCGAGGACGACTCATTGTGGACGACGGACGACTCGTACATGGCGGACGTGACAGTCGTTCTCGGCTACATGGCGGACGTGACGGTCGTCCTCGGCCGCACACACGCCTCGAGCCGGACGGCACGCACCTGCCAGACGGGCCTTCGGCTCGCTCGCCAGGCGGTTGAAGTCGACGTAGGGCTTGGATTGGGCTTGGAGCAAACCTGCGGAAAAGTGCGGGCAAAACGTGTTCCCGTGCGCGGAGCTGCTGGAGCGACGATCGATGAGAGCATGGACCAGTAGATCTGCGCGTCCAGGAGCAGGCCAGCCGCGATTGCAGATCGCGGCTTCGACACGAGGCTACCACCGGACAACAATTCGGAGGTGGAGCGCAGACGGCCACGTTGCGCACCGTCGGTCATCGACGACCCGACTGATGGTTGCTACGAGTCGACCCGAGTCGACAAAGTCCCACACACACTGGTCGCGTTCTCTCGCGCTTCAAAGAACGAATCGAATTCCGTACGCGTCTCTTTCCACCTAGTTCTCTCGCAGTACTGACGCCTCGACAGCTGTAATTTTGCGCAAGGTATGGCCCGAGAGTGTGCGCGATCAAGGCCATAGGGAGTCGCCCCGCAGAACTTGAACTCCCATGGCAACTTGCCGACGAGACGTTTGTGGGCCTGCCGGAACACTCCGCGAGGAAAGCTGCCCGCATGGCGCGAATTCTGGCTAGCACTACGCAGGTTCATGCAGGCAGCAAATCGCATCACGATTATCGGTAAGCCTTGTTCGGGCCTGTCATGCGACATGCGACCGTGTGTTCTAACATACGACGGTCTCTCTGTACGGTGATTGCAAGTGTCCGCACCCCTTACTATTACATCTACTAGACCTCAGACGTGTGTCCGAGCTCGTTCCAGGCGTTGAGGCACAACCAGAGAAGATCTCCCTTGTCCAACCCCAGTGATCTAAAGTGAGTGGCGGCGCTCACCTTGTTGTAGTACCGTACTGTTTAGGGGTTGCTCATGCTCGTATCACCGCAGACATCGACCCAGTGGCCCTCCAAACCCCATCGCCTCCATCGAAATGTGCGAGACACGAAGCCCGCTCACATTGGCTTCACCGCGCAACACACCATTTCCCTGCGCAGCGCGGATGTGCCTTCTCCGGGAACCTGTTCGCTGACGACACGGATGGCTGCAACGGTCGGTGCCGAAAGATCGAGGGCTGCCCCGTGGCCCACGTCCTGTCGGGCTAGGATTGGGCGGCTTTGGAGGTCTGCTGGTTGTTCTGGAGACCCCGCTGTGAGACCCCCCTCCTGTCATGCTCCTTGTATCGCTCACAATTTGCAGCATGTATATGAACGCGCAGAACGTCGCGCTCTCCCTTGTTTGCGCGGCACACAGCCTATCGTGCGACGTCGTACTGAGACTCGCGAGGAAGCACCTCTGTGCAATCTGAGACGCCGAGCATCCCCCGAAGGCGTCCGCGCGCCCTGCAACCAAGATGAGCCCCGCTCCGTCGTATCTGTCGGCCGATGCCGCCGCGGTGCACATATACCACGACGTGGTATTCATCATTCTCTTCGCGCGCAAGTACAGCATCCCGAAACTCCTCAAGCGCACATTCCACGAGCTCCTCGCGAGCGCTGAGTTCTGGATCGCGCTCACGGCGGACCGCAAGTGGCAGGCTCACCGAGGACGACCTGCTGCGCTTGTACCATGCACGGCACGTCCTCCAGCAGCGTTGGAGCGAAGCGGTCACGAGAATGGCGCGTCGATGTGCCGGGGGGATGGGTGCGTGCTCAATATAATAATTCCAGCAGGTGCCAGCACTGACGCAAGATGATGTTGGAGAGCGAGGTGGTCGAGGCAGGGATGGGTGACCCGCTGCGGTACGACACGTCGAGTGGGTTGACGAAGGAGCAGAAGGAGGCGTGGTGCTGCGGGTGCCGCAAGGGCTGGACTGACATGCTGGCAGTGAAACGGGGCAGTGGGAGTGGTGGGCGAGCTTTGGAGACTTCATGCAGCTTGCGTGAGTGGGTATGAGCAGCCAACATCGTCGATGGGGTCTTTGATAAGATTTACGAGGTAGACGGATGTACATTACAAATTCGACGAATGCAATAGAGAATGTTCACAGTTCGATGTATGCAGAACTTGGCTGTCCCGTAAGTCTGAACGGGCAAAGATGCCCCTGGGTCCTCCCGTATTGTAAGACGCTGTACAAAACATCCCAGTACATAGTATGGCAGAGCTCCGGACACCGTAGCCTACCGGTTCGTTCTTGGGCGCCGGTTCATGGCTCGTGCGCGGCGTAGCCCAGCTGCTCAAAGGATCACTCGAGTTCGGCACCTGGTCTTCAACACCACCACCAGGCGACGCCGTATCGACGGGGACCGGCCTGGAGGGAGTCGTCCTCTAGCTCAGAGGTCAGTGGTGTCTACATTTTGCGAGTTCTTGGAGTCGGCGCGGGCTTCACCACCGCCGTCTACGGGACTCCAGCTTGACCGGCAGCACCATCGGGGTTTGCGGCCGTGCACATGACGGAACTCAGCCTCCGCCGTTGACGTGTTCCGACGCCTCTCTGGTGCAGAGTCGCAGCACGCGCGAGCCTGTGCTGTGGTCTGCACAAGCGCGGGACAGTCGTTCAGGCGGGGAAGCAGGGCGCGAGGATCCGGAGCGCTGTGGTTGCGGCGCGTGGGTGTGCATGTATGTCAGTCGGTATCGAGAACCACGCCATGTACGGACGCACATGCGTCCATCTGAAGGTCTTCGTACACACGACATGGAGCGACGCACCGCCTGAGGCAGGTCGTGTGAGAGTGTCGCCTCGCGTGGCAGTCCTCCGGGTCTCCAAGAACTTGACTATTGCAAGGGGATGAAGGTCGCAGGCGCAACCTGAAGCCTCCAACGGGCGGGGTCGCATGATGAGAAGGTTGGCGCTTACGCATGCAAAGAAGTTGTGTCGTTACACTGCAAGCAGGTATTCGGCGGGTAGATTTGGCCGTCATGCTTCCGCACGCACGCGGGCAGCACGCCGTTGAGGCTCGAGGGCGCGGCGAAGAGAGCAGCGGGAGAGTTCGCCTGGGACGGTGCCGTGGTGCATTGATAGCGCAACATACGCGCGGTACCTGAACGTTCCAGAGCCCAGCTGCGTGCGCTGACGGTGATACTGTGCCCACCAGACGTTAAGCGAAGCGACGTAACCCTAGATTAGGGCGTGGGAAGGGGGAAAGGAGGCGATGGGTGGCCGGGGACAGGGGGACAAGCGCCCAAATAGGCGATGCGATTGGCCTGAACGATGTTTAGCGCTCGTTGCCTCCAAAAATTACCAAAACGGGAAGGGGAGGATTAGGCGATGAGTGGCCGGGGACATGGGGACAAGCGCCCATATAGGCGATGCGATGAGGCCCCGGGGACAGGGGACATCGCTTAACGTCTGGTGGGCACAGTATGTCGCTACGATGAGAAGGTGTGAGCACTCAACCTTGAACGGTAGGCAGAAACGACTTACCGCGGCAGCGTGCTGATCTAGTTCCGTCCGTCTTGTTAACGCGAGGTGCGTAGGGACGGAGAACTGTCGCGCGCTGTACCGTGTGCGAGATGCCCATTGTGGCTGGCGCTAGCTTCGACGACCAAGAGCCGGCGGGGAGAAGGATTTCGAGCAGACGGTCGGGCTGAGACTCACCGAGGGCAACCACAGAGACAATGCCCACCTCCTGTGGTAACTCTGATGCACCACACGCCGTACGCGCCCAGGCCCCCCTTATGCACCAACGGCCGTAGGTTAGCGACAAACCTGACATAAGCATCGGAGTTTGTATTTGGCCTCCAAATGCGGTAACCAGCCCCGGGAAAGGCAGTAGGGCCTGTTATCTCAATAGATAACAGGCACTTTCTTATCTATTCAGCCAAATTAGGCAGGCACTAACCAATCTAATCCACAGGGCGCTTTTTCTGATCACATCTCGCCCAAATCAGGCAGGTGGGCTCAATCCTGGGGTGGACCACCATGCAGGGGTCCCCCCGGGTTCTCTAGCTCACTCATTTCTCATCCAATTGACCTCATTGTTTTTGCAGTATGTTCGCATTTCATAGGCGTTCAAAACGCGCCGCTTACGATATCACACAGTAAGCTATCAGGTGCGGTATCAAGGATGCACCCAACCTACTATAGGAAACACAGTTTGCTGCGTTACGCATCCGTTTTTTACCGGGATTGCACGCGAATGTGTGCGTTATAAAGGTATGCATTAGAGCTCTCAGACGCGTCCTTTCGCGCATGATTTGGCGTGGATTTGGCGGTGCAGCGGCTTCTGCACTCTGGGCAGGGGTACAAGCTGCAGCTCCATCAAATCTCCGCCGAATCATTTCGTTGTTGCTGTAAAAGATGCTGATACACATTCCTAGTACAGGAGTATTACTCGCATTGGACTGCGCGCCCAAAAAACCGTGCGAATGCGGCTATTTCTGCCCAGGTATCCCCACAGACCTTCCAGGACGATTTCGCCTCGGATCCTGCGCGAATCGCGGCGCGCAATACCTCGTTCGAAAGCTACTGAGCACACCTTTCCAACGGTGTATTGCACGTGAAGATCCGACCGCCGAGGCCGCCGGGGCAACGTGGCTCTCCTCCTGGCCCCTTGTCCCCTCTATACTCTGGTCCTTCTTCACCCCCTTTATCCGAGCAGCCAGTAGTGTTTTCGTAGTAATTATACCATGTTCTGAAATCCATACCCGGCCTGTGAACGCTCAATCTAGCTGTCTGTGTAGGGCAGAACTCAATGTATGCAAATTTCGCACCACCTCCGAATGATTGCGTATATCTACATGGGAAATGGACGTATCACCTCTCGGTTTTTTGCGTTGGGTAGGTATAACATACAGGCAGTACGGTGCCAAGTTACAAATATATCGTGAACGAATTGGTGCCTCAGGACCGTATGCATCATTGCCAATCATGAGGCCCATATCCTCGGCAGTTCTCGTCCAAATCGTATATGAAGCGCGTAATCCGGTAGCGAATACATAGAACTGTGTGCCTACAAAGTTTCAATACGATTGAGGGAAATATGAGCGAGCTACTGGCGAGACAATGGCCCAGCACTCCTACCACCCAGACTGTCTTAAGACGGTCTGGGCGGCTGTGCTGGGAACTCTCTGTGCTCGCAACCAGTGCTCCTGCCAGACAGCCCTGCAGCACTCCTTAATACATACCTCTGGCACATCCTCACCGAAAATTACGATTTTGGGCTCATTTTGAAGGTGCCTTCAGTGGGCTTCCAGCCTTGTAGATATGACATTAGACCTATCCAGCAAATGAGTGCATATGAGCGATCTTTCCTGAGACTGATAAGCTTACAGCACGCTCAGCTGAGCGCCGATAAGGCTGAAAATTTGGGATCGTGTACCGAGGGTACCTATATAATACCCTGTAAGAGCGATTTGGATTTGGATACGGTCCGGGCCACCGGTAGCATGTTCTACTCACAGGCCCAAAAAACCAACTAGATGTTTGTTTATGCAACTTTCCGGGTTTCCATATCTACGTAGGCTCATACAATACATTTTGCATACATCCCTGAGTGCAGAAAAAGGGTTTCTACAGGATTGGAGGGCATACATGAGAGGAGAGTGAGTATGTGAGGCAGGAGAAGACCTACCTTGCCCCGGAACGACCAGCGGTCGGATCGCAATGTGTGATACCGCGTCGGAAAGGTGCATTCCATAGCTTTCCAACGATGTACTTTGCGCGACAATTTGTGCTGCGGTTGGGACGCGATCGTCCTGGGAAAGGGGCTGTGGCTGAGCAGGAAATGCTCCTTCGGGCGGTCCTGCGTGCGCGCGGCGCTATGCGAATGGGACGCCCCTATTCTACAGGTATGTTAGCGTGGATTGCAAAAAGAACGAAGCAATTCGGTGGAGATCTGGTGAAGCTGCAGTATGCAGCTCTCCTCTCACTGCATAAGCTGCAGCGCGTCCAGAACTCCACCGAATCACGCGCGAGAGGTCTCGTCCGAAAGCTATGGTACATACCTTTAAAACGTATATACTCAAGTGCTAATGCGGTACGAAACGGAAGCGCGATGTGGAGAACACTGTTCCCTGTATTAGAACATCAGTAAGCCACATGGGAAGAGCAAATATGGACCGATTTACGATGTAAGGGTCTCGTTCTGTTCGCCCTGGCAATGCGCACATATTTCAAAAACAACGAGGTCAATCGGATGAGAAGCGAGTGAGGTAGGGAGCCCGGGGCTACCCCTACATGGTGGTTTGCCCCGGGATTGAGCCGCCTGCCTGATTTGGGCCGGGTGTGATCGAGAAAAGCGCCCTGTAGATTAGATCAGTAAGTGCCTGCCTAATGTGGCCAAAAAGATAAGAAAGCGCCTGTTATCTACTGAGATAACAGGCCCTACTGCCTTTCCTGGGGCCGGTTACTACATTTGGAGGGCAAATCCAATCTCCGACGCTTATGTCAGGTGGGCCACCTAACCTACGGCCGTTGGTGCATAACGGGTGCCTGGGCGCGTACGGCGTCTGGTGCATCAGAGTTACGACAGCGGCTGCAATGCCCTGCCCGCCGCGCCGCCGTGGTCAACGATTCCGCTGCCAGGACAACTTTTGGATATCAATCGTCACGCGTGCGAGAGCCCGTCTTGTCGTGCGCGTACGAGTCGTTCCAGAGAGGTTGCGGGCGAGCCGTGACAGGTGCAGAGGGGCTCAGCAGCAAGCGATGTACTGATGGTATGGTTGATAGGTGCTCGGGATATGCAGTTCAGCATGATGCTGTACTCACTCACTCAGGATGCGGTATGCGACTAGCGCGGCCAGTGAGCCCAGTGAACATGTCGAGCTTGGGACTCGGCGGTATCCAGCGAGCGTGTTACTGCCAGGTCGTTGTTGAAGTCGATAGTGCAGAGCAGACGTCGAGCAGAATGCAACTCATGTATTACGTCGATGGAGTGAGCGAGAGGGCGGCGAGGACAGACGATGTGCAGCCGTCCGAGTGTGAGAGATCTACTCTTAGTTATATAGTGGTGAACAGCCGCCGGATTACGCCCGGCACGTCTTCTGCGATCGTCAAGGTCTGCCTGCCGGGTACAAACACAATCATTGCGGGTGATGTCATCCAACTGCTCTCTCATGAGCAGACAGGGTTCTCTCAGAGCCCTGTACACGACGAGTTGCAACTCCTACGCCAAATAGGGCGCGCAAAGTTGCAACTTTGCGCGCCGGCGCCTATCCACGTTAAGCGCCCACCCAGTGCAGCTGTCCTGCGCCAAGGCTTGATATCTGATAGTAACCATCCTAGGTTGCCCCACCCCCGACGACAGTCCGACGCCCGACGCCCGGTCCCTCCCCCCATTCTCACCCCTGTCCGACCCCCGACCTTACCCGAGCTCTACACCCCCGCGCTCACGAGTTTCACCTCTGGGCGCCTACCGCCCTTATCCCCGACCTTCCAGTTCTCCTTTCGCTCGTCTCGCCCCCCATCCCTACCGCCCGTCTACCTCCCCTCACTCAGCACATGCACGGTTCCTGACTGCCGTCGCGCCACATTATGCTGACGCGAGGAATTTAACGCTCCCGACCTTGAACAGGCTGAGGCACTCCCCCGCAGAGGTTGTCGCGAACTTCAAGCGTCGCGTGCCTCCTCACCTGACCTTAATCTCCCAACGGGCTTGTCAGGCTTTCGAGCCCCGTCGTGGCTGCCATCACCCGCCACACCTGGTTTCGTCGCCCGACGGCGCTTAACTGCGCGCGCCCTCCGCGCCCCTCCATCAGCATTATGCGCAAGTGTCTTGAGTGTCTTGGCCGAGACACTTCAGACACTTAAGACACTATACCAGACCAAGACCAGTGATCTTGTGTCAGCCATGCGGCAGTTCTGGAATCAGACACTTGGGTCTTGAGGATCTGATATAAGATGGGAATGTCTTGGGCCAGAACCTCAGGTAAGACAAAAGTGTCTGGTGCAAGACCACTTGGGTCAGTAGTAAAAAAGGGTGCTAGTAGCCAAAACAACTACTAGCATACTAGAGTGGCCACCTCACAGCACACACCTATCGCAGGTAGGCGCATTTTTGGGAATTGCCCTTTGCAGGAATTGAACCTGCACCCTCAGGATTCCGTGAAGTGCAACCTGAGGTGATGTAGACCACTACACCAAAAGCCTGTATAGGTAGGGCACCATTGGAAGCCTATAACCACCACCCTTCCCCTTAGGGCTTATTTCTGGGTGGACTTAGTGTTCCTAGTAGTTCAAGGTGTGAATGAATATATGAATGATTATCAGACACTTGATGGCCTCTGTAATGATGGCTACCATGTTAAGTTGATATAAGTAATATTGTTGATATGAAGCTGGTCTTCACATATTTTTAGCAAAGAAGTCATGTCTTACTACAGTGTTAATGTCTCCCCTAAAACATGGTCTTAAGTCAGAGATGTATGAACTAGTGCCTGTAATGGAAAATGCAACACATTTGCATAGATGAGCACATGTCTGAACAGTCAGACACCAGTCTTATTTGTAAGACCATGTCTTACCTGTAAGATCAACATCTTATATGCAAGAATAAGTTCTGACCTGCAAGATCAAGTACTTGTGTGCAAGCACAAGGTCTTTCTAATAAGAACAAGGCCTTCCTCAAAGAACATGTTCTGCTTTACAAGAACACTGTCTTAGCACTCCAGACCAGTGGTCATCAGACCCAGACAGGCAGGTAAGACACAGACAGTGATAAGACAGTATTCAGACACTGTCATCAGACCAAGACCTATAAGACACCCTCGCAAAATGCTGATGTCGCGCCGCCTCGCGCGACCTCGCGCGCACCCTCGCGATCGCATCGCGCGCGGGCGCTTCGGCGCAACTGTACTTGCGTGTAGATGTGCCTGTCTGCAGGGACCCATACGGACCCATGGCCTTTTAGTCAGATTACAGACGATAAAGCAATATATTTGATTTAATCATTACGCTTTCGGAAACGGTAGCCATACGTAAGGATGGGGTTCGGTGCGCCACGGCGATGAACGTTCGTCTTGGGCATGGTCCGGCGGGACTCGGCGTACTCAATAGCACTCACCCATTCGACCGCCCCGCGCGTGCGGCGCTTCGCGCTCCGAATGCGGTCGGTATCGCCTTGAGTGTTCAACTTCCCGAGCAGATTGGCTGCATCCTTGAGGAAACCGGTGACTTCCGGGATACTGATCGTGTTCAAGTCCAAAGGAAGTTCGTGTTCGCGAAGTTCGCACACCCATTTGATGGTGCCGTGCATGCACTGAGTGGCATTGCGGAGGAAGCGGGTGTCGGGGTCTTCGGCTTGCTCTTCCAAGATCTTGATAGCAGCAAGCAAGCAGTTGATGAGATCGCTTGTTTCGACGTCTTCCTGGTCCTCGAGCTATAAGAGATGTAAGCGATAAACGATAAAACAAATAACTCATACTTACATCATATCCGGCGCCTCCACCTGCGCGTGTATGGGGCATTCCGTCACGTCCAGTCGGCGGCGGCTTGTCAGGGGAGGACATGATCTGCACGTAGTATTTGAGTCAGCAGTATTCACTTCCAGCATTGAGAGACTGGTCCTACCGGGGAGGATGATCGGAAATCTGCTGCCTCAGGTATATCGACATCAGAATCGTCGGATCGGGGGGCAGGAGCCGCGACGGGAGCGCGCAGTTTCACGCGCACTGCGGACTGCTTGGCACGCATGCGTGGAACCCAGCCATGATCACGGATTTGTTCGGGGGGCGCAGCTGTGACGCCGTCGATTGGGACCGTGAAGAAGGGTGGAATGTGGTACCGGATGACCTTTGGCCACCAGTACGCAGAGACCGCGCCTACAGCTTGAACGAGATGCTTGCAGAGCAGGTGTGCATGGTACTTCTGGGAGCCGCAATCGCATATCCAGCGGCGGATGTCTGTCTGGTATTCACCCCGAATGGGGACTTGACGCAGGCGCTCCCATGCACATTTGAAATCCTTCTGGCTGTGCGAGAGCTTTGCAGGCCTGCCGGGGCGAGGATCTCTGATGATCGCCTTGAGAGTGCGTCGGTATGGTGGTAGTGCCTTAGTGACGACTGCGTAGAGTGCGAGATCAATAGGCGGGCAATTGTACATGTAAAGCACAAGGCGCTTGAGGTTGCGCCACAGTGCCTCAACGATCATGGTCGTCCGCTTCCGTGGGATACTCCTCGAGTTGGCCGAACGGGCCCAGAGCTTCCAGTGCGGGCGCCGGTACCACAAATTCCAAAGATAGGCCCAAACCTCGGCAAGGTTATTCGCCTTGCAGTGAAGATACATCTCGTGTACTGCGTCACGGTAGATGTCTTCGCTGGACCGAGACTCTCCGTGTCGTTCGGGGAGTAGCGGGTGCTGACAACCATGCTTAGAATGTATGCGTATGATGGGGAGCCGATGCGGGGCGGGGCAGAACTGGAAGGTGGGGGACTTCGAGCGTGGCCCTGCCTCCGACGGAGGGGGAGGGGCATCCAGATCGATGTTTGTCCTATCACGTTCGATTGCATCGACCTCGCGGCGGCAGTCATCCTCGTCAAGCTCCGCGTCAGATCCCGAATCTGATGTGCCGTCCAGATCCACCCAGTTGAGCTCGTCCTCGTCTTCCAAAACCTCGCCGTGTTTCTCTCGCGCTGCCCAGTGGGTCTCCTCATCGCTCGCATCGCTGTTGGACTGCTCCGGGTTCGAATCTTCTTCGGAATCGAGGTGAGAGGGCCGCGCTGCACCCGTACTTGCATGCCGCACATCAAATGTCTCTCTGGGACGCAGCGCCCGTGTGATGTCGGTCGGCTTCAGAACGATGGGTGGGATAGCCTTCGTAAGCACGGGAGGCCGGCCGCCGACGGTGAGACGAATGCGTGGGAGCGGCCGTTCCGGCGGAGCAGGGCTCTAGGTACCGGGAAACTGGGCATAAGCCGTGCCCCGAGGTCTATGCAGCGCCGTGAGACGGACGTACCGGTTCCTTGCCGTCCGCAACACGTTGCGCAGCGGGCACAAAGTCAATGTCAATGAACGGGAACTCGCGATTGGCCGCAACGGAGTCATAGAATGCCGGCGTGTCCTTGTTCTTGCAGAGGCGTTGCTTAACTGCGCGTACGCCGTGCCAAAAGCACAGTTGCTGCTTGGCATCGGGCCAGGTTGCGGCCATCGCGTTGATCTCCGACCAGTCCTTGTCAGTCAGCGTGAACTCCGGATCCACACCGAGTGCTTTGAGGTGCCCCAGGAACCGTTCCAGAATCGCCTGTTTAGCGCCAGGAGCGGCATCTTTAGTGGTCTGGATGAAGAGGAAAGCTAGTGGGACACCGGCGCCATTTGCATCTGCGACGGCTGCAAAGAGTTCGAAATTGCCGCCATTGGTGTTCCCTAATGCGGATTAGAGTTCGCTCAATGTGGGAATAAATTGGCCTCTCACATGTCGAATCCATCGCTAACTCTTGGGTATGCTTTGCCCACATCTCCACGAAATCTGTGACATAGAAAGCTAGCGTCTGCGTGCCGGGGGCTGCCTCAACGTCGAGCAACACTATGTGGTGCTTCTCTCCTCTTTCCTCGACGAACTTACGTGCAGATGCGAGCGGGTCATCCGCTAGCCGCCACTCCTCTCGGCTGACGATGTGCCAGTAGTAGTAGACGGCGTTCGGGCCGTACGGTAGGTCATCCTCCTCGGCGTCCTCCTCAGCGAGTAAATAACCCCATATCTACAGTTCACACTTGTCAACTAAACATACAAAATAGCCGGTCTTAAGCACGCACCTGTCCCGGGGTTTGCCTGCGTGCATTCTCACGAATGTACGCCTTCCATTTCTCCGGGAGCGCAAGCTCCGTATACGCAACATGATCCTCGGCATGCTTCATTGACACCGAGATCTCATCGGACGTGCTGCTGACCGTGAGATGCAGCCAGCCATCACAAGGGAAGCGATCCATGCGACGGCTATCGCGTGCCTTCCCCTTCGGATTCTTAGCCTTGTGCTCGCGGCCTTCGGACTGCGCACAACTGTAGGCCACGACTACATCTCCAGATCGCTTCCGTTCAGAACGGCTCTCGAATCTTTCGACATGTTCCGGGTGAGTTCCCTAGCACTGACGAGCTCAAATGTACTACTCACGTCCAATGGAGTAGCTGCACGGCGCCCATCGCAGCGGCAAGTTTATTCGCCCGTTCTTTGCCCGTTTCTCCCGCACTCATCGGCGCCAGCTCGGCAACGTCAACCTGAGCGCGCACATCCATCGGCGCGTCCATCTCCTTTAGTACTTCAAGGAATCCAGCGGCTGACGTCTTTCCCAGATCGTGGATCTCCCTTCCCCCCGTCCCCCGCCCCTTCCGCCCTTTCGGTTCCCCATCTTTCCCGGCCTCTTCATCGGCTTTCTGTTTTCGCTCTGCACGGGCGGCTTTTTGCTGATCAGTGCACTGTCGGCAGGTGCTGCTCGGCTCGCCCGCCTTGCCACTTTGGGTAGTCCGTTCACGGGGAGGGAATGAGTCGATGGGCTTCTCGACATGGCAGTTCCGGCACCGCAAGCCGTCCATAGTGAGCAGGCAGCGGTATGGGCAGAGGTGAGTATCAATATTATAATATTGTGCCCATCGGATAATGATACAATCACGTGCTAACAATCCAGGCGTTGAGTACAGTCGCGCCGAAGCGCCCACGCGCGATGCGATCACGAGGGTGCGCGCGAGGTCGCGCGAGGCGGCGCGAGGGGCGCGGAGGGCGCGCGCAGTTAAGCACCGTCGGGCGACAAAACCAGGTGTGGCGGGTGATGGCAGCCACGACGGGGCTCGAAAGCCCGACAAGCCCATTGGGAGATTAAGGTCAGGTTGCCTCCTCGCCTCCTCAAGCCGCGCAAGCGGGAGAACGACATGTCTCTCCTACTCTTCGCAGCTCCTCCCCTCCCAGCAGTCCACAATCTCCGATTCCCAGAGTGCCCACGACGATCACCACAGCGTGAGTCCCGATCTCCCAAGCAGGAGGACAATGGCTCTGTCCCAAAACAAGAGGGCACGCCCCAGCAGCAGCCCGCATAGCCCCAGGCGACGTTCCTCACCAAGCTCTACGCGTACGTCGCGTCCTGCTATATGCACGCGCCTATTCACTCACCTTCAATCAAGGCTCCTTGAGAGGCCCAAGAAGCACCACATTATCCGCTGGGATTCCGCCGGAGAGCACATCATCGTCGAGCCGCCAGAGCAGCTCGTCCTTCATGTCCTGCCCAGCGTTTACCCGCCAGTCGCGATTTGCAAGCTTCTCCCGGCAATTAAATGTAAGTCGGCTTCCCCACCGTTATCGCGTCCTTTTTTCGCGAGTTCCTGCCGACCCTGACATGCTTGATTTCAAGATCTACGGCTTCATGCGTAAGGTCAACCTGCGAAACGTTGACCCCGTGATCGACGACCCTGACGCGAGCACCTGGTGTACGTCGCATGATTCCTGACTGACATAGCGCCACTTTGTACTGACGCGAGGAATGTAGCGCACCCGACATTGAACAGGCACTCCCCCGCAGAGGTTGTCGTGAACTTCAAGTGTCGCGTCCCTCCTCGCCTCCCGAAGCCGCGCAAGCGGGAGAACGAGATGCCTCAAATCCACCCACCGCGCTCTGCTATCGGTATGGGTCCCGTCCCGCTTTCCGTGCCTTCAGGGGATTTATCTCCGTACAAAGGTGGCCGTGCGGGCGGATTCTCCTCCCCCGGCTCCTTCACGCCGCTCAGCCAGCCTGGCGCTCTTGGATTGGGCACCAGCTACCCGCGTTCTACCCTTCCCCCTCTCAACGTGCCCTCCGACCCGTCGTCGCCTTCTTCGCACGGCAGCATGTACTCCCACTCCTCTCATACCCTGCACCCAGTTACCGCTTCTGAAGGTACCCAGTCCCCGTCTGCCTTTGGTTCGATGACTTATTCCAGCGCTGGCCGTGAAACGATGATGCTCCCCTTGCCAAACTCACAGTACCAGTACTCTGAGCAGCAGCCCAGCTGGTTTTCGTCGACGGGCGCGTCGCCCGCCACGCACTCTTCCAGCTCTCTTTCCAGTCTGCTGAACCCCAGCAGCAACATCAGCAGCGGCTACTCCACCACCCGCCCCCAGCCTGCGGCTATTAACACCTACACCTCCTCCTATCCTAAGATGGGACGCAGCCACCCCAGTGCGACTCCAGTTTCTCCTGACAGCCGGCCGACGTCTGGGTACTCCGCGGCCTCCTCTATATCGTCGCTTCCGACGCCGTACGAGGAGTCCAATGCCCACCAGTTCGGCCACCACGACTACTCCCGGCCAGGGTCTGGGCACCATAGGCCGATGAGCCCGTCGTCGTCGCGCCCGCCATCGTCGAAGTCCTGTTATTCGACGAACAACGGGTCGTTGAGCATCCGCAGGGAGCGGCGGCACGCCCAGGCAATGTCGCCATACCCATCGTCCTACACCAAGCACCCTTCGCACCGCCCGTCTACCTCCCCTCACCCTGCGGACGATCACTCCGGTAGCAACGGCAACCCTCGTGTGCGCAGCATGATCCAGCTGCCCTCCGTCGACTCTTACTCGTTCAACCCCTCGCAGGCGGAGTTCGCGTACGCCGCGGTCGACGACGACGGTCACGGTGGCCACGGACACGGCATGTACGGCGGCCTTCTGGGCCAGCGGAGTGTGCGGCCGTCGACGAGCGCGTCGTCGCTCAGCACGAGCAGCTCGGCGGCGAACACGCCGGGAGGGGACGGATATGGCCCGAGCGGGGGAGATGCGGATATCACCCGATGTGAGTCAGTCTGCTTCGCTATATGACCGTCTCAGTTGGACGCACTCCCTGTTACATGTACGGAGTGCCCCCGCCGTCTAGTGGTGTGCGGACGCGTGCTGACAACCTTTGCTTAGATTCACCCGACTACAGCTACGTGCAGATGAATGAACACCTCCCGCAATACGCTAAGGAACAGCTTTGCAAACGTCGTCGTCCTCGCACCGCGGGGGCTTACAACGACATCGCGCCAGTGGACTCGGCTCTCGTTCGGACTTTATCTATGCCACCCATGCATTCATGTCCTGCATCCCCTCTCCCCTTGCTCCCCATAGACGTCTCGGACTCGGCTCGGACCCCCCTCACTACATGTGCCGCTGCTGCTTGCCTCGACTTCGTGCGCCGGTCGACTACTCCTCCTCAGCTCTTCACCTTCTAAGTATCAGGACGTCGATGGAGTTCGCGGACGGTCGTTTCGGAGGATTAGGAAGAAGGACCCCGGTGACGGAACCGCACGGCTGTGCAGGACGATCGCAGGGCCCGGCGTCAGCGCGGGAGGCCTTGTGGTGGAGGGTCGGCGACTATCATCGTCACGCTCTTACCCGTCAGCATCATGCATCGCGGGAGGGTGTCAGGTTAGATGTCATCGTGCGAACAACTGACTTCTGCCATTGCCCAGATGGTGGCTGATGTGCGTTGCTATACGCCGCGGCAGGTTGACGGGGTAATGTGCGGGGCGATGTTTGCTGGTCGTGCGGTGTTTTCCGCTTCCTCCACCACTCCCTCCTGCGCTGCGTCCTCCTATCGCTTGACTATTCCCGCGCACTGCTTGGGCTGCGCCTTGCAATGCGATGCAAACTTCATATGAGAGGTACGTCAATGTCTTTGTGCACCTCGCATGTTGCTCGATGCTTACCTGTCCTTTCCAAGCTCGCTGGCAGCCGTCGAGCACGCGAGACATACGGCGTTGTAGGTGCGCATGACACGTCGCTTTAGCTTACCCCAGGTCGCGAGAAACTGACGATGCCCCACCCTAGGAGACGTCGCGGAGCCCGGTACGTGACTCGTCCCCTGCCAACATACCGGCCCACTTTTGTCGCAGAGCCACTCGCGACGCGTCCCCTGCCCCTCAAAGTCACCTCTGGCGTGCGACGTAGGTCTGCGCGCAAGCTCTGCGGACTCTCGCGCGCCCGCTTTCGTCGGTTGCCACGCGCTTCGATGCCACGGCCAGGAGCACAAGCCCCCGGCGCACATCGCCCTGGACTCCAGGAATCTGCGGTACATGGCTGTGAGTGTCACAACCGAGATTCCGACTGCGCGAACTCACCACTGACTTCGTTTGCTGCTCCCAGTGCGACGTTGAAAGGACAACATCGTGCTGCGGAGGTCAAGACGGGTGTCGCGAGCGGGAGGTCAAACACGTGTCCGTGTCGGGGGGCGTGTGCTTCGAAGGGACACGGCGGAGGCGGTGGAAGCATATCATGTATGTACACCTGGTACGGGACGACAGTGCGAGTGGCGCGGTGGGGGCTGTCCAAGGTGAGTGGGGTGCACGACGACGGATCGTGCATTGTAGCACTGATTTGCTACGTGCGCCTCACCGCAGCCTGCGCTGTTGCTCACCCCGTGCCGCCCCCGACTCCCGAGCGCGCGCGCGACAAGGCGCGCCAGACGCTCGTCGTCATGGGTCGGTTCGCCTTCCGGTGCGGGCGCGGGCGCGCGTTGCTCTATAAAGGACCTGCTGGCGCAGCGGCGGGTGGGGCGGTGTGCACATCCTCCCCAGAACCGCTCGTGCCGGCCTCCCCGCCCCTCGTTTCTGCTTCTTCCGAATACTCCACGACTGCCCGTGACCACCACAATACCAACCTACGACATGCGCAGCGCGGCGGAATGGCCGCGGGCGTGCTCGCCACGGCCTGACTTGCGGGTTTGTGGGCCAGGTGGACGCGCGCGCAGGGCCGAATGTGCTAGCGCCCTCGCGTGCGTGCGCCCTTCAGTCTGGGCGGTCGTCGTTGGGGTCGTGCATGTCTCACATCGTGTTGATTGGGTCGTGGGTGCGTCCTGGCAGTGTGGGGCGGGGGGCCCGTCGTCGGGCGCGGGGGTCCGTCGACTTTGGGGGTGGCACTGGGACTGGCAGGGGGATGGACGTGGTGAGCGGGTTAGGGGCGGGGCGGGCTGGGGACTCATTGGTTCGAGGCGGCCGCGAGCGGGTTGTGATGGATGCCCTCACGTCGTGCGCCGCCCTCGCCTCTTTGTTGCGCGATCATCGCTGTGCCGCGCTGTCGGTCTAGTCCGCCGACATCTCGCGCTCTAATATACAGTTACCATACACACCTTGTAGCCCGGTCAATATATGAGTTCATGCGTATACGCACACGGTGACACGCTGCCTGGCTATGTTTACAAGCAACACGTGCGATGAGCTCTGCCGGGGCCACCGGTACACTGATCGATCGACGACGATCGCAGTTTGCGTGCGTTGGTCCGATCTTCTCGGGCTTGGCCACATTACGTGCATCGCCACCCCCACTTTCATTGAAATTCAGAACAAGTAGCTATACAGACGTATGTATAGACGAGCAGAGATTGATAGAGCGCAGATGAAGGCAGACAGAGGAGAGAGAAAGAGAGATATATAGCAAACCTGGATCTTCAACGTTTGGCGGCCTCAATTCTCGCACTTGTCAAATGCAATTAAGGACGGCGGAGCGAATTGCACACACTGTATACAACAAGTATTTCAACGTCTAAACGGTTGGAACGCGGCGGGAAGAACTCTACCTGCAACCACGAGCCAGTCTGCGCCATACAGGCGCCTATATGGCCCACGTCGCGCGCGACGACGCCGAGCGGCTCCTCGCAGTCCGCCTTCTCCCTCCACTACTTCCTTTCGCTGCTACGCACTCTCACCGACGTTGTAGCCCTCCATGTCTCGCCCGCGCGCCCGCCCCGGGTCTCATCCCTCACGCACAAGCGATTTCAGTACTCGATCGCGCGAGCAGTGTACTCCGCCCTCACTTGGTACGTTACTTCCCAGCGACCACCCCCGCCTTTCGGTGCCAACCCCAATATGCCTCCCTCAAACGCGATTCCCTCTCCACCTAGCCCCGTCTCTGCCTACCAACCACCTATCGCGCACCGTAGCCGGCGTCGCGCGTCCGCACACCGGCTCAGACCGGCCCCACGTCCAGCAGACCGGGGACCAAACCCTAGCGCGCTCCCCACGTACTCCCCAATCTTTGATTGGTGAACCGTCTGTGCCTCCGCGTTCACTGCCGTTCCTCATTCCGTTTGGCTATGGCACTGCCCAGGAAGCGTCCACGCCTGCCGGTTGCTCCTCCCGCAGCTCAGACCGCGCGCTGTCTCGGATGCAAAGCGTCGATCGATACAGCCCACGGGATACAACCCACTCTTCAAGGCCTCGCCCTTCAAGGCCTGAGGATTGCCGCGCGGCCTCGTCGACGCCGTCCTCGGGCCCTCTCTCCCGTCCACCAGTTCTCCCCTCCGCCGCCCCAAACATGGAGCGCACCGTTCGCCCCTCATCCCTCTCCCCACCTACCGCGCCTGTTCCCCTCGCCCCCCTGGGCTTCATAGCGTCCTCTGTGTCGGACGTCGAGCAACGTCCCCTCACCCCGCCACCCTGCTTACACAGCCCGCCATCGTGTCGCGGAACCGGTACGCGCACCCATTCACACCCTGCCTTCCAAATTCCAATGACGCGTCCATTCATAGCTTCCCCGACGCCATCTTCGCCGAAGCCATCCGCACTCCGTCGCGTCCAAGCTTCAGCCAGGCGCGTTTGGCGCAGGGTTAGAGCGGCGTTGACTGTTCGTGCGCCGCGAGGGAACAAAAAAGACGTGCTGTGATCAATTTCATACGTACGCGCAGTCCGGTACCTTTGTTGTACGTATGCACGCCATCTTGCCATCGCATGTGGAATATTAGCTTCAGCGTATGCCTTTATGACTTGCTGCACTCGCATTTTAGCGCCCCGTAGCTCTCGGCAATCAATCCGGTCTCCCAATTGCGGGGTTGATCGACGGTCGATCGTGTTCCGGGGAAATCGGATGTCGTCATTCCGCCTTGCGAAGTCTTCTATTGTGGGTATAGCGGGATCGACGATCACTTGTTTTCCGTAGTTTTCGGATGTCGTCATTCTTCCGTGTGAGGAACCGCTCAGTCTGGAGGTTGTATTTCACATATCAGCATCGTGCTCATAAGTTCATAAACGACATTTTGGGTACACTCACCCGCGCGCTGCAAGCCTGCCCCCGTGTTTTGTGTTCGCTTGTGCCCCGGTTCCAGCCCATTCCAACTTCCTCAGTCCATCTGGCACCACAGGCGACATGCAACAACATTATCACACTGATGTATACAATAGTACATACCTCCTCTCACCAATTGCTGTATCGTACATTCGTGGCATCTGCGCCCGCTTCGTCGGTCGACCGTCTCGTTCGTATGCGACTCCCGTAAAGTGTCTACGAGCGACGTACGTTGGGTGTCGTCATAGATGCGACTGATGCCGCCGAGCGTGCAGCGGCGCCTGAAGCCGACAAGCGTGCGGAAGGGAATGAGGTCGACGAACGGGCGGAGGGTGGTGACGCCAACGAGCGGGCGGAAAGGAGTGAGGCCGACGAGCGCTGGGTTCTCGACCGCCCGCTCTGGGACGACGATGCCGAGGCTACCTCTCCCCTGCGTGCAACCTTCGTCGGCGAGGGCGCTTCGTCGTGCACTGCGGTTCGCTTGCGCGAGACCTTCAGCTGCTCCAGACGTTGCAGGGTGTTCTTGCGTTCCCATTCCGCCAGCCAGGCGGCCGACTTCGCCAAACGGGCTGCGGTTAAATGACCAGCGGCGCACGCAGCGACCTCACTCACCTCCTTCGGGCTAGCTGCCTCTTCCATGAGGTGCGGTAGGCAACGCGACGAGAGTTCGGCTAGGTTGCTTAGCTCGAAATACTCTTCGGTCTTGTCCTGGATCTCGGCCAGGAGTTCCAGTGCTCGAACTCTGAGTTCTTCCTCCTCATAGAACCCGAAGTGCGAGTGCGAGGTGTCGGCATCCTGCGTGCGAGCGTTGATGTCGCGTACGCTGTCCAGTTCTTCCCGATCTCCAGCGTCCGATACACCCACGGAAGGAGTGCCGCCCTGCGCCAGGTTGCCCAGCATACCATCCACAACTTCTTCGTCCTCACGTGTCCCCATGTGAGCTGCCGAGCCATCGTAGGCGGCCACTCCCAGGTGCGATGTCCAGTCCTGCGGCAGGTGGTCGCGGTAGTCCGGAGCCTCGTCAGACTCACTTAAAAAGTACGCTGGAGAGGGGGGGACCCGGAAGGAGGGAGTCCCATCGTGTGTTGGATCCTCCAGGTCGCTGGGCAACTCCATCGAAGGAGTCCTGAAGTACCTGGGTGAAGGCTCGCGGTCACGCCAGGCGATGGACGGGGAGCGACTGTGTGTGGATCCGTAGGCCTCTTCTTCGGCATTGCTGCCGTTCGGCGAACCATCCTGCGCCCTATCGCCTTCTTCACGAACGCCGCCAGCATCGTCCACAAACCGGACAGGGGTGCTGTGGCGAGAGATGTTCTCGTGGGCGGGTGCGTCGCCTTGTTCTTCGGCAAAGCCCCCGTCGTTCACTATCTCTGTGGATGGCGTACGACCATTAGCCCCGGAGTCAACGGGGTCTGTAGCAACGCGGGCGTCGTCGTCGATTTGACTAGACGGGCCGGCGTTGTCAGCCGCTTTTTCGACCGACCCGCCGGCCGGGGAGGTCCCGTGCGCTGGGTGGTCGACCTGGGCCGTGATGGATTGATTGACGGCCCCTAAGACGTGTAACATCTCTAGGATGAAAGCAAACCACCCCTTCGGGGCACACGTAGCGAGCTCTTCGCCATTGGCTAGTACGACCACCTTCTTTATCAGCTCTAAAGAGAAAGTTATAGGTTAAGCCTCCACCGTCTAGTTGTCGTTCCTGACTTACCCGCGACCCAGGAACATTTTACCCTGCCCGACTTTGACTTCAGACATGCGTTGCATTTGAAGCTGCTGCCTTTGGCGTAGTCGCAGACCAGATCCTCTGCTTCGCATCTGGTGCACCTCTTTGTCCTCAACACATTCCAGACCAGGAAGACGCACATGTACTCCTCTTTCGTGAGGTTGGCCTTGTTGTGAGACATAATGGCGCGGTTACAAAATATGGGCGTCGGTGGAGACAACGTAGTCCAGGTAAAAGAAGATCCCGTCCTGGCACCCGTTAAATACGCTGGCAAACTCAAATAGAGTTCGACCTTCAGCCGTGCTTGGTTCGAGTACGCGTCCTCAATTTTAGGGGGCCCCTGCACGTATGGTCAGATGACCGCGTTTGTACGTAGTGTGCTCACATACATAGCTTCGCCACAACGCCGTTCTTCTACGATGTCGCTGGATGTCCCCGAGAATGCCGTCTGAGTCGGCCAACGCCCACACTCAACCCACTTCTCCGGCGACCATTCGACGAACATGTAAAGCAGGGCATCGCACTCATTCGGTGGGTGCGTAACATATCAGTAGATATCAGTAGTTTCCATTGGGCTACGGGCCCACGTATAGTACTGCATTTACAAGCGCTCACCAAATGTGCACACCGCATCTGTCCATCTCCACTCAATCCATCCGCGCCCGCCACAATCGTCGCGCCCGTCACAAATGTTGCGCCCATCACAATCGTCGTGTCCGCCACAATCGTCCACTAGTCGGAGTAGGGAGGGGGGGAAATGATGTCTTGACGAGGCCCAAGGGAGCTCATCAGGTGGCCGTGCCAGCTGGATGCTCCCTTGGCGACAAGTCGGCTCGCAGCACATTGCCAGCGCGCCAGACTCTCGTGTGCCGGATTGGAGGAGGGGAAGGGTTTATGAGAAATTGGACATACCAGCATAACCGTGTACCCTTTCTTCCTAGTAGGCACACTAGCCGGAATGTGGTCGCTCCTCGCCATGGTCGGTATATTTGTCGTGTCCCATTTATGTTTCGCTGCCCTTTCAGAACGCAGTGTGCCAAACAGCAGAGGCAATAGCCCAGTAGTCGTGAGTAGTACTGGCAGAGGTAACGCGCATGATGGCAAGAGGTGGAGACTCTGGAGAGTACGCCCATTTAGCGCCAACGCACCCTGGAACGTGGACTTCGCACTTTTTCGGAGAGCTTTCTCCCACGGGGGTCATCTTTACGGTCCGCCTCCCACTTGCCACCACTGCGTCTACCGGGGGCCTTCGTCGGCCCAACTCCCTATTCCTCTGTATCCGCCTTCCCGGAGAGTCGCTACGTAAGTCGTTAGTATCAACGTGGGTTCGATGCTCACGAAGTGGGATGCAGTCATTCTTAGGTCAATATATCACCCCATCCGTCAAAGGCTCCCGGCATAGTCCTAGCCTGACGTGTTTGGCCATACGAACCCTGTGTGCGGTGTTGGAATATCCTCGCTGTACCGGGTTCAATCCAAGTCAAGGCTTCCCGACGTCCCCGAACCTACGAGGACTCCCCGCTCGGAGTCACCGAATTTCTGACTCTGTACGGTGTCAGCAGCTGTTGTAGCCAAATACTGTTACGAACCGTTTAACCGCCGTGACTGTTTTGCATAACGAACCGTCAAGGTTCGTCATGTGTCACGAAGCTCCGGGGCGGTCCTTTGCCCCCGGTGGGCCCTCCTAGCGCCCTCTCGGCTTCTCGGCGGCCTTCCTAATGCGGCACACCTCCCGGACATACACCAAACCCTCTGCGGGCCTCTCGGCTATGTTGTGAACCTCCCATTTGGGACGGCGGGTCATTGATGCGATCGGAATACAGATCTTAGCGAGACGGTATGTTTCCCGACATTCTCGGAATAGCCCCTTGGGGAAAAGTGCCATTATAACCGGGTACGCGTTCAGAGCAGGGATATGTATTAGGCGCAGGGGCCGCTATATGTAATGTACAACACGGGCGAATCGATAGCGATGGCAGGGCAAGTTGACGGGCTGTTCGGGATGCGGGGGATGAGGGGAATGCGTGGGACAGGGGGACAGGGGGACGGGGGACGGGGGATGCGTGCGAACGCGGACGCGCGAGATACAAAGCGAACCGGACACCCATGGCGCACAGCGAGCACGTACACGGGCAACGCACGAAGAGCGGGGGCGCTGGCGGCGCACAAGAGCGCGCGCGGGGGCGACGCGAGGCCCGGGACGCTGCAGCGCGTCCACTAGACCCGACGACGCTTTGTAGGGGGCTCACTCAGCTCATCTTCCTCAGAGGAATCATGCCTGCAAAACAAGGGTCAGTTTGCCCAAGACGAAGATATGGCGCGGGCACTCAACTCCTTGTCTTGCAGGGCTTGGGCCGCCATGGACTGGATGACCCAGGCGACGTCCGCCAGCGCGGCGGTCCAACGCTGCATAGTTGCATTAGTAGCTGCTTCCCGCCACCACGCGAGGGATAGCAAGACGATCAGGAGGCCGTTTTTGCCTGGCGCTCTCAAGGCATTCCAGTCGCCGCTACCCCCAATGACTGGGATTCCGCGATCGTCGCACTCGCGCCAGGCTGGCTGAAGCCCGGCCCACCACTCCCACCACAGCATCGCGTACTGGCTCTCCTTCTTGATCTGCGGCGGCTTTGCAAGGTTGCGCCGAAGAACGCGCAACCAATGTCCTACTTCGGAGGGGCGGCGGTCGGTACCTAGGCCCTTGGTCTAATGAAAATCAGCTTGAGCTCCGGTGAGTAGAGCAAAGCCACTCACCGAAGTCTCCCACCCATATGTTCGCTCCAGCACCGTCCACCATTCGACGGCACGCATGAACTCGGGCCCATAGCCCCTGCCCTCCAGATGATTGAAGCTCTCCCGAACCCACGCCGGCCAATCACTCTCGTCCAGTATGATACCCCCTTGCAATGTCGGTCCCGGGCTGGACGCCGACGCGGACTGCGCGGGCGTCGACGCAGACTGCGCGAGAGTCGACGCGGATTGAGCGGGCGTAGACGCGGACTGTGCGGGCGTCGACGCGGATTGAGCGGGAGTCGGCGCGGACTGCGTGGGCGTGGGCGTGGGCGTCAAGGCGGATTGAGCAGGAGTGGGCGCGGGTGTCGGTGTCGGCGTCGGCGTCGACGCAGATTGAGGGAGTGTCGATGCGGACTGCGCGGGAGTCGGCGCAGACTGCGCGGGAGTCGGTGTCGGTGTCGACGCGAACTGCG